CTCAGTGGGTCCCAATCTTTGATGTGCATCAGAATCAATGGAGGGCTGGTTAGAATGCAGGTTGCTGGGGCCACGCTGCCAGAGTTTCTGATTAGTGGGTCTGGGGAGGACCCAATAATCTTCATTTCTAACAAGTTGTCGGGTGATGTTGACGCTGCTGGCCTGGGAGCCACACCTTTAGCCTGTTTGAGGGACTAGGGTACGTGGAGGGATGGGGGCTTGGAGAGATGAGTTCCTTTGAGGGAGAGGAGGAGGAGGCAAGGTGGAGAGGAACAGGATGCTCCCCAGGACTGGGCAGAGGAGGAGGTGGTAGGCTGAGGTTATCCCCAGAGGGATGTTTGAGCCTCCTAAGGAGACAGGACTTAGTCCCCATTCCCAGTCTCACTAAAGACTCCTTCCTTCCCTTCCCACAACCAAGGTTGGCTCAGAAACAGCAGAGCCCACTTACTCTCTGTGAATCCATAGGCGTGGATAGGGGCATGCTACCCATGAGCAGAAAACATGGACTGAAGATCAGAGAGCCAGGCCAGCTAGGACAGAGAAGGCATCTCCACTCCTCAGACAAACTTTGGAGGCAGCATATGGGAGAGGGTCCCTGCTGACTGAGGTTGAAGTTCTCCTTGGGACTTAGCTGCTTTGATTTGATTTTGAAAAATAATATTTTTTCAGCCAGGGTGCTGGGAAAACTGGCTATTCACATGCAAAAGAATGAAGCTTGACTCTGACCTTATACCATATACAAAAGTTAACTCAAAATCGATCAAAGACATAAATGTAAGAGCTAAAACTATAAAACCCTTAGATGCAAAAACCATGAACCTCCTTGCACCTAAGAATTATGGTGGAATAAAACTCTTACAGTAATTTAGATGGAGAGAAACCTAAAGAGCTGAACCTGACCTGTGAGCCCCAGGTATCCCTCACTGGTCAGGAGGCAGACTTACTGGTGGACAGCTGAGAACAACCGCATCCCTTTCACAGTTATGGCACTATGATTGTCATCCCCTCCTCCCCTCCTTTTATCAAGGTTAGACTTACATACAGTGACATAAACAAATCTTAAGAGTAGACCTTGAATTTTTACATATGTATATGCTTGTCCAAGCATTGTCCAGAATAAGATATAGAACATCTCCAGTACCCCAGAAGGCTCGTCACCCTTCCTAGTCAATACTCACAAAGGTAATATTATCTGTCACTGTGCTTTAGTTCTGCCTATTTTTAAACTTCATATAAATAAATGGAATCATAGTTATTCCTCTTTCGTGCTTGGTTTCTTTTACTCAACATAATGTTTTAAAGATTCATCCTTGTCATTATATGAGGCAATTGTTCTTTTTCATTGCTGTGTAATATTTCATTGTATGATAAATTGTAGTTGTTTTCAGTCACCTATTGGACATTTGCGTTGTTTCTAGTTTCAGGCTGTTATGAATAAAGCTGCCATAACATTCTTGTAAGTGTCTTTCGTGGACATAAGCACCTTCTTTTCTCTTGGGAATATACAGAGCAGTAGAATTATAAGATCATAGAGTCTGGCCTTAGTAGGTACTGCCAAATTATTTTCCAAACTGTATCAGTTTACCCTCCCAACAACAATGTATGATAAATCTGATGAATTCTCAATCCTGCTGCATTTAGTACTTAAAAAAAAGTCCTTTTAATTTTAATCTTTCGGATGGAAATGCATCATTAATTTTTAATTTAAAAAATCTATTTAAAACTAGTAGTAATTTTTTATTTACCTAAAATTGGGTGGTCCATGGATGCTGAATGTTTGAGAAACTTGTGGGACTCTCCAAAGTATTCAAAAATTCCCTGAGGATGTGTGGGTGTGTTTTTGCCTATGTATGTGCCATAGTCACAGATGGATGCTGCTCCAGACCCACCCTCCTTGCCTTGGAACAGACCCTTCATTTCCCTACCAACAGGAAGAGCTTACTTGTGATCCCAGAGGAAGATGTTTCTCATCACCAGCAACATCTGGGGAACATCTGGTGAGCCCATCCCAGGACAGGGAGATGCTTTTCTAGAGAAAACATATCACTTATTTGATTCTTTTTATTCTCCTATGTTTTCCCTTATTTTCTCCTTCTTTTCCTGCCTCCCAAACCCTGTCAACCATTGGCCTCCCTGCTCTACGCCCCCTCTCCAGCCCTTGCCAACTCCCTGCTCTGGTCTCTGTCCTGTCTGGTTTCCCTCATACACAGCCCAGCAGGATGCAAACTGAGACAGCCTGAGAGACCCTCATTAACGAGTGCTCAACTCTACCCAGTTCCCTGATCAGCAGGCAGCATCTTCTAGAAACTAGCTCAAGGAATGTTGAAGGTAGTGGATTTCTCTAGTCTAATGCCCCCATCTCACAAATTGGAAGACTTGAGAGAGAGAGACAGAGAGAGACTCACACACACACACACACACACACACACACACACACACACACAGAGAGAGAGAGAGAGAGAGAGAGAGAGAACTAGAACTCCACTGTAGGTCACAGAGACCTCCCTGTCTCCTGAGGACCCACCTAGAGGATTAGAGGCAGGAAGGAGGAGGCAGTGGAAGAAGTGATTCCTTGGGACCAGCAAGGTCTATCACCCAGCAGCCACAGGAGACAGTGCAGCTGAGTATTTGAGGGGGGTGGGAGTGGGTGGGTAGCCACCCGCCTCATAGCCCTAAGGGCTGAGTCACCTCTAGCAAAGGACACAGCTTTGTAGCCTTTCAACTCCCTCCAGAGATGTCTCAGCCACACCCAGGGCTTCAAGGTACCGGCTGTCTGCTGATGACCCTTCCATCCCCACTTCCAGCCCTGCCCTCTCCTTGAGCCCCAGCTCCCTGTACACGTTTACTGCATAGACAATTTATTCAATATGTTCTTAACGAGCACGAAGGATAGTCAGACATGGTCCCTGCCCTCCCAGGGCTCACAGACAACTCACATGGAAATGCACAAGGAAACCATACAACTAAGTGGGTGCAAGGCAGGTGCAGGCTGGGGAGCAGCATCTTTGGAAGTTTAAATCAGGATGAGCAGGACACACCCCAAGAACTGACTGCTGGCAATCAGAGCTGGAGTGCAGTTATCAAGGGCATGGGGTGGAAGTGCAGAGGTTAGGGTGGAAGAAACTTATGGAGGTACAGAACAGAATACCTCGTGTGTAAATTAAAACTAGGTTGTAGCAATGTTACAAGCACAATGTGCAAGTAAAAAGACGTGCACACATTAAAGACAAAATGGAGGAGCAGTGAAGTGAGTGGGGTGTGGGAGTTTGAAGAGGTGAGGTTGCAAAGGTGGGCGAGGACCTGATTATTCTGGCTTTGTAGGCCCCCACAGAGTTGAGACTTCATCCTGAGGGCACTGGTAAGTCACTGAAAGGTTACCTCCCCCCTGCAGGCCCCCCAGGTACACACATTCAAAGCATCCAGCAAGAACAGGGGCTGTAGCTTCCCCCAACCTGCATTCCTCCTAGGGTTCTTCCTTAGAAAGGTAAAGGGCAGGCAGACCCCTCCTGGTCCCCTCCACATACACACCTGTGGCTAGAGAGGCCCTTACCATCATCTCTACCCCAGATGCCATCCAGGCAGGACAGGTCACCCCCACCCGCCACCTGGAGTGAGGTAGAAGGGAATCCTGAGGGCTGGGCTAGTCACACACAGCGTTCTTCTAGGACAGTCAAAGAACCCAGAATGCAGCGGGAGCCAGAAGGGGGGAGGGTCAGGCTCCCACGAAGGCTCCCTGGAGGAGGCAGTGCAAGCTGAGACCTTAAAGGCGGTGGGATTCTGGTAAGCAGCGAGAGGGCAAGAAGGCGTTCCAGGCGAGAGGGACACCTGCAGGAAAGGTGTGAGGGTAGAAACGCTCAGGGCACGCGTGGTGGGTAGGTCTGACCAGCGCTTGGGAAGAGGGGAGGAGGGTGGGTTCCTGGGCCAGAACTCGCTGCCGGGGCATGCACACACTTTCCCCGGCGCAGTAATACTGGGAGAGTTGGCCCCTACCCAGGAAAGGCCTTGGCGGGAGCAGAGCGGGCAGTGGGCCATTTTAAGTGGCCAGGGTTTGGCTGAGAAGAAACCAGCCTTTTTTTTTTTTCTTCTTTTTTAAGAGAGGGATCGGGTGGCGGTGGGGATGGGGATAAGCTGGTTATAGGAACCCCTAGCTCAGGGCTTCTGCAGAGTCTCTGGCCCATGGGCAGAGGTGAAGGTCGGGACCAAGGATGACCTTGTCTCCCAACCCCCTATCTCTACTCCCATCCCCCACCCGTTTCATCCCCAGAGTATACTTTCCAGGCGATCTGGGGGTGAGGGGTAGGAAGGGGGCAGAGGAGGGAACGTTTGATGGGATTATAGTAAACTGCCTCGGGCTCGGTGGCGGTTAGGGCGTGTAGGAGGCCTGGGCTCTGCCACCGCCGGGTGGCCTGACGGACGCTCCGCACTGCTCCGGGCCTCAGTGTACCGATCTGTAAACGGGGGCCGCGAGCAGAGGTGGGGATCTTCCCGACCTGCTCGGCCTGCCGGGAGTGTCAGAGACTCCCGGAACGCATGCGGGAGAGGGCCCGGGGTAGGGCGGCGAAGGGGCGCGGGAGAGGCTGGGGGCCGAGAGCGCCCGCGGCGCTGGCGCGGGGTCAGAGTCCACAGGGAGGCCCGCGGCCGCTAAGTTGTCTCGGGCCGGGAGGTGCGGTGCCTCCGGGGCAGGGGGGGGCGGTGCCACGGGGCGGGGCTGGGCGGGGCGGCGGGCGGGAGGCCCGGCGTGCGTCAGCGCCGTGAGCCCCGGAGTTTTCCACTGACGAGGAGGGCGGAGCTGCGGGCGGGGCCGGACGCAGCCAGTCTCCCGCCGCCGCCGCCGCTGCCGGACGCGCAGAGCGAGGGGCTGCTGGGCCGACGGCTGCCCACCGAGCTAGCGAGCGAGCGAGCGAGCGCGGGGTCGCAGCGCAGGGGGCGTTCCCGGCCAGGACGAGGGTCGCGGCGTTGCCCTTGGCGAGCGTCCGGATCGCAGGTCAGCACCGTGGGCTCCGGGCCGGGCGACGGGACCTTGAGGAGGGGGTGTCCCGCACGGGACGCGCTGCTTCCCGGACCCTGCCGTTTGCCCCCCGCCACTTTGAGCGGGTGCCAGGGCGGGGACAGCCCGGCCCCGGACGGCGCGCCACGGCCGGAGTCCGGGTCGGGAAACCGGGAGGCGACAGTCTCAGGTTGTCCGCTCCCCCTCCCCGCCCCGCCGCCGGGACCCCAAGAGGTCCCGGCGCCCCGAGCGCGGGGCGGGTGGCTGCCCCGTGGTTGCGCGCTGGCGGCGGGCTGGCCACGGGCGCGCGTCCGCGGGTGAGTTCCCTTTTGACCCAGTTGCCTGAGAACTTTTCAGAAGTTCCTCGCGTGGCCGGAGCAGGTGACATTTGTCGCCTTCCTCCTCGGGCTCCCCCCGGGGGCGGGTGCCGGGGCTGCGGCGAGTGCCCGGCGTCAGTCAGGGAGGGAGTGGAGGGGTGAGAGTGGAGTGAGACTCCGTGAGTCACGGACCCCGGGAGGGAGGGAGGAGGAGGGATTGTGTCGTACGCTCACCTGTTTGTCAGTCACCGTCACACGCAGAGGCCACCGCTGTGAGTCATGGGTGCAGCTACACCGGCCACCCGCGGGCGCATGTAGGCTTCCCCCACGCACGGCTCCCTCCCCAGCACGTACTTCCTACAGGTCCTCAGTTTCCCCTCCCGGGGGCCCTTACACCGGCACGGCACTGTTGAGATGCCCACACTACAGCAGCCGTCACACACTTAGTCACTCCTGCTCCCTGGCACAGTCACACACAGCCCACACTCCTGACACAAGGGGGTCCCTCCCGGGCTCCACTGCCCACTCGACACCTCCACTCAGATGTCTCACAGTCCTCTAGAGCGGAACTCATAGCTTACCCCCAAATCCTCATCATCACTGCCTTCTTTGGTCCCCACCTCCAGAGGTCACCGGGTTCCCTTCCCCTTTCTCCTAAGCCTTTGGCCTGTCATCTCTCACCTAGCTCTGGCAGCTTGGTCCAACCGGTCACACCCCCTTCTGTCCCTTGCTGAGCCATCTTTTTAAAATGCAAATCTGGTATTGTCACTCCCTACTTCAACCCTTCTGTGGCTTCCTGTGCCCTCAGGCTAAAGCCTGCCCTGTCAGCCCTGGCTCCCTGGCTCCTGAAGCCCCCTCCCAGGCCGTCCCTTCCCCCTCATCTCTCTGCCTCTTCCTCTTCAAGTCCCTCCCGCTTCCTGTGCTCCCCTCTCTCTCTGGAGCTTTTCCTACATCCCATCCTTTACTCCAAGAGATCTGTCTTCACCCCCAGCTGTACCCCTCCCACCCTCCATCCTACCACCCAGCACGGTTTGTAACCCATTATACTCCTCCCCACTCAACTCAAAACTTCAAGGGGGCAGCACTGGTCTGTGTCTTGCTCCCTGTATGCCCAGGTGTGTGACACAGTGCTTGGCATGTCTTAGGCGCTCCATAAATATTTGTTGAAGGAATGAATGAATGAGAGTGAAGGGGGCCTTGCTTAGGTGGAAGAAGCAGTCTCTGTCAGGTGCAGTTTCCTTTCTGCAGGAGCAGTTGCCTCATGTAGCCAGCAAACGTTTGGCACCTCCCCAGTGCCAGGCCCTGGAGGCCAAGGCTGAGGAACTGTCCCCTCTCCCGGGGATCACTTTTGGAGGGATGGGTGGGGGAGGGGTGTGCCAAGGCTCCCTGCCTGCCCTCTCTGGGCTGCCTTGGCTGCCTTTCTAGCCAGTCCCCATGGGGGCCTGAGGTGCTCAGAGGTGCTCTCTCCTTCTGCCAGTAAGTAGTTCCTGAGGATCCGAGGTCATCTGACCCCAGGTACTGGGGGGAGCTGGCCTGGCCTGGCCAAGGCCTGGGGCTCTGAGGTTAAAGGACATTCTTCAAATTCCTGAAGGAGGGTGGAGGCAGCTGAAGGTTCCCCCTTCTCAATACCAGCTCTCACTGGGGGCCAGGGCATTGGGACAGCTGTGGTCGAAGAGGAGTTGGTGTGACTTTTCAGAGGCCTGGGGATTCCTGCCCCCAAACAGCCTTTGTTTGCCTGGTATCCAGGGTGAGGTGGCCTTCCCTTGGCTCACATGGTGTGGCCTGAGTGTGTAGATAGTTGTGGCTAGTAGGGTGGGGAGGCGCCCCTCCTCCTCCTGGGCTGTCAGCTTCTGTGGGTGGTGACGGCAGGACGGCCTGATTCTCAGGGCCCAGGCAGATCCCGGAAGAAGCCTGGTTCTCTTCGATTCGGGGCCTGTCTCCGGGGCTCCTTGGGGGTGTGGTATTTCTGTCTGAGCAGGCTCCTGGGAATTGCTTTTCCTTCCTCCAGGACCCTCGGAGGGGGCTGTGCTCACCCTGGGAACCGTGCCACGGTCAGGATCTTGATTCCTGGGTAGCTGCTGAGGGCCCCTCCCCCACCCTCTGACTCACTGTCTGACACTTTTCTTGGACTCTTTCACTATCTTTCATTCCTTTTCTGACTTGGCCTCTCCTGTCTCTGGCTGAGTCTTTTTGTCTCATCTGCCTCTGCCTCTCTCAGCCTCTGGATCCCTAGGTCGGGCGGCGGAGCACAAGAGCCAGGGGCTCTTCCTCCTCCCCAGTGTCAGGGAGGAGATGATTTCCCATTTCCAGGTCTGCAGATTTTGCTGGGTGCTCATCATTAGAACCTGCACCACGGGCTGTAGCTTTCCTGTGTCCCCGTTTCCCTGTCTGCAGCCTTGGAGTTTATAACCCCCTCACCTTAAGCTCCCAGTCTGTAGACATCCCTGAGGCAGAGCCAGGGTGTCTGGCTTGAACCTGCTTCCTTAACACTCCTTCTATTTGTTTACTCTTGGGGAACCTCCTGAGATGCCTGTGTTGGCACCTGCCTGCAGCCTGAGCTTCCTTTTCCTGCTCTCAGAGCTACCCCCTTCTGGGTGCTATTCTTGCTCAAACCCTCAGGCACAGGTTGGGGGATGGGCACGTCCTCCCCTCCAACTAACTGTGACAGGAGCAGGAGGAGGGCACACTGACCAGCGGGCCCCCGTGACCTCATGTGCCTAAATTGTTTCTCTGTGTATACCTGATCTGCAGCGTCAGCTGCCTACCTCTGATGGTCCTCAGGAGGCTTCTCTGTGCCAGACTCTATTCCAGGCACAGGCACAGTGCCGATCAGGCCGAGAGGCCTTCAGCCTGGCATGAGGGAGATGAGCAGTGAGGCCATTGCAGGAAGGGGCCGTAAGGGCTGCGATGGGGGAATCCCAGAGCCCGCGGGAGCCCAGAGAGTCATGTAGTGGGGAGGAGTGAGGGTTTCAGGGAGGCCTTCTTGGAGATGACTTCTAAAGGGGAGTGAGGCTGGGTTCCAGCTTGTGCAAAGGCCAGGAGGTGAGCAGGTCATGGCCATTTGGGCAACTGCAAGTTCAGCTGGAGTATAAAGTGAGGGGGCTGGGGAGAGTCTTGCATGATGAATCTGGAGGGGAGGCAGCAGCCAGGCCTTTATCAGCCTCTTTGTGGACTTGTGGAATTGTGGACTTGATCCTAAGGGCTCCCCTTAGGGAATGATTTTCTGCATGGGGGTGGCAGTAGATAAACACGCGGTTTAATAAGATCACTCTAGCTGTAGGGTAAAGAGTGGCTGCGGGCAGAGGGCAGAAACAGAGGCAGGGGACATGGGTAGTAGCAGTGGAACAGAGAGATAGGGGTAACAGACTTACAGAATTGAAGGTGACATACGTAAAATGCACAAAGTATATGAATCTTATGTGTACAGTGAGATGTTTTAGACACTCATGGAACCACCACCCAGATCAACATAGAATATTTCTAGACACCCCTCACCCCCGACCCCCCCCCCCCCCCCGCCAGGAAAATTCCCTCATGACTGTCCCCAGTGCATGCCCTTCCCACTTGCTGGATAACCACGATTCTGAACTGTATCATCACTGATTGGGTTTATCATCACTGATTGGGTTTGCCTTTTCTTGAACTTCATTCACATGTAATCTTGTGTCTGGCTTCCGTCACTGAACATGATATCAGTGAGATCCATCTGTATTGTGTGTATCCAGGAGCTCTTTCTTTTTTTCTCAGTGTAGAATGACACATTCACCAAGCATTTACCACTGTTCTAAGAACCTGGCATGTAATGATTCACATAAACTTCCCATCCCTGTGAGGTTGGTTGTAAGACAAAGAATTGACGACACAGAGAAGTTAAGGAACTTGCCCAGGGTCACCCAGCCAACTGATAGCCAAGACAGGGTTCGAATGTAAGCAGTCTGGTTCTGGAGCCAAGGTTTTCTTAACACTATGCTGGGTGGCCTCCGTGATACCTACCAAGTCTGTGCCTGGCCTTGTGTGGCTTAAATGAGCTAATGTGTACTTCCAGGACTGGGTGACTGGATGTGGATGGAGGGAGACAGGAAGGAGTTGAGGATGACTGCAGGTTTCTGGCTTGAGTAAGTGGGTGGGTGGCAGTGCTGTTACTAAGATAGGGAACACAGGAAGAGGAACAGATGGCATGGGGGGTGGGGAACAGAGACAAGGGGTTCGATTTGGGGCCTGCAGAATTTTGTTTCTAAGGGATGGCCAGGCAGAGAGACCAAGTGAGCCTTTGGCTTGGGGGAATCTCAGGCTTAGGTGTGTGATTAGGACAGCATTCAGCACCCTGTAGACAGCATCTGGAGTTTGGGAAAGGATGGGGTCTCCCAACAGGATTGTGGTGGGGACAAGATGGGTGGGTTGTGGTTTGTCCTTGTGTGTTTCTGTGTCTGGGTGCCTCTGTGCTCTGTCTGCTTGTGTAAATGTGTGTGTATGCCTGCCTCTGGGCCATGAGTTCCCGCATCTCCTGTGAGAGCCTTCAGGTCAGCTGAGAGCTGGGTTGTGTTTGTTTGTGGTTTGACCCTGGGGGGTGGGGGCTGGTGCCAAGCCTGAGAAACTGTTTGCTGAGAAGCCCCCGGAAACACCTGTGCGTCCTCCTTCCTTGGGACCGTTGTTGTTGGAGGGTTGGCAAGTCGGGGAGCTTCTCTTGCTGCTCATGTGCCTGTGGGGAGAGGCTGCCCCTGGGATGAATTTCATCTAGCAAGTTGGTTGACGGCATACTGCCTGGGTCTGGGATCCACAGACTTTGTGGAAGGCTAGGCAAACGGGGATAGGGGTGTTTAGAAAGGACACCTGAGTAGGGGAGATCGCCAGCCTTCTGGTTGGTTTTTCCTGTTCACTCTCATTTCCTGTGATGGCAGTGGGGGAGGGGCTCCCCAGCACTGGGGCCTCTGCATCGTTTCCCCTTCCTCCTGGTGAGAGGCACAGAGAGACAAGGTAGCTGGGCTCAGCCCTAAGGGCCGAGTCCTTTGGGGATTCCCAAGCAGTGGAAGGGGTTGTTATTTGCTGCAGCATTTAAGGGAAGGAGCCCCAAGTGCCCTCCACTCGGTTGAGGCCAGCCAAGCTGTGGGAATCTCTGGTTGCACTCCTGTGGAGGGCTGAGACCCTTAAAGGGGAGACACAGTGAGCAGTGTATCCTGGGGTGCTCCAAGTCACCCAGCTACGGACGGGAGAGCGTCGTCTTGGCCGGTCAGTTTTACTAGAAGAGGGTTTTTTTTTTTAAGGGGAGAAAAGAATTTCCCTAGGAAGTTATTTCAAACAAACAGGGTTAGATATTGGAGTGGAAGGCAAGATGAAGGTGAATTTTGAAGATCAAATAGGAGATGCTAAAGAGACACAAAGCCCAGGTGGCTCTGGCCCCAGTCAGGCCTGGAGGCCGGGGACTTCTCTTGTGGGCGGGAGTTTCTAAGGGAGAGTCCGAGCAGCTCCATCACAGGGAAGTTGGACGCTGGAAATCGGGGCTGGTGTCAAAGCCACGCTGTTCCCTGAGTCCTGGTCAGCCTGGCCCCTAACGAGGGCCTGTTGCTGGGGTGTGCGGGTGGCGTGTCTGTGGGTGTGCTAGGGGCAGGAGGAGGAGGAGGAAGAGCCACTGTACGAGGGCCGTGCAGGCTGTCGGCGTGCGCCCAGCCTCACACACACAAAGGCACACAGATGCAGCTGTGTGAATCACCCAGCCAGTGAGTCAGCCCCAGGATTCCTGCCGGGGAATGAGCGTGGCCAGGCTGAGGTCTGTCGGTCCATCTGTCGGTCTGGCGTGTGCGTGCGTGTAGGTGGGTTACAGGAGGTAGAGGGGAAGGTGCCCGGTGCTGTCCCAGGAGGGCTTTGGGGCAGAGGTGGCGGGAGTCTATAAGGGCCAGGACGAGGGTTTGGATCTCAGTGCTCCGTCTGGTGCAAAGAAGCCGACTAGAGATGTGGCCCTGGCACGTAGGGCTCCTCGGGGAGGGCCTGGGTTGCCTTGGAGGGTGGGTGGGAGAGGTGATGACCAGGGCTGGGTGCCCACCTCCGCCCTCAGGCCTGCCATCTAGAGCTTTCCCCTTCCTGTTCCAGGCTGTCTGTGCCCAGACCCCAGAGTACCCCTCACCACCATGACTGGGCTGCTGAAGAGGAAGTTCGACCAGCTGGATGAGGACTCCTCCTCACTCTGCTCGTCCTCCTCCTCTTTGTCCTCCTCGGGCCGCCACTCTCCCTCCTGCTCCCCGAGCTCTTCGGCCTCACCGTCTTGGGACTCGGATGAGGAAGGCCCCTGGGATCAGATGCCCTTGCCTGACCGCAACTTCTGTGGCCCCCGAAGTTTCACCCGTGAGTCCCTTCACCCTGGGAACGCATTACACCCCTCTTTCCTTCCTGAAGATGAAATTGGGGGGCCCTGATGAAGTCGTTCTGGCCTCTGGAGGTCGTGTCCCCATGGCTTTAGCTTCCCTACTTGACTCCCCACCTCATCCACTTCCTGTCCTACAGGGGTCACTCGGGAATGCCCCCTGTCCAGAGGCACTTGGGTCCAGCTGCATTCACCTTTAACCTTGGGACTCTCCAGCTTATAAGTCATCATGTTCAGGGCAGGGCTCCTCAGTGGCCCTGGGGCCTTCCCGCCCAGCTCTGTCCCTCAGTTCCTGTTTTGTTTCTCCAGCTGGCTCCCTATCCTCTACCAGCTGAACTGCCCGAGTCCCACACTCCACGCTTCTGTGCTGAGGGGCCTGTCAGGCTGGTCCCTCGCCTAGCAAAATGCTGTTTGGCTTTGCCTGAACACAGTGAAAAGGTTTTTTCCCAGTTATTTTTTCAAGCTTGCGTAAGTCTGATTCCAAACTGACAAAGATGGCCCTAGAGCAGTGTTTCTCAACCTTATTTTTCATTATTGCACCCCAAACCCCAAGGAGCCCATTGAGACATTTTCTCCCTGATCCTCCCCACCATGATGTCTTAATACCACAGATATGTCTATTTATGTACTATATGCATATCTGTACATTATACATGAGAAAGTATAATTTTTACTAGATAGAATCTAACAGTATATTAACTGACTAAACTACTGTGGGTTTACTTTGGAAATACAAGGGTGGTTTAATACTATAAAATCTAATCAATATAGTTTACCAAATGACTATGTCAGAGGAGGAAAAATATAAGAGCCGCTGTAGATACTGAAAGAATATTTGATAACATGTAATATTCCTTCCAGATAAGACCCTCTGTATGATAAGAATAAGTAAATTCTACCTTAAATGATAAAAAAATATATGTCTCAACCTAAAACCTGGCATTACAATTAATGAGAAAATACTGGAAGCAGTCCCACTTAGTCAGGAACAAGATGAGGACACTGTCTGTCACCACTGTTAGTTGACATTGTTCAGGAAGTGCTAGACAATTCAGTTAGCAAAGAGAATGAGAAATATACTGGATTGGGACAGGCAAAATTGCCATGATTTGCAGGTGTTCGACTACATGATAAATTCAAGAATATGTATACAGAAAACCTATTAGAAGGGAATTCCCTCAGGTAGCTGGGTACAAAATTAATATATTAAGTTTAAATATATGGAATTGCTAAGATTTGATTATTTCATGGTAACTTCTTGTGGTTCAACCTAATAAAAATCAATAATATACCAATATATATATTGAATATGCCAATACATAGCTTACTAATCAACATACTTAATAACTTATAAAGGGTGGACCTTTCTAAGCTTGTTGCAAAATACAGAAGCTATAAAGGAAGAGCTCAACATACTTTTGATTATATAAACTTTAGAAATTATTTCGTAAAAGCCCACAAGCAAAAATAAAGGACTAGCAGAAACTAACACAACATTGTAAAGCAACTATACTCCAATAAAGATGTTAAAAAAAAGGACTAAAATATTTGCACAGATAGGTTAGATGATTAATGTCTAATATTGAGTATATATAAAAAGCTCCTACAAATAAATTTTTTAAGAACTATAGAGGGACTTCCCTGGTGGCCCAGTGGTTAAGACTCCGTGCTTCCACTGCAGGGGGCACGGGTTCCATCCCTGGTCAGGAAACTAAGATCCCGCATGCCGCATGGCACTCACCGCCCCACCACTGAAAAAAAAAAAAAAAAAAAAGAACTATAGAAAACTGTGCAGGGGAACTGTAAATGGCTACTAAAGATGGGAAAGATATTTACTGCTCTCATTTGGACTGGTAAATAACAATGAGCCAGTGTTGACATAGGGTGATGTTGCATTTTACCAGCTCCAGTCTCGGCCAGGCCGGCTCCTAGGCTCAGATCCATGTCTTTTTTGGGGTGTGAGGGGTGTGAGGAGAGAGGGTTCAGCATCACCTCCTGGGGGTTAGGCCCTGCCTCACAGAGAACTAATGCCCGCCCCTCCCCTGCCTGCCTTCCAGCCCTGTCCATCCTGAAGCGGACCCCCCGGAAGCGCCCAGGCCGGGTAGCCTTCGATGGCATCACTGTCTTCTACTTCCCTCGGTGCCAGGGCTTCACCAGTGTGCCCAGCCGCGGCGGCTGCACCCTGGGTATGGCCTCCCGCCACAGTGCCTACCGCCGCTTCTCCCTGGCCGAGTTTACGCAGGAGCAAGCCCGGGCACGGCAAGAGAAGCTGCGCCTACGCTTGAAGGAGGAGAAGCTGGAGGCGCTAAGATGGAAGGTGGGGAGACCCTCTGCCTGGCCCTCGCCCTAGGAGTTGCTCTGAAGTCCTAGCCTTGGGGGGACAGGTGTCAGGGTGGATGCCGATTTGCTTGTTGTGTTTGTGGGAGGCCTGTGGGGCTGTGATTGGCCTGATCAGGGTTTGCTGCCAAATTATCTGCAGGCAGATGGGTATAGAAGGTCTCCTGTTTGCTGCAGGGTTGGGGACGTGGTGCCTGAATATGCCTGACCTCACTGGGAAGGGGGAGTGGATGGGACACCGGGGGTCGGTGTATCTGTCTGGGGGACGGGGTTTGTCCAAGGACTGGGGAATAACATGAATACGAAACCTGTTTGCAAACGCCCTAAGGGTATTTTCTTGGCTGTTCCATTCACTATGGCATCCACAGTGCCCAGCCCAGAGAGAGTAAGCACGTGGCAGGGGGGTATTTATCAAGTGACCGATGCTGCCAGAAACTGCATCCGTGTCTGCCTCTCACGTCTCTCCTCTCTGGACACAGCTTTCGGAGGCCGGGATACCCAAGACGGAGGCCAGCCTGCCGCTTACAGTGGACACCATAGATGATGCCTCTGTGGAGGAGGATTTGGCAGTGGCCGTGGCAGGTGGCCAGTTGGAGGAAATGACCTTCCTCCAGCCCTACCCAGCCCGGAAGCGGCGGGCTCTGCTGCGGGCCTCGGGCGTGCGGAGGATCGATCGTGAGGAGAAGCGAGAGCTGCAGGCCCTGCGCCAGTCCCGGGAGGACTGTGGCTGTCGCTGTGACAGGGTCTGTGACCCTGAGACCTGCAGCTGTAGTCTGGCGGGCATCAAGTGCCAGGTACGGGAGCCAGGCGGGGCTGGGAAGGCGAGCCTGAGTCAGGGCCTGCTCCGGGCTCCGCCGGATCCTCACCTGCACCTCTGCTTTCTTTGCAGATGGACCACACAGCGTTCCCCTGTGGTTGCTGCAGAGAGGGCTGTGAGAACCCTAAGGGCCGTGTGGAATTTAATCAGGCGCGAGTTCAGACCCATTTCATTCACACGCTCACCCGCCTGCAGCTGGAGCAGGGGGCCGAGAGCCTTGGGGAGCTGGAGGCCCCGGCCCAGGGTGCCGCATTCAGCCCCAGCGAGCAGGTCCTGGCCCCCACGTTCCCACTGGCCAAGCCCCCCGTGAGCAGCGAGCTAGGAGACAACAGCTGCAGCAGCGACATGACCGATTCGTCCACAGCTTCGAGCAGCAGCGAGGCACCCAGTGGCTCTGCCCACCCGGCCCTGCCCGGCCCCGGCTTCCAGCCCGGAGTGGACGATGACAGCCTGGCTCGGATCCTGAGCTTCAGTGACTCTGACCTGGGTGGAGAGGGGGAGGAGGAGGAGGAAGGGGGTGTGGGCAGCCTGGACAACCTCAGCTGCTTCCACCCAGCTGACATCTTTGGTACCGGTGACCCCACTGGCCTGGCCAGCTGGACCCACAGCTATTCCAGCTCCAGCCTCGCGTCAGGCATCCTGGATGAAAACGCCAACCTGGATGCCAGCTGCCTCCTCAACAGTGGCCTTGAAAGCTTGGGGGAAGGCAGCCTCCCCGGCCCCCCGGTGCCAGCCATCACGGATGCCGGCCAGAGCAGCTCAGTGGACCTGAGCTTGTCCTCCTGTGACTCCTTCAAGCTGCTCCAGGCCCTGCCAGACTATAGTCTGGGGCCCCACTACACCTCCCAAAAGGTGTCTGATAGCCTGGACAACCTCGAGGCGGCCCACTTCGCCCTGCCTGCCTTTTCTCCCCCTGGGGACGCCAGTACGTGCTTCCTGGAGTCCATCATGGGCTTGTCTGAGCCAGCCGCCGAGGCCCTGGCTCCCTTCATGGACGGCCAGTTGTTTGAGGACACTGCCCCAGCGTCGCTGGTGGAGCCTGTGTCTGTGTGAGGGTTAGGGTGCCTTTTCCCGGCCCCAAGAGCCCTGTTGCTGCTTCATTGTAATTGGGGGCTCCCTGAGGTCTGCCTGTATGTAACGGTCTCCCATTGGCTGGCTCCCATGTGGGCACTCCTAATTTTCATGCAACACTCTGGATTTATTTATTTATTTTTGTAACCTTCTGTGCTGAAGCGGGACGGGGGGGGGCACTTCCCCTTTCAGCCGCCTGGTCCCCCATATGCCCACACCCTCTCTTCCACTTCCATGGCCGTGCCAGGAGCAGGAAGAAATGTGGCTCCCCTGGAGCTTTGCAGACTCCTTTTCGGTCTTGTATGATGTTCCTAAGCCCAAAGACAGCCACACAGGGCTGAAATCAGCCACTTCTTAAGGCTTCTTCTGCCACCCTGAGCCCTAGACTCATGGGTGGCTGAATCCTCTGGACTGTGAAGACTATAATTTATTTCCATAATTTATTTGGAGACTAGGTGGCTGGCAGGCAATGCTAGGGCTGGGGTGGGGCACAGACCCATGCGAGTCCCTTTGCCTTTTAGTCCTGCAGCCCTGCCCTTGCCGGGGCTTTGCTGTAGACCAGGCATGGATTTGAGCCCTCTGTCTAATGTGGCAGCTGCCCTGCTCCGGCTGGCTGAGCAAGCCGGAGCTGGCCTGGGACAGCATCTGGGCAGGGGGAGGGGCTGGGCTGACCAACCGTGACCAAAACCCTCTTCTGCCCCACGCAGCCCCCTCTCCTTCCTGTCCTCTGCCCCATCTTCCCCCTCCCCAAAGGCTGCAGCTTTTATTCCAAGCCCATCAATGTAGGAGGGGGAAGCAGGAGGCCCAGAGAGGGCAAGGGGCTGCCCCAGGGCCTGTAGCACGCCCCTGACCACTCAGGGCTTTCCAGGCACGCACTCCAGCCTGGTCCACCTGCCTGTACCCTAAGGCCAGTTGGCCAGGGGCGAGGGGTGGCTCCTTATGGCTTTCATGCCCTTTGTTTGCAGATGTTGAATTTCGCATCATAGTTTCTATATTGTCCCTGAGTATTAGAACTGTAATTTATTCATTTTTCTGTGTCTGTGCCAAGAAGCCCAGGCTCTGGGCCTGCCCTCTTGCCTAGGAGGCCTTGCCAGCCTGCGAGCTTGTGGGAACACCTTGTACCTGAGCTTACAGGTACCAATAAAGAGGCTCTATTTTTCAGTGTGGTCTGTGTTTGTGGATCTGGGAGCACATTTGTGGGACCAGGAGCACAGGTACACCCTCAGGTGGCAGGGAGGAGGGAGGGGGAGGGGGAGGCAGGCCCTGCTGGGCAGTATGGACATTGAGGCTGTGTTGGGGATAGAAGTGGGGGACACTGGGCCTCTTTCCATGCCAGCCAGTCAACTCAGAGACAGGAAGCCAGTGAGAAGAGGCTGGCCGGGCCGATGGAGCAGTTTTCCCCTTGGATGAAGCCATCTCCAGTGGTCACCTGGATGGTGGTGGGGAGCAGCAGGGCAGTCTTCTGGGACAGGGCTGTCTGTGTGGGATGGGTGTGGGCTTACTTCTTCCCACTCACCCGTACTGAGCTGGGGCCTGGCCTCGAGGGTGAAGCGGGCAGTGTGATATGGCTGGTGCAGGCCTTATGTGGGACTGAGTGGCTGAGGTCCTTGGGGACCTGAGCACCAGAAGCTGCAGAACCTCATCCATCTGCACCAGCCAGACCTGTCTGACCTGTCCCTGGCAGCTTGGGCCAAAGGCCAGAAGAGCAGGCTGCACCCTGCCCCAGGAGGCCCCAGTCTGGGGGCCTGAGGAGCAAGGTTGACCTCCCCTCTAGGAATAATAATGATTTATACAAATGCTAGGAGGGGTCACCAAAAAGACCTGACTTGGGTCTCCCTTTTCTTGCTCTAATTCTCTGCCTATGCTGGGAACGCCTTATTTCCTCTCTATGGCTTACTGGTTAAGAGCACAGACCCAGAGTCCCAGGGTTTGAATCCCAGCTCTTATACTAACTAGTGAGGTGACTTATGCAAATTACTTCCCCTCTCTGTGCCTGGGTGTCCCCCGTATTGTCCAAATAATAACACTGCTTACCTCACAAGCTTGCTCAGTTATACGCACCCAGTGCTCAGAGGAGTGCCTGGAACATGTAAGCCTCGGGTGCGTGTCTGACTTCCCATTCTGTTTTCATGTGTCTGCTCTATTTCTGTATGTTTTATCCTCTTTTTTTGCCAGTTCTGTCACCCCTTAGGTATCTATCGCTTGCCTCAGGATATGTGTAGACATAGTCACGTGGTCATGTCGTCAGTGGAGTGGCCGTTAGAGAACTCATGGCTTGGAGTCCGGGCTATGGTGGGGCCACCTGTCCCTGGTACCAGCTTAGGCAGGGACAGCCAGGTCTTAGGCATCTCAGGGTGGAGTATTCTGGTGCATCAAGTTGTCTCGTGGCCCCTCTCACTGATCCCTGGGAGCCCTATTGTAGAGATTGCTCCAGCACGCATGATCCAAAACCTGGGTCTCTCCAAGGGTCCTGAGGCTCTGCTCTGGCCAGCCTGGGGGTCTGGGTGGCAGCCCCCGACAGCTCCAATACTCTGGCTGGAAGCCCCTGCAGGCTCCTATCCCGTGGCCACAGCCCATGGCTGGACTGAGCCTACCCACTCCCCATCTAGGGCCCCAGGGTCACTTGGGTTTTTTTCTCAACATAATCCACCCCAAGAAACTAGGTTGTAAAGCAGGTCATAATAAAGGCAGCTGGCTTCCCATAGGAAGGATGGTGGTAACCTGGGGAAAACATTCCAGATCACTGACTCATACCAAAAGGCCATGCACAAGATCAGCAATATGTTATAAAGACAAGGCTCGCAGCCATCAGGGACGACTTAGGCTGTTCTAGAAGGGACCTTTACCCGTTCACTGTTCCCAAACCTTAGTCACTGGACAACTTATCTTGAAAACTCTGCCATATCTGCATTCTACTCATACTAAGTATTTTACTTTATATCAATTATATCAATATGCTTAAAAGTTAGAACCATTCTACGTAACAGCACCCACAAATCCATGAGTTTGTTGTACTATTTTTTCTATAAGGATGATACTTAAACACATAGTTATTAAACTTTCAAATGTTTGCTGTGTATCATTAGCAGGCATTTGTACCATGATTTGGGAACACAGAGATCTAGTCTAATTTCCTGCCACAGATGGGGACACATACCCAGAGGGGAAGGTCACACAGGGAGATTCTAGGCCTCCTGACTCCCAGTTCAGAGTTCCTTCCCCTGAGGTCAGACTGGCCCATTACTGCCATCCTGCAAAACAGGAAGAGAGGTATTGGGAGCACACCAAAGGTGACCTCTGTCACCCTCTTGCCAGTTACAATTAACACTATTCATCTACACAGGGACCCCTGCTTTTGTCCCCTGAGGTGTTAAAAGGGTTCCTCGAGGATGAATTAGTTGGTCACTGTCTTTTACTAAAGATGAAGTAGGAGCTAGTTTTACTTGGGATGTATTTTCCTGCCAGAGGCAAGAGTAATCAGGGTTTGTCCCAAACTGGTAAGGACCAGCAGACGCTGGCTGAAGACTTGGGGAGGGGGAGGCAGAATGCATGGACAGAGTGGGCCTGTTTGGGCCCCTGCCAGGGAGGACGCAGCGGGCAGCTTGGCAGAGAGGAGCAGTTGCTTCTTTAATCCAGGATTCTGGGGACCAGACAGGAGAAGAGAGGCTTGTACGGGCAAACATAAAAATATTAAAATAGCTGTAGGGTGTTTTTTAAGCCACCTCTTTGCTCCCCTTTGGCCTCTGAGAGTCTGGGATAAAAGCGGAGCGCATTAGAAGTTGCCCAGTGAGCTCAGTGGAAGCTAAGCTGGTTGATAACTTTCTTCCCCAGAGCAAAATTGCTTCTTGTGCCTTAAAAACATAAAGCTTTGGGACGTCCCTTAGACCAGATTAGGCATGATTCAAATAAACCACACACAATATAGAAATGGGAAGAATATGTCATTTTCTGACTCTCTTCTCCACTGACCCACTTCCCACCCCCTCCATGAAACTTCTGTAGGTTGATAGTTTCCACCCACCCTGGCTCCCACTGACCACAGCTAGGGCCTCAGAGACCCTTGGGCCTTTTCCAAAATTTCTTCTCTGATTCTGGGGTAGTTGGGGTGCTCCTTGAGGACCTGGGACCGAGAGAGAAAGGGTGTGAAGCACCAGGCAGGGCTCCCCGCCACTGCAGCAAGCCCCCCACCACTGTCGGGGGCTTACATCGTGGCAGACTTCGATGGCCTCCACGAATCTCTTGTCCTTCAAGTAGTTGAAAGCGAGTTTGAAGCCTATCCAGGAGCAGGGAGAATGCAGACAATGGGTGGCAGTCCGACGACCTGAGAACCCCTCCGGTTCCCACAACAGCCAGAACATAGGCCTTGTGTTGCGGGGTGAGTTTGTTGGTCCTCCGGCCCAGCACCCACGCACGCCTGCCTGGCTGCCTTACCGCTGGCAGGGTTGGCATGATGGCTGTACTTCCAGGCCAGCTCATAGTTGGTGGCTGCGTCCTTGTACGACTGTTCTCTCTCCATGATGAAGCCCATGTACTCGTAGGCCTTGCAGCAGGACTGAAGGGAAAGCCACATCCCATCCCGGTTGGGGCAAGGGATGGGCAGTGGGTGCATTCACCCAAACCACTCAGGGACTCCAGCAGCACCGCCCACCTTGGCGAGGCGTGAACTGTGTACCCTCTTCTCAGCTGTGCCCACTCTGACAGGGCGCCTTCCTCCGCAGCCCTCCTGCCCTGACCTGCAAATGCCCCTCCCGGCCCCACCAAACCCTCCCTGCACGCTGCCCCTCGACCTCATGAACCCTTCCCATCTCTCCTCCCCATTCCACGTTCCCCCCTCCCAGACACTGTGCGCCTCCTCTTGCCTTGCTCCGTGTTCCCATCCTGCTCTGTGGTCCACAGGAACCCTCTTGTCCCGCCTCTTCTCATCTCCTTCCTACCCCCGCATCTCTGCCCCCATGTGCCCATGTGCACCTCCCCCGACCCCGCCCCGACAGCCGTGCGTGCCTTGCCTTGTTGTACTGCATGCAGCGCCGCAGCAGCTCCGAGGCCAGGTCGAACTTGCCGCCCTGGCAGTAGATGTCGGCCAGCAGGAGCCAGCTCTTCTCCAGGTCCTCGGCCTCGGCCAGCGTCCATGGGGCCTTGGCCAGACGCTTCAGCTGCGTGCGTGCTTTGGGGACCTGCTTCAGCAGCGAGTAGGCCTGTGCCATGGCCAGCAGGGCGGGAATGCTGTCCTTCTGTGAGGGTGGGAAGCAGGTGCTGCCTCGCCCCGCCCTCAGCATCCCCCCACCGCCTGTCCACCCAGTGGGCAGCTGGTGCACCTCGGCCTGGGCCATCTCAGTGAAGGTGCCCAGCGCCGCCTCCACGTTAGCCTTCTCCCTGGTGGCCAGCAGGCACAGGCTCTGCAGCAGCCGCAGCTGGGTCTGGCCCCAGGCCGAGTGTGGGTAGAACTCCCGCAGCAGCTTCTCAGCAGTGCGCACGCCGTGCTGCTCCAACTCCTTCCTGTCAGTGGAGCCGTGGGCATCGGATGCCAAGCCAGAGGGCAGAGGGCACTGGCCTGACAGCCTGGCCCTCACCTGGCCTTGACCCAGAGGCCGCGGGCTCTCTCTGCCTTCCCCCAGGTCCCACCCCTGCCCTTGCCGGCCAGCCGGGCCCTCACTTGCTCTCAGTCACCAGGTTCTCGAAAGCCTCTCCACCCACGATCTCATTGTCTGGGTTCAGACAGATTTGCACCATGTAGTAGATGGCGCTCTGGCCCCAAGTGCTGTCCTTGCGCGCTTTGTTTAGGAACTTCAGGGCTTCGTTGGGTTGCCCTATGTGCCTATAGTGGAGGAGAGAAACACCAAGAATCAGACAGGGAAACTGAGGCCCGAGGAGTACAGGGACACACAGGGGTCACTCTGTGAATCTGCACAATGCAGGGGCAGGATCGCTGGTCTCCCTGCTTCCTGATCTGGAAGCTGAATTTCTGCTTCCCTAGCAAACGCCAGCATGTCCGTTAGGGACAACCTCCTGCACATAACTGCCAACACACCCACCCCAACCCACCAGCAGTAGATGCCTCTGCAGTAGTTGAACCCTGGTTCTAAAGGCACCCGGCTGGACACCTTCTTGGCCAATTCAAAGAAGGCAGGGGCGTCCTCAAGTTTGCCACTTCTTCGTAGCAGATCGATTAGTTTGTTCAACACAGGAAAATTGTCTAAAACAAGAGAGCAGAAACCTTCAGGCTGTGATAACCAACAGCTGAATCAGGCAGGGAGAGGCAGGGAGGACCAGGAAACACTACCCGTCTGGGCTGAGCAGGGGCAACCCAGTGGCTCCAGTGTCTCCACTGAGACGCAATAAAGTAGGTACTCTTATTGTTCCCATTTACAGATGAGGAGACTGAGACACAAAGAAGTTAAGTAATCTGCCAAAGGTTACAAAGCTGGTAAACAGAGGACCAGGATTCAGACCTAGACAGTCTGGCTCCAGGACCCGAACTCCTAATAGCTGTGATTGCTGGGTGACTCTGGTGTGGGCCTGTCTGGGGCTCCACCCTGAGCCTCGTGTCTGGCCCCTTCCCCAGCAAGAAGCAGTGGTTTTATGTTGCAGTGAGTGGGAATGGAGCTACACGTCAGGGAAGAATTTCTAGCTACCTCTAGGTGGCTGTGACCTCAAAAGGGGACTTATGTTGAGCCCCAGTGTCTGTGATTTGGGGATAGACAGGCTGTCTTGGGTCCAGTGCCAAGCACTGCCCTGCCTGAGACCAGGAACTGGCCCCTTGGACTCGGGAAGGGCCAGCACGTTCCACTGGGCCTTTATCAGTTTCCTGCCTCTCTGGGAACAATCAGAGAGGAGGGGGCTTCCTCTGCCCAGTCAGGAAGGAGGGGAGAGGGCCCACCCTTCTGGGGGGAGAGCAGCCCTCGCTTGGTGGGAACCGACACAGGCAGTCTCAGTGGGTAGGCTCGATGCAGGCAGTTACCTGGCGCTTTCTCCAGGACTTGGTGGTAGAGGTTGATGGCAGCTTCGTATTTCTGTTTTCTAAACATCAGGTCAGCCATCATCTATCAGAAAACACGCGATGCTGGGACAGCAGCTTGCATGGGCATGGCGGGGAGGCTGTCGTGGGAACGGGGTGGGTAAGGAGGGAAGGTAGGAGAGGATTTCCGAGGTAGCCTCTCTGGGCTCTGGGAGAAGCTGCCACGGGAGAAGCCGAGAAGGCGGGGCAGCCTGGGGTGGGGGAGCGGGGGGCAAGGATGGAAGTAGGAAGGAAAGGCTGGAGGTAGACATGCGAGGAGCTAGGCCCTCCACCCCCATCTGAGAACTACCAGCTCCAGGCAGCGAGGTGGAATGGGGGCTCCCCACCTCTGCTGGGGCGGTCCTGAAGGTGGTCTGGGTGACAGGGTGGAGAGCGGCTGGACTGGGGATGGCTCTTCCCACACACTTCCCGAAGCCCCAGGAACCTGTCCCACCCCTGCCTTCAACAGTTGGGTGTGGTTTCCCCCGGAGTGAATCAGCCTCACCACCTCCCCTCAGATTGGCCCGGGAGGTCGCTGCTGCCCCCTGCTGCCAGCCCGCCCCTCCCATCCAAAGGGCAGCGGGTCCAGTGCTGAGTCCTGCTGCCCGACAGCCCCTCAGGGCCGGGTCAGCCGGGCACCTGGGGTTACGGGGTTAGGAAGCAGCCCGCATGCGGTCGCAGGGACCCTGGGGAAGGCAGGGAAGAGGGCCCGGAGTCTCTTACCACGGAGGCTGTCTCATGGTTCTTCTCAGTCTGCAGGAGGATGGCGCAGTGCTGCTCGCACAAGTCCAGGTGGCCCTGCAGCAGGTAGAGCCGTGCCAGTTCTGGCACCACCTGGACAAGACCAGATACAATAACTAACCAATGCACATCATGGGAAAGCTCAGGGACCGATGCCTCGTTCTCTCACACCCAAGTTCTATCAGTTCTTCCTTCAAAATATGTCTCTGATCCCCTGGGATGGTGTCTCTGGCTTTCCCCTTCTCCCACCCAATACTCTAGTCACACCGTGCCTTTTACTAACTAACCGCTGAGAGTTGGGGCCTGGTTTACTCATATTCATCCTTCAGCTTCAGCTCCAACCTCATCTCCTCTGGGAAGCCCTCTGTGCCCCAGACACCTGGACAGGTACCCCTCTTCTGAGCTCCCGCGGAGTACTGAGCCCCATGCGGGTATCACATGGTATGAGAACTGCATGTGTACTTGTCTGTACCCCATGCCTGAGGGCAGTCTATGGGCAGAGACCGTGTCTTGCCCCACTGCATCTCCAGGGCCTAGCTCAGTACCTGGCTTGCACATATTGGGAATCTGTTAAATGAGAGCATATTAAATAAATGAATGGGTCTGTCACTAGGCTCTTCATCTACCCTCCGCCTGTGAACTCCAGCCACCATTCCCTATCTGAAGCCACACCTCTCACAAGACTTTAAACCTCCTTGGAAGCTTAGCCTGGGCTTCATGCCCAAAGAGCCCCCAGCAGCCACACTCTCATTGTCTCTCCATCTGCAAGGGGGACCTGAAAAGGGCAGACTTGCAGCACCTTTCAGCAACACCTTCCCTGCTCCACCCTCCACAAGTGGCTGTCCAAAGCGAGCCTTCCAGGGGACTTCCCTGGTGGTCCAGTGGTTAAGGCTCCGTGCTCCCAAAGCAGGGAGCCCGGGTTCGATCCCTGGTCAGGGAACTAGATCCCGCATGCATGCCGCAACTAAGAACCCGCATGTGGCAACTAAGACCTGGTGCAGCCAAATAAAATAAATAAATATTAACAAACAAACAAACAAAAAAAACAAAGCAAGGCTTCCAGTCTTGCTCCGAGGGCTGTGGTGGGTGAGGACCCTGGGGTCAGCTGGAGCAGGCCCCCCCGGCACCAGGGGTCTGTGCCCCTTGCAGGGAGGCACAGAGAAGGAACTGGCCTCCGTCCCTAGTCAGGGAGCTCTGCGAGGCTTCGCGGCCCAAGAGAAGGAAGAGGGTCTCCCTCTTGAGGATCCACCTTATTTCAATCCCCACCTTATCGTCAATGGGTGAGTAGGAGAGGGCATCTTTGTAAGACTGCACTGCCTTGGCATACTCCTTCTCTGCCAGGTAGTACTCCCCAAAGTGGATGCAGATGGAGGCTGCCAGTTGCTTCTGGGAGGGGATCATTTCTGGTTGCTCCAGGGGAACACGCTTCAGGATCCGAGACTGGAGGTCCATGGCCTTGGGAAAGCAGTAAACTCTGCATCAGAAACCCAGAGCTTGATGTGCCAGATCTCAGGCCAATTCACAGCAAATCCCCAAGCTCTCAACTCAGGGCCAGCTGTCTTAGCAAGGGCATCTCAAGTGCCCTTGAGCAAATCTGGGTCGCTCTGGACAGGCAGGGCCACTGGCTGAGTACCCAGGAGGTGAACTGGCACTGCCTCTGGGGCAGGAGCAGAAGCAAAGGCACTCAAACAAAACACTCTATTGTACTTGACTTGTTTACCTGTTTCCATCACACCTTGGTACTCACTGTGTCTAATTTGCTTCAGCTGTCCTACAGGCTAGGACAAGCACACCATAGGTATTCAACGCAGGCTGTGTTTTGATGGGTGCATTTGTTCTGAATACTGCCCTGCTGGGAACTTGAGGCGGCCCCCACAAATGTCCATGACATACAGTGATCAAGTGAGTTAACCAGAGAGCATTGGGGCAAGAGGAAATGAGGATGCCAGGGTTAAGTTTCGGGAAGTGGGCACAGATCAGCCCCGGGTTCCCTAAGGGCCAGACTGAGGAATGGAAATCCAGAGGGGAACAAGGGGATAAGTCACCTCAAGCAGTCCGAGATGTTCTACAACCACAGAATACACCCCAGGGGCAAGTGCCAGGCCATACCCTCGGGTAGAAAGAGTGAAGGAGTGGGAAGAATGGCCAGGAGTCTCCCAGCAGGAGACTTTGGGCTGGGACAAGCCAAACCTGGTTCAAATCTCAGCTCTACCACTTACTAGCAGTATGACTTTGGGTACATTTCTTAACCTCTTTGAGTCTTATCTGTTAAATAGGAATGTCACAGTGCTTAGCTCAAAGGGCTACTGTGAGAATTAAATAAGAAAGCAAAAAGCCTAGTACAGAACTCAGCACAGAGCATTCAATGCATGGGAGCCTGCTGGCATTATCTATTATTATCACCACAAGCATCCTTGAGGACAAAGGCACTGTCTTATGCCCTGCATTCTCCAGCCCAGCCCAGGCGGGCTTAGAGCACTTCCGTGCACAATCAATAAGAGAGCAAGGCTGGGGGGATAAATGCAAGGTGGAGGTCGGAGGTGTAACCTAGATCCTCTTTTGAGGACCAGGCCTGGAGCCTTCCAGACCTGCAGTCCTATCCTATCTTCAGCTCCCATCAGGAAATGGCAGATAAAGAGCTTGAGTCTACTTGTCAATTACCTTGTTCAAGGTGTCCATCACATCTTCTTTCTTATGGCTCTTGTAAACCTTTGCCAGCAAAAGCAAGCACTTGACATCATTCATCAAGGATGGGATGTCTTTGACTGCAAAATGGAAACTCAAAGTAGTGTTTTCTGGCCCCTGGGAAGCGGGGCATGGGGGAGGATGGAGGCTGGGTTCAGAGCCCCAACCAGTGCCCGTCCCCTGCCCCATTCTGCAGGAGAAGAGGGTGCGGGCCGGGGGCAGTCTGTCTGCTCGAAGGTTAGGGGAGTGAGGATGCTGACTCACCAAAGTCATGATCCAGTGCCTGCTTCAAAACTTTTTCTGCTTTGTTGAACTTCTTTAACTTCAGGAGCAGTTCAGCCAGATCGTGGCACAGAAAGTCCTGTCCGCTAATCTTCTGGGCAGCCTCATAATAATTAATCGCCTTAGTGCACACAGGAAATATTGGCATCAAGTCTGGTTTTACTCGCGAGCACCTCACACCGTGTGCACACCGCCCCACTCCCCGCCGCAGCCACCGCGCCTGTGTGCCCCTCCAGATCACAGAAGCCTCAGGTGCAAAGGCCTCCCTCCTGGCTCAGGGCCCGAGCCTTAGCCTCGGCAGGTGGTGGGGGGTGGTGGGGAGTTGCTGAGTCCTCCCCTTGGCACCCCATTCAGCGGGCTCTCCCCTCCCACCCAGCCTCCCACCCATGCACCCTCCTCCATCTTCCCTGCTGGGCCGGCCCTCCCCACCCCTTCCCACCCCAGCCCAGCCTGACCTTGGTGTACTGGTGGGTCTTCACGTAAGCTTGCCCAATCCTGCTGATCAGGGATGCGTCGTGTGGGTTCTTTCTGTAGGCCTCGTCGTAGACCTCGAGGGCCTTCTCGGGCTGGTGGGGAAAGGGTCCGCAGTCTCTCTCTTCCCTCTCACTGGAGAAGTAAGTTTTTTTTGGGGGGGGGCACTTGGTGAGGTCATGAGACCTTCACTCACCTCCTGAATGTTCATGAAAGCATCACCCAGTAGCAGGCTGGTGTGAGGGCCAGGCAGATGTTCACAGAGCTCCCTGCAAAAGTAACCAAAACCTTAGCTCAGCCCTGTGCATCCTTCCTATTCCTGAATCCATCTCCTCTTCTTTCCCACTCATTCTGGCTGACATTCTTTCATTTACTCATTCATTCATCACTCAGTATTTATTGGCTCAGATGAGGCATGGTGCTAGCTCCCTTAGTTCAGCCTCTCCTCAACTGTCATCTGGACCACAGCCGGCACTTCCACCCACTCCTCTGGCCTCCACTCCCAAACCCCCAGACCCCTCTTCATGAGGCAGCCTGCTCTTTCTAAACCTCCAGTGTGACTATGTCACCCTACTGCTTATTGGTTTCCCACTGCTCTTGGCATCACCTCCCCTTCCTCCTGAATTGCCTAGATAGAGTTTTGCCTGAGGAAGGGGACCAGGGCAGTACCCTTGAAGTCCCAATGTCAAATCGTAGAGACAGTAACTTGGGGCTTCCAATCCCTGCTCTCCATCCTCCTTCACTCACGTTGGTACATCTAAGTCACTGAACATTTCCTCAAGGACAGGCAGAGCCAGGGGCTGGGGCAGAAAAATGATTCCCACCAGGATGTGACCCATAACGGGGGGCAAGCAGGGCTCAGGGCAGATTCACCCCTGTATCCTCACAAGTCAGCCACAAGCTGGTCTGACTGACCTAACCCATGGGAAATTCCCTACTTTCATCAAACACACTCTGAGGACACATTCTGAAGACCCAGGGTGAAGAAGACAATCTGGAGAAAACACTCCCTGAGATGCCACTGGGGCTGGGGCTGTCAGTGCACTGCCCAGGGCTCACCGGTAGCACCCGATGTAGAGGCGGACGTCCTTGCAGGTCTGCAGGTAGATGCTGGCCATCTTCTCCTTGGCCTCCATGTAGCAGGGCTGCTTGGGTGTGATGTTCCTCAGAATGCTCAGTGCCAGGTCTACGTTCCCCTTGCTCAGGGCCAAATCCACGTTGGCAATGGTGATGCGGATCTCCTCCGGCGTGCCACTGAACTCGTTGATGGTGTCCTGCATGACCTTCGTGGCCTCATGCTAAGACATGGGAACCCAACAGACCCTCCATTTGCTGTCACCCACCACTCCTGGAAGCCAGGGAGAGGATGGCCCACCTCCACCTCAGAGCAGCAGGAAGGAGAGAGAGCCCCTCGGCATCCAGGGCCACTGTTCCTGGAGGGCAGGGCCAGCTGAGGGGCACGAAACCCCTGACTGTAAGAACTTGTTCCCGAGCACCTCAAAGTCTGTTGGTGATTCCTTCCTATGGGAGACCTATGGACGCCTCTCCTTGTACCTTCCTGCTTTCAGTCAAAGATATTTTAACGTTATGGTATTGGGCACATAAAGGTCTATTCGAATTATATTTTCATTGTATATGTACCCTTGATTATTCTAACAAAGTTACTCTCTTTGCCCATTTTGGTGCTTCCTGCCTTTGCCCAGCCAGACCTTCCAAGGTCCCAGGGCTGCCTCATACAGTTGAGCAGGTTGTACACTGCAAAACTTCAAGGGGATGTAACTGGCATCTACTGGAGCTGTGCATTGCCCAACCTGCACGACTACCTGTGGTGGCCCTGGTGGGCCTGTGTGCTCCACCTCCCAGATCCTTATAGGGACAGTGACGTAGGCAGGGGACAGATCATGCAGGACTCAGTAGGGTTTGGAGTTTATCTTGAGGGCAATGGGAGCCACTGAAGCCTTTTAGGTAAGGGAGAGGGATGCTCCCAAATGAATAAAGCCTCAAATAGAGCACCAGGAGACATCAGCCAGAATCAAAAAGCCTTGTTCCCAGGCCTACCCTGGACCTCCAGCACGCCCCAGAACCAAGCGGAGAGAGCAGCACATTTCTTACCAGCTCCCCATTCATCCGGAGGGCATCTGCCAATTCCAGTAAGATGGATACCCGCTCGCTGGGCCGCACAGAGGGCCCATGGAACTTCTTGCTTTCTTCCATCTTCAGAATTGGTAATTTTATGATCATCTTCAGTGCCTTTATGGCTTCTGGGTAGTCTCCAGACTTGTTGAGGGCCCTGGCCTTGATGAAGTGGTAGAGGGGGTGGTCTCGGACCTAGAGGAGCATAAGCAAAGTGTGGGGCTCCAGCTTCCAGAGGGGAGAAGGCCACAGGAGACCACTGAGCCTGCTCCTGCCTTTGGGCCAGCAGAAGGGGCTGAGGGATGCAGGCAGCTCCTGAGGCTACTCTCCTGAACCAAGTGGGGGCTGATGCTAGCTGGGCTGTGGGATGCCGAGCAGGTGACAGGGCATAGGGGACCCCCACCTGGAAGTTGTAGCTGACGCCCAGCTCCAGGCAGTGGGAGCACATGGCAAAGTTGCCCTGAGCCAGGTAGATCTGAGACATGAGGAGGTAGGCGTCCACGGAGGTGGGGTCCAGCTCCAGGCAACGCTGCAGGGTGCTCTGGGCATTCTCTAACTCTCCTAGAAATAATAAACAAATCTCTACATTCAGGGATCCTTGGGACTCTCAGGACCCACTATGTAAAGGCAGAAGGAATTTTACACGTCCTGTTACCCAGAAACACCCAATAGGGCATTTTACCCAGTTCTGTTCTGCTTGACTCAGAGGTTTCTTCCTAAAATTAGAACTACAGTTTTTGCCTTGACCCAGACAAAAGCCAGGAAATTCAAACCTTGGTGTGACACCTCCCTTCTCTCTGTACCCTCAGGGAGATGGCTAAGTTACTTCACTGCTCCCTCTGGAAGCTCAGGGGAACACTGAACTCTCGATTTCCACACCTAAGAGCAGAACAAAATCTAATAATAACAGCAACCATAATAGCCACAACTTAAGAAGCACCTGCTCTGCACCAACATAGGCAGAGCACTTTAGAAAGGCTGGTTTAATGTCTGCCCAGCCCCGCAAGGTTGGTATTATGATGCAGGACTGAAACTTCAGTGATATAAGTCACTCAGCTTGGAAGGGACAAAGTCAGTATTTAAATCCAGGCCTATCGGCTCCTGAGGCTGAGCTCTGAATGCCTTGGCACGTTGAGGCTAAGAGGCCTCCCTGCAGCCAGGCTGGCCCTAAGCAGGTGGCAGTGGCAGCCCAGGAATGGGGTACAGCGAGCTGGTGGGAGAGCCCTCCTCCCTCTGCAGCCAGGTCCCTCAACAGCTCCTGCTTGGGGTCCATCACCAGCTGGTGGGGAACACCTGCTTCTGGGTCCCAAACTCCCTGCTCCTTCCCTTGTGCTGCAGAAATGTGAAGATGTCACCATGACAACCTAAGCAGCTGGAGACCTTGCTTTGTCCCTAAAGGTGCTGGCAGCTGTCAGCACCACTGTGTGTGTGTCGGGATGGGGGTGGTTTCTGCCCTCCCCTTGTACCCAGGAGACCTTCAAGAAGTGGGCAAACCTGGCAGCCGGATGAACACTAGGAGGGCCGAGGATGAAGACCGGGGAGCTCTGGACAGAGTGTAACCCACACAATGCAGAGCCAGAGGACACAGGCACGCCACGGCATTCTGGAGCCTTTGGCAGACGGGGGTGAAAGGCTGAAGGGAGCAAGGACTTCGGAGAGGACAACAGGCCCCCACGGAGGTTTCTCCCCCTTTCCCTCTCCCTCCAGAATCTCGGCCTTGAGATGGGACAGGATGGACGGGGACTGTTCTGGCTGCTGGAGGCTCTGAAAGTCTAATGGTACAGGGTCTCCCCTCCTCACAAGGCCTTCCTGACCTTTTAAAAACTGCAACCCTGGCACCCCCGCACGCCCTCCCCGGCTTTCATTTTCTCCATTGCACAATCGTGCCCTAACAACAATACTGCATTTACTGTCCAAGTCCCCTCACTAGAACACAAAACTCCATGGTGGAATTTTTGCCTGTTTTGAGTACTGCTGTCCCCCAGGATCAGAGCAGTACCAGCACGTAATCAAGTTCCGTGACTATTACCTGGCACAGATCAAGTAAACCAGGGGTCCCCAACCCCTGGGCCACGGACGCGGCCTGTTAGGAGCCAGGCCGCACAGCAGGAGGTGAGCGGCGGGCCATCGAGCAAAGCATACTCTGCCGCTCCCCATCGCTCGCGTTACCGCCTGAACCATCACCCCCCCACACACCCCGCTTCTTCGTGGAAGAAAAATTGTCTTCCACGAAACTGGTCCCTGGTGCCAAAAGGGTTGGGGACTGCTGAAGTAAGCTATCAGCAAAAGGGCGGGTTGGAGAGACCCCTGCTGGTGAGGAGTCAGGAAGGTGTCTGGGGGTTAGAGGCTGGAAGGAGTGGGCCCGCCTCCTGAGGGTATGTGTGTGTGGACTACCCCAGGCAGGGAGCCTGCGGACACTCACCCAGGGGCCCCGCCAGCCATGAGGACCCACAGGCTCACCTGAGAGATACTTGACCTGGGCCATCAAATACAGCGGGTCGATCAGGGCTGGTGCTGCCTTGACTACAGGATGCAAGATCACAGAGACTTGTTTAAGAAGAGGAGACATAATCTGGCCTGGCGACCGGGGCTGTAGGAACACGGGGGTCTGGCTGTGCGGTTTGCCCTATTCCAACGGAGACTCCGGGAGTGCTCAGAAAACACTCTCGCAGTGTTTTACTTTTTTCCACATGTATATACCATCCACTCCATACCACCTAGTGCAAGAGCATCAGCTCCCGAGAATGGGGACTTTCTTTTGTTCACTGTTTCATCCCCCCTACCTAGCACGGCATCTGGCACATGGTAGTGCCTTCAATAAATATTTGTGGAATGACATTACAAGGCACTGGGGGGATATTAAGGCGTATGAGATATGATCCTTGCCCACAAGGAATCTTGACTGTCTGGGAAAGCCAGACAAACAAGAAAAGACCAACATACTTCTTAGAAGACGTCTGGCAAAAAGGGAGCCCAGTTCTTCCCTAGGATAAATGCAGACACAGGGGCCAGTGCCCTGCTCCTCCAAGTGCGGTACCTGGACCAGCAAGCATCTGCATCCCCTGGGAGATGCAGGGCTTGTGCCCCACTCCCTGGCTGACTGGTGCGCTGCACGTGCAAGTGTGAAAAGCGCTGGGCTCCCCAACTGCCAGAGGCTCAAGCACCCTGGTGACTTGCCAGGTAGGTCCTGCCTCCGTCCAGACCTGTCCTCAGGACCAACCCCGCTCCCACCCCGCCGCCATGAAGATGCACTCTCCTCTAACCTGCTTGGGGCAGAAGACCAAGTACTCCTTGGCGATGCAGACCAGGAAGAGGGGGTCAAGCCTTTCAAAGTACTCGGTGCTCAGGGGGAGGGCCTGCGTGCTGGAGAAGTGCAGCTCAGCCGCTTCCTTCAGCAGTGCCGCGGCCTCCTGCTCTCCCTTGTGCTTCTTGGAAGCCAGGAGGGCTTGGAGGAAAACCAGCACCTGTGGGAGGCAGGCCCAGGTCTTGGAAGCAACACCCTCTGCGCAGAGTTGCCAGAAGCCTGGGCTGTCTTGGGTGCTTTACTGGAAACTGGGGGTGGGAGGAAGGCGGGGCGGGGGCACGATCCTGGAGCAACCCCAGCGCCCAGAGAGCTCTGACCTCGGACTTCCCAAAGGACTGCTGCACCTCCTTCAGGAATTCCAGCTGATGCTCAGCCTCTTCCAGGTGGCCGTCTACGATCTGGCACCAGATGACCCCTGGGATGGGGCAAAACCAGGATGAGCAGCCAGCTCTGCAGCAGAGCCAGCAGTCCAGCAGTCCAGAGGCAGGGACGGGAGAGTAGATGGCAGGGGCCCTTTCCGACATCTTCACAAACTTAGAGTGGCACATACTCATGGTAAAGAATTCATATCATAAGGCAAGGAAAACATCCCTAGCTCATGTTCTGGCTGTGTCTCTCTCTAGAAAGAACCAACATGAACAGTTTGGGGTATACGCCTCCAAACATCTTTTGAAGCATTTATATGTTATTAGCGTATACCATGTTTTCCCATCAGTTCATACAAATCTACCCCATTCCCTTTAATCATGACATAATATTCCACTGTGGATGTAACCGTTTAGTTAACTACTGCCCTACTGAAGGACTCCTCATTTCACATTTAGTTTGTTTTCAGTGTTTAAATAGTACAGTGCCATGGTCTACATTTGTGTGTGTTCTAATTCCTGAAGTAGAGCTGATGGGTCAAAGGGCACGCATATCTAAAACATTGATAGATAAGGCCAACTTGTCCTCCAAGGATATCTGAATTAACATTCCTGCCAAGAATTTGAAAGTGTTCTTTCCTCACAACCTCACAAACATGCTTCACTCTTTACCAGGTTAAAGAGTGAACAGTAACTCATTTTAATTCACATATAAAAAATTTTTTTAGGGAGAATGAACATCTTTTTATATATTTAATGGTCTTTTCTACTGTGAATTTCCTCCTGATAGCTTTTGCCTGTTTTTCTTTGGATGGACTTCTCTCTCTCTCTCTCTCTATATATATATATTTTCTCTTTATATATTTATATTCTCTTTATATATAGTCTTTATTACATTTTCCATTAGTTTGCCTTTTACCTTTTAACTATTTTATTGTGCCTTTTGCCATCCCTTAGTTTTAAGTTTTTACGTAGTCATATTGGTCATTTTCCTTTACAGTTTCTGAGTTTGTGGTTAGGCTTAGCATCCCCCAGGAAACCCAAGTCCAATTTAATTTTTATCTTTAAATACCTAACTCATCTGGAATTTATTTTTGAGGATAGTGTGAGATGGGTATTTACCTTTATTTTTTTCATAATGGAGAGTCAGGTGTCCAATCACAAGTTATTGAAACTCTATGGGTTTGAAATGTCATTTATATCATAAGACCTGTTTCTATTCCATTTATCTATTTGTTTATTCCAGTGTTGGCCTCAAACCTACTTAACTACTTTTTTTAAAAAAAGCATTTAATATTTATTTATTGCTACGTTGGGTCTTCCACTACTTATTTTTTTTAAAGCATTTAATATTTATTTATTGTTACGTTGGGTCTTCGTTGCTGTGCGTGGGCTTTCTCTAATTGCGGTGAGCAGGGGCTACTCTTTGTTGCAGTGCACGGGCTTCTCATTGTGGTGGCTTCTCTTGTGGAGCATGGGCTCTAGGTGCACAGGCTTCAGTAGTTACAGCATGCAGGCTCAGCAGTTGCGGCACTTGGGCCCTAGAGCGCGCGGGTTTCAGTAGCTGTGGCGCATGGGCTTAGTAGTTATGGCTTGCAGACTCTAGAGTGTAGGCTCAGTAGTTGTGGCGCTTGGGCTTTGTTGCTCTGCGGCATGAGGGATCTTCCTGGACCAGGGCTCAAACCCGTGTCCCCTGCATTGGCAGGCGGATTCTTAACCACTGCACCACCAAGGAAGTCCAGACTTAACTACTCTTGTTTTGAGACATGTTTTGATATTGGGAGGACAAATCCCTTCTCTTCCTACTATTCTTCTTTTACAAGATAGTCCTTGACCATTTTGGTGCAATTATTTCTGTCTTCCTAATCACCAGCTTGGTTTTCAATTATATCCATCCCACTATTTGGCTCATCTATGGAATTTTTTACTTTGCAATAATCATATTTTAAATTTTCAGCAACTCTTTTTTGTTCTCTGTATTTTTTCCTAGTAGCATGTTCTTTACTTACTGACATAATACCCTCTAGAGCCAGCCAATATGGGAAGTGTTTGGGGGAAAAAGTCTTTTCTGTATCTGGCCTTAACTTTGCTCCTCAGATGGGCACTGCTTTGCACGTTCCACTTGGTCCCTTTTTCAAACTGCTAGTAGATTTATAAATGGACAAGAGTGATGAGTATTAGCATCTGGGGCAGATTTCCCAAATTGTTAAGGTCACTGATTTTCCCAGACGGGCCAGATAAGATGGATGAATCCAGGACACACAAGAGTGGGCTCGGCCTGGGCTGGAGTGTATAGACTTCCCTTTTGGCTGATTGGCTGGGGATCTCCCTTGAATGAGGAAGTGGGGAAGGACTCAGCCTGGTGGAGGAACATTTTGGGGGATTTGCCTATGTGCCGGGCATCCAAGTCTTTTGGTCCTTCATGTCCCTGATGGTGGTGGGACGTCATGGGGGGGGGGGGCTCTGTTTTGCTCCCTCATACCTCACCACCTGGTAGACCCTCCCTGATCCCATTCTCTGGCTCTCAATAACCCTCCTGTTATCTCAATGACTACCCTATGGCATGTTTTGCTCCCAGCCTCTGGGGACCCTGAGCTTATGTTTTTAAAATTTTCTTTTTCCTGGAGCCCTTTGGGGAAAGCTGATCTACTCATTTCTTTAGCTGCCCCAACCCATGTTGGCTTATGGGTTTCTAGACCTGCTTGGAGTTTCCATTTGTTGGATGCAATCTGCTTTATATCTTCTAAAAATGAGAAGTCCTTCAAAGTTCCTGGTCCACCTAAGGCACCTTTCCCTGTTTCTGGGGCTGCTACAGGGACTCATTATCTTTTTAAAAGGTCGCCCATGACTGTTGTGGGATTTGGGGAGGGAGGAAGAGGCGATGACGGATGAGTCAGCCTGACGTATTGAACCAGAAATCAAGACCAGTCACTTGGATTGCTGTTTTGATTGTGCCGCACAGATGAGGAGCCTGGAGTGTAGACAGAAGTGACTTGCCCACAACTCCTCAGAGCCAGGGCAAGAAGCCAGCCTGCCTGGAGCATTGGTCATGAGGCTGCCCCCACTAAGATCAAACACTGCTGCTTCAGGATTCACCAGAGACACCGATTTGAGGGCTTTGTGTAAAAATGAAAATCGGGCTCCGGAAAATTCATTTGACATTTAGATAAAGCCGGAGGGAAGCACTGGGACAGACAGGGAAGTAAAACTCTCAAAACTGCTCACTCTGGTGGCCTTTCAGCTCAGGGGCCTGAAGAGGGAGGGTCTACAGAGGTGAGGCTACAGGCTTTGGGGAGGGGTGCTCTGGCAGTAGAACCTTCTCCCACACTGGCCTGGTAAGGCCTGAGAGGAGGCAGGGCTGACTGAGCGTAATGGGCTGGGTATGGCTATTGGAGGTCGGCTGTAGATCAGAATGGCTTTGACCACTTTTGAGAATTCCTGTTCCTCTTACATCTGTACTTGTAGATTCGTGGACAGGCACCCCATCATACAACGCAGCCCCAAACTCACACACACCCTGGGGAGAATGCTTCCCAGCCCACTCTCTTCTGGACCCACGGCGGCCACCCTGCTTGGCTCCCAGCCCCCGCCCTACCACCCCTCGCCCTGCCCTGCCTGCACAGACCAGTCAAGGCAGCCATGCTGCTCTCGTCCAATTTCATGGCCTCCGAGTACCACAGAGATGCCTCCTTCACTTGGTCCTGCAGGATAAAGAGGTAGCCCAGCTCTGTGGCCACGTGGGCGTAGGAGGATGTGGCCATGAAGGTTCGCTCGAGGAAGTTACACACCAGCTGCAGAATCGCCTGGTGCCTCCCAGACTGCAAGGCACAGACACGGGAATGGGGAAATTAGTCAGGCCAGCCTGTCTGAGCACGGCCGTGTCACTCTGGTGGGACTAGGGGGTGCTCAGGAGAGCCCAAGAGGTACCCTGTGTCCAGGCAGCTGGGTCCGGGTAGCTGTCCACCTCCCAAAGAACCCCCCGCTGGCCACATCTGTGGAACCCGCCTCCAGCCGCAGGCCCTCTGAGGGACCCAGCCCCTGTCTGGCCACAGTCATTGGTCCAACGAGTCACCAGGAGGTTTTTCACAAATTGAAGTTGCATGAGAGAAACTCTTTGTGTCCCACTGATGGAAAGTGGCTCTGAAGGCTGCGAGCAGCCACTTTCCCTGCCACACGTGGAGAATGAGGCAGAGAGAATCAGACATAGTTGTGGAGGACAAGAGGGTATCCCAGTGGCATTCGACTCCCCAGAGCTGCCCCTGTTCTTATGGCAATTCCTTCTAGTAAATCTGGCTCTGGGGCTCAAGGGTCTGACACAGACAGATTGTTTGGCAGCCTGGTCTGTTTGCACCTTGCCTGGCATCAGAGAGGCCTAGGCAGGCCAGCCTCACCAGGTCTCTTCCACAGAAAGGATATGGGAGTCCGGTGCTCCAGCACGCTGAGGTTAGAGCTGGGCGTTGCTCTGCTGTACCACAGCTGTGCCACTGCCCTCTTTCCCCAAACACGGCGCCTCCCTCTCTGAAAGCACTTCTAGACCTCACCTCCGTGATCTTCATAGCATCTTTGAAGGACACGTAGGTGCAGGCTACAGAGCCCACAATTCAGTGATTGGCTGGAGGCAGGCAGTGGCCCCGGGGTCTGGGCCACCAGCCTGAGAGGCCAAGTTTAAGCCAGAGAGGGGAGGTGCAGGGTCCTCAGGGAGCTTCCAGGGAGCACAGGTCTCTCCCGGGGAACATAACAAGAAGCACTCGTTCAGAAACCAGGGAACACCTTCTTACCAGTCTGCCAACCACAAGAATTTTTTTAAGATGGAGGCTTGGATTTTGGGGCTCTCTTGTTTCCAGCGCCTTAATCAGATTTCTAACACGCTCAGCAGCCTACAAGAACAAAACACAATGTCAAAGGCAGTATATAAAAGGGGAGTGGGGCAGAGGTTCTCAACTGTGGCTGCCCATGAACACCAGCTGGGAGATCTTAAAAACACCCAGGCCCCCAAGCCAGCCCCAGAGATTCAGAGTTAATTGGCCTTGGGCGGGCCCAGGCTTCAGTATTACTTCGGAGCCTCATTGGCGGAGCTTTCAGGAGCATTATTCATCCCAGAGCTGGCACTGCCGCTTTGTTCATGAATCTGTGAAGAGCAGCTGCCCTTTGGGACACCCCCAGGCAGGGCCAGGAGCCACCTGTCATGGTGCCCACATCACAGCCCACCAGGCTGGCAGCAAACCACCTGGGCTGGCCCAGGAGCAAATGGTCAGGGCAGGTCCCTGGCCCCAAACCCCTGCTCCATTTTGATGTGAGTCACCACATTGGTGCTTCCCTGTCATTCCAGTGAATGCTCCCAACGACCCTGTAAGTCAGTGTAACTATAGATACCCGAATTTTTCAGTCCAGCAGATGAAGGGTCAGAAAGGTTAGGTCATTTTCTCAAGGTTACCCAGCCAACGAGGTGGCTGACTGACTCCAAAGCCTGCGTTCTTTCCAATGGACTCTTCTGCCCACTCTCTATGTGGGAGTAGGGAGTTTTTAGTCCCCAGCTGCAAAGAAGTGCCAAAAGAGAAGCCCGGGGTAGGGTGGATCTTTTCTGCAAGACAAGAACTGGGCAGCCTGAGCTGGGGCGAGGGGCAGATCCCAGAGTTTGAGGTGGGAACGAAGGAGAAGAATTAAATGCTAATTGCCCTTGGGCCTAACCTTCAGGCCAGGCCTTAGGAAGGCCTGCCCAGGGCTCTGGGGTCTCAGGGAGCGGAGGACATGCCTGTTCTCTTGTTCTGACCCAGAGACAGTGGTAGAGCCCTTTTCGAGGGTTCCTCCCAAATACGAACGGTGCCCTCCACCTCACCTCACCCCACAAAATCCGTAATTTCAGAGCTGGCCAGATGGAACCAGAAAACTTCCTCTTCCCACCATGACCCCTTACAGCCTCTTGATTTGTCCCACTCCCTGCAGAGGCAATGTCTTTATTCAGAAGGCAGGGTTTTAGCTGAATACACAAACTCTTTTTGAAAATAAGAAGCTGTCTGGGCATGGAGGTTTTCATTAAGAATTCTAGGTGCTTCTGATTGGATGTGAGGGCTCTTTGGGGTTTCTTTGGAAAACTACAAGGCTTAGGAGCAAGTCTGGGGCCAGGTACTGCCTGGTACTGTCAATACCTGAGCAATTCCAACCATTCCCTAAAAAAAGGCATTTCCTGAAATATGAAACACAACTGTGGGGAATTCCCTGGTGGTTCAGTGGTTAGTACTCAGCACTTTCACTGCCGTGGCCCTGGGTTCAATCCCTGGTCACGGAACTAAGATCCTGCAAGTCGTGTGGTGTGGCAAAAAAACAAACAAGAAAACCCCAAACAAACAAACAAACAAAACCCCCACAACCATGACTTCTATCAGGTAACATGGAGCAAATTATTGTAGTACACCGGGCACTGTTCCCAGTTGTCCCACCTGTCATCTTAGTCCTTATAACAAGCTCACGGAGTGGGTGGAATTATCTCCATTTTACAGATGAGCATCCTGGGGCTCATTCAGGTGGAGACACCTGCCCAGGGTCACACAGGGAACATGTGGCAGAACCAGAGTTAGCCTCACTGCTGGCCTTTGGAACTGTGTGGCTCAAAGACCAAACCAGAGCAGACCTCCCTGGCAGGGAGTATGGAGGAGGGGGCAGGGAGCTGAGACCCAGGGAGCCCCCTCCAATGCCTTGGGGGTGGAGGTACTGTGAGGGGTCCCTCCTTGGCTGTGTTGGTTTCAAGGCGTAACTTCTGAGTCTTGAAAGAACTTACTGTGGTTATGTTTCCTTCTCTTGCAAGCTCATGCACAGCTAGAATTTGGCAGGCATCAATATTGCTTTCATCTTTTTCTAGGATTCTGAAATAGGAGGAGGAGCCACGTGAATTGAGAATGTTCAGAGGCAAGGCTAGGAAGGTGTGGCGGCAACTTCTGATTGTCTCCTAACATCCATTCTCCCCTTCTCCTTTTAATAATAGAACCCCCAAACTTGGGGCACAGGGCTACCGGAAAAGACTACATTTCCCAGCCCCCCTTTGCAGCTCAGGAGTGACCATGTGATTAATTTCTGCCCAATAGGATGCAAGCGGAAGTGCCCAGGATATATCCAGTGGTGCCCCTACAGCATGCCTTCCATTTCTTCTCTTTCCTCCTTCCTGCTGGTTGGAATGTGGACCACGTGAGCAACATCTTAGGAACAGGACAGCAATGAGAGAGAAGGGAGGGGCCTGGGACCCTACAGAGTTAAGCTGTCATCCTAGCCCTGGCCTACCACCCAAACTTTTCCCTGAGAGAGGAATAACATCTTATGTTATTTAAGTCACATATTTGGGGGTGTCTTTGTGACAGAAGCCCATTATGTCCCAAATAGCACAGGTATGACCGTGGTGCCAAGGTCTGGGGGGGCCAGAGAGGTGCTTGGGGGGCAGTCTGCAGCTGTAAGATGGAAAGGAACCTTGGTTTCCATCATATGTCCTTGGGAAGATGCAGCTCCTGATCATATTGTGGAGTTTTCTATATTCTGTTTCTTTTCTTTTCTTTTTTGGCCACACCAAGTGGCATGCAGGATCTTAGTTCCCCAGTCAGGGATCGAACCCATGACCCCTGCACTGGGAGCATGGAGTCTTAAACACTGGACCGCCAGGGAAGTCCCAATATTCTATTTCTTTACAGGAAATTTCATATTTTTCAGCCTGATCAGGGAATGGCCCTTCTGCTTAATTGATGGTTACTCTAAAGGACATATAAAATTCCAACACGATTAGGCACAGTCAACAGTCAAAGACTTCTAAGCATTTATGATGAATTTGAAGGCACTGGGAACCTCATAATTTGGAAATTAAAAGAAACTTTTAAAAGATGTATGGACTAAGAAAGAATCAGAACGAATGTTAGAAAATTCTTAGAACCAAAAGACACTGAAAATACTACTGAAGTATCCAAATGTGTAGATACTGTTAAATGTTACCTCTAGGGACATTCATAGACTTAAATGCTTATCTTCTAAAAGAAGATTGAGAATGGCCAGGCATCCAACCCAAGAGTCAGACAATAGCAACAGAGTAACTCCAGAGGAGGTAGTTGGCAGAAAATAATAAAGAGCAGAAAGTAATAAATTAGGAAACAAAGATAATAGCATCAACAAAACTCAAAGCTGGTTCTTTAAATGAAAGAGACAAATTATTTTAGTATCAGTGGAGAAAAATAAGAGAGAAGGAAAAAATGAACAATTTTTAGGGCTGAAAAGAGATACACACCTACAGAGAGCAGAGATTTAAAGAGCAATGGGGATATGTATAACTGACTCACTTTGTTATAAAGCAGAAACTAACACACCATTGTAAGGCAATTATGCTCCAATAAAGATGTAAAAAAAAAAAAAAAAGCAATGCGGGAGGGGCTTCCCTGGCAGTCCAGTGGTTAGGATGCCACGCTTCCATTGCAGGGGGCATGGTTTTGATCCCTGGTTAGGGAACTAAGATCCTGCATGCCGTGTGGTGTGGCCGGGGGAAAAAAAAAAAATTAAAGAGCAATGGGGGAACTCTATGAGCTGGGAAACCCTCCATGAGGGAAGGTGTCGGGTGTTGGACTCAACCCACTGGCACCAAACACCATCTCCCTGCAGGTGGATGCGGCAGGGCCTGGGCAGGGAGGCCGCACACACTCAAGGTTGAGGCCTTCAGCCAGGTGTTTCCAGGTATCCTGTGGGCCCAAGGCAGAGCCTCCAAAGCAAGCTCTTGACCCAGCTCCTGCCAAGGACACCGGCCAGGTGTCAACTGTGAGAGAGGGCTGCTGAGGACCTGCCCAGGTCTGGCACAGGCTGGAATCACTTTCAGTTTCCTACCAGCGCCTCTTTCTGAGACTCAAATTCCAGCTATCATCAGAGGAGTTATCATCCCTCCACAGGGAAGGAAGAGGTATGTTTGTGTTTTGTTTTATTTTTCCCACACACAACTTAGTAAAAACTTGTAGTGGTGACTCATGGTCACTCAGAAAAAAACGTAGTCCACTAACTCTTTTTAGGAAGAAAATTGGTACTGTACGTTTTAGGATTACTGTGATAAAAATAGTTAAAGCGTTAGAGGTTAAAGAGATAAGCTTCAGTTATCTAGAAAATTCCATTCTACAAAACCCTCCATCAAACATCCCTCCCCTGAAGCCATCTTTATCTCTATTCACAGTGAAAGTGCTTCAGGATCACCCTATACTTGGCGTCTGGCTTCCACAGACCGCATAACTCCGGAACCCTAGGCTGTCTTCCAGATGCACTCAGCTTGCTACTAAAGTCTTCTCTCAGGCAACAATGACCTTTGTCCCCTGAAGTTTTTATTAACACATATCGCACCCACAGTTTTTAAAAGTAACTAATACAATAGTCCCTTTCTCCCTTTACTCTCCCCTCCCCACCACTCCTCAGAGACAACTGCTCTTTACCCTGTAACTCTTGTTGCTTTGGGTTCCTTTGGTAGTTCGCTCCATCTCTCTCCTAAACACTATGCTTAGACCTCTTGACAGGCCTATTTCTTGATTCCTCCACTGCAGGTCTCTGCTGTCGGCTTCCTGCTATGACAGGTAAGTGTCTAGTTCACGTCCATCCTCCCTCTCCTCCCCCACCCCCAATGTCATAATGTCACTATTCATAACTCCTGTTGACAATACTGACTTTTGTGTCTTACTCCATCAAGTACACAGCAGCTCCCATCTCGCCTCTGTGTAAGATGGGAACGATTAGCCCCCTTGGCTAGCAAAGGAAGGAAATAGCAGGTTGGCCCCGCTCCTCACCTGTGTCCCGTTTCTACCGTCTGCTCCCAGTCCTGCCGAGCCAAGAACAGCCGCATCTTTAGGACCAAGGCCGGCAGGAAACTGCCCCAGGCGACAGTGATCTGGTTCACCACCTCCAGGGCCCCCGAGTAGTTCTGCAGCATCATGAAATACGTTGCCTGTCGAAAGCCAAAGAAAAGAGTCCCACTGGTGCCCACGAAGGATGGAGGGGTGTCAGGGTCCCCACCAGGACAGGAGCAGAGCCTGACATGTGGGCAGGATCCATCACTCAGAGTGACAAATCAGGGTCCGCAGCCATCTTGGGTTCCTTGAGAGACAAGGCAGGGGCTCCAGGAGACGGCTGAGCCCTGAGCAGGCCTGGGACAGAGCAAGGTCATGGGAGGGCCCCCCCCGCCTCCCCACCCCCCACCCCCAGCGGAGAAGCTGGAGTTGCTGGGCACTTTCCAATTCCACATATGGCCCATCATTTCCCATTCACTTTCCTAAAATTCACCACTGAAAACTGCTCACTGGGCCAGTGCAGCAACTCAGAGTCAGTTAGGGTTTGCAGGTAACCCTCCCCTCCCCACGGCAAGCCTGCGGTGCTTTTTCCGCTCTCAAGGCACACCTGGCTGGGGTCATGGCCTCTACAGGCAGCCAGCCACCAGGCTCTCCTGGGTGAGTCATGACACAGATGCCTGAGGGGCAGAGGGCAATGCTCCCAAAAGGCTTGAAATTGGACTCCGAAAGGATGGCTTCAGTTTACAGTAACCCTCCATTAAGAAACTTATTAAAAACAAGAGGAGGATTATTCTAAATAAAGATATATGCATAAACGTGTTCACTGTAGAACTCTTTCTAAGTGTATAACTAGAAACAATCTCAATATCCAAACAATAGGAGGCGGGGTCGGCAAATTACATTAGGCCCACACAACAGGGGCCTGGCTTTACGCAGACATTCAGAATGACACGTGCTTATGATATAACCTTACATGAAGAGAAAGAGACCAAACGGTAAGATGCCCTATGATTACAACTATATGAACTACCCACACTATCTCCCACCCCATGGTGGGTGCTGTGTGTGACCTCCTTCAGGAAAAGGGGAGTTGGACGCTGACAGCTCTTGGGGGAGTCTCCCTCCTGGGATCACCCGTGGCTGCAGGGAGCTGCCTGGTACCAGGTCACACACCTCCGCGAGGGGCAGGTCACACAGTCAGCATCTTGTCAGTGAGGGAGTCAGTGAAGGGCCATCCCAGCTCCATAATTCCAAGCAGAGCCGGCTGAGGCCTTCACTGGAGCTGCTTCACAGCCCAAGTTCTCCCTCCTGCTTCTTTCACTTTCTCCACAAGTGTTGGTCCCAAGGGCATAACCTGCTAAACCTCCTGTGAGATAACCTCATGGCCTCTGCTCCCCAGAAAACCACCGAAGGCACACCCCGAACGAATGCGTAGAAGAAAGACTCGGACATGGCCCTAAAATGTTAACATGGGTTGTTTGGGGGTGGTAGGGCTAAGGATGCCATTTTAAATCACCTTTTGACCTTCTTAGACTTCTGGTTTTTTAATGAGTAACTATTCATTTTGTAAGAAAGGATATACAAACAGAAGAGGATAAGAGGATGGTTTTTCCATCATAGATTGATTCAACGAGGGCCACATCAGAAAAAGGAAACAATTTAAATTAAGGTCAGAAAATACAAAACACATACCTCCCTTCTCTTATGGCCACTAAGTGAATTTAACAGGTTAGATGAGAAAGTGTGAAAGAAAGATGCATAGAAAAGGGGCAGTGGGTGAAAACAAAAGGCAAAGAGACAAAGCCTGCCAGAGCTGAGGAAGCCTAGCCTCCAAGAAGACCCCACACAGGCAACGGAAACTCAAGATTGGGCAGGTAGCAGGGAGGACTGGAGCAGGCCCGGGGCTGTTCTGAGTCCCTGATGCTCTCCAGACCTTTGTTCCTCATCCACCAGCTGGGGGGTCTAGAGACTGAGGTCTCTGGGTGGGGACATTCTTGCCCCTCCTACCTTTCCCATCAGCCCCAGAACATCTTTGGTGTCCTGAATGCCATACTCGAGGTACTTGATGGATTTCTTCACAGTGTGGGGTTTGTCTGAGCTGAGGTCCACCCAGCCTCTGAGCACGTAGCCCTGGCATAAGAACAAGGGGAAAGATGAAGTGCTTGGTCCTGTATCGCCTCCATCCAGACTGCCTCTCCTGCCCACATCCCGCCCTTTGTCATTCCACTCCCTGAGGCCCTGCTGGGCACCACTGCTCCCAGATCCCAGGCGAGTCCTGCTTTCTCCCTACAGGCCTTCACACCTCTTGTTCCTTCGTCTGGAATGCCCTTCCCAGTACGCGTCCCCCAAACCAAGTCCCTTCATCTGATTAACCACCACCAGTCTTTAAAACTCAGCCGAGGAGGCCCCTCCTGTAGGAGGCTTTCCTTGACCTTCCAGGCTGGGTTGGGGCCCTCCCTATGACCCCCATGGTTCTCTTGCCCCTTATGGAGGCACTACCACCTGTCTTGTCATTGCGTGTTTATTTTACACTGGGGTCAGGGCGCCAGGGTAGGGCCACTCCAGCTCTCTCCACTTCTTAGACCAGCACAGGGCCCAGCCTGCATGGGAAGCCGGGAATGCCCTCTGAGCGGGCAAGTGGCCATACTGAGCTCATGGGCCTTGGTGGCTCCCCTTCAGCCTTCACCCTGCCTTGCCTGGCAGGTGCCACAGGCCAGGTCCAGGAGGCAAGGTTAGAGGGGTGCTTGGAAGACCCTGCCCTGAAGCATCTCTCACGGCCTAGAGCAGGTTTCTCAATTCTTTTCCATTACTGCCCTCCTAAGGAGACTTTTTAGTCATTTCTCCCCTAATCATTCCCTCCCCCTCCAAGAAATTTTAATATCACAGATATACCATTTATGTACTGTGTTTATATCTGTGTTTTATATACAAACAGTGAGGTTTTTTTCACCCCCTCCTCCAATAACCAATTTTCACCCCCTTGGGGGGCTGGGGGTGATATATACCCTGCTGAGATGCATGGCTTAGACTGAGGCTTTTAATTCTACCATGAGTACAATTCTACAGCACATGACATCCACTGCATATGAGATCTTCTGTGTGAGCCACCACTGACACCTAGCAGATCACTGCAAGGAAGGAATACAGGCCCAGTGTAGTCAGCTCACCTAGTTTTTCAAAAGAACCAAGAAATCTGGACTTTTAGGTAAAAAATCTTCTGATTTCTAAATGTCAGCAAACTAATTCAAGATTTTAAAAATATATAGTGCAGGCCATAAAACCTATCTGCAATCGGACTCTATGGACAAAGGCCAGTGTGTAGTTGTCTAAACCCTGAGCCAGCATGGGTCTTGTTGGTGTCTGGGTGTGGCCCTCCCCCAGCCCCAGGGCCCTCCATGGGAGTAAGGGCCACCCTTTAGGATGTGTTTGGACACTGCTTTCTTTGGCTGTTGCCCCCATAATGCCCAGGGCTGGTACCTCTCTGGAGCTGCTGGAGACCTTCAACGTGCGGTCAATGTATTCCTTGGCCTTGTCATGGCGGCCCATGAGCCACAGGAAGAGGCCGGCATAGTACAGGGCAGTCCCGCTGGCTGTCTTGCGGATTTCCTTCAGGCTGCTCTCAAGTTCCTGAATCGCTTCTCGGTCTGGGAATCCGAGAGAGAGGAGGAAGGGGACAAGTTAGGACGGGGAGGTCTGTCTGGCCCTGCCTCTCCACGCTCTGGGCCTCCCTCAACACACGGAGCCAACTACACGACAGCCCAGGGCCTGGGAACCAGGAACACTGGCCCGTGTGATGCCACAGGAGCTGCCCAGCCCTGGAACTGGGTTTGCTGGCTGAGATTTATCTTTTCTCCTCTGTGCCCAGCAGTTTGCTGGGCAGACAGATCAAACCTGAACCCCCCACCTCAGGCCCAAAATCCATTCCGGGTGAGGAAATTGTAGTTTGTACGTAGTTTCTTAGAATCTCTTCCTGACTCTAGAGAGGTGCAGATGAGGGGCAGAATTTTTTATTTTGGCTTGGTTGTTCTCGACAAGATCTTGGCAAGGGAAACCAGGGTGTCTCCCCAGCTCTCGGGATGTGGAAGGAGGACCCCTCCCACTGTCATGCTTTCTGCCTGCAGCTCCCACTCAACTGGGCCTGGGCATGGGGTCTTCTTTGAGGTCTCCATGGGGAGGGGAGGGGAACCACTCCTCACAGCATCTGCAGTCTCGAGTGCACACACCTCCTGCAGCCCAAGAGGGGCTATATCTCTGGAGTGGGGCTCCCTTTTCCCCACTGGGCCAGGCCTGGCTGAGCATGGCTGCACTCACCGATGGTTTCACAGCACTTGTGAGCATAAATGAGAGCCATGACGGAGCACAGGGACACATCTGGGTGATTCTGGATGCTCTCTAGGCTGCTGATGGCATCCTGGATGCGCTCTGTGAAGACAGCCCAAGTGGTTATTCTCTGGGGCTCCATGCTCAGAGGGCAGGAGGCTCCATGGCAGACACAGGGCTGACCCAAGGCTTGGTACCACCTGACCCAAGACTTGGACTAACTAGTCCAAAAGGTCACTAGTGGCCCAAGTTCCCTGAAGACTGAAGCTTCCTGAAAGGGCTGCTGGCACCATGGTCCAGGAGTATGCACAAGGATTCCTGTAGGTCGGTTCTGAAGAAGGACCTCTGTGCATTCCCAGCTAGCTGCTCAGCTATATTTATCCTTCCATGTCCACTGACATTGGCCATGGGCAGCTCAGCTGGCCCCCCGCCCAGGACGACCTTCTAAATGTCAGTGAGTCGCACCTCCATGGGCCCCACTTCTCTCCCTGCTCCTGTCCCACACCTGCCTGTGGCCACACCTACCACTTCCTCCTTTTTCTGCACTACTGGCTCTCAGTTTCCAAGCCTGGGATTGGTTCAATAATCTTGCAGTCATCTTTCCCCCCACTCATTTTACAGATAGGGAGACTGAGGTGCAGAGCAGGGGTAGCGAGGTCTCTAAGGTCTCAAAAGTGAACTAGATATGGATTACATTCTGTGGATTAACCTGGGAATCTAGCTACTGAGTGTAAGACTTTTTCCATGGGAACATGATTGGGGTAGAAGTAGGCATCCAGGTGGAGCCAGCACATTAGTGCTGGGCTAGTGCCTGAGGTCAGAAGGCAACACTGACGAGTCCCTACCTTCTCTGAGGACTCCATAGGCTTTAAAGAACTGCAGCACTGGGTCATTGCTGAATTTTTCCAGGCCCACGGCCGCGGCCTGCTGCACATGGCGGAAGTACTTTTCTTGGCTGTAATAAATGATCCCAGCCTGCGAGGAGGAAGACACAGTTGCAATAGTCCCAGCCCCTTTTCTGTCTGTTCTGACCTGCTCCCTCCCCTAGTCCCTTCTCCTCTTCCAGTTCTGTAAAGAGAAGAGAAAGAATATTCAGACCTCATCCCATTCCTCCCCAGCCCCAGGAACAGCTCCATACAGTTTTCTTGGGAAGGAGTTTGGAGATGTTTGTTTTGGAATTAACCACAGATTCTGGTTCAAATGTGATGGGGAGTTCAACTCAGGTTTTGCCTTAGGAAGGGAATAAGGGGGAAGAAAGTGAACCGATAATAAGAATCATGACGCCAGTACTTAGAGGTACAAGTTATTGTGGGCTAACCACCTGTGGGGAAGTGTACCAAGGGCTTTACGCCCATCATCTATGCATTATCCTCTCCATATCCTTCACGGTTAAGGAAGCCGAAGCCCATGGAGGCTGTGGCTTGACAATGGTCACATAGTAAGAGGCGCTGAGATTTCAAAGTGAAGTCTCACTTCCCCTAAGGTTTGTGGGTGCCGGGGTTGGGGACAGATGTGGTTGGATTGTGAACAGGCTTGTGGGCCATATGAAAGAGCCCAGACACCATCTTGAGGGTAATAGGAAGCAGCTGGAATGGTTTTAAGCGTTGCGCACGGGGTGGGGGGTGGGGGGCGGGCGGGGGATGTACTCAGGTGTGTGTTTTTGCAAACACTCTGGCTTGTGTGTGTGTGTGTTGGGGTGGTCGTGGATGTTGGTGGCGGTGGTGGTGGTGGTGGCGGTGGTGGTGGGGGACTGCTGGTGAAGAGAGCTGAAGCAGAGAAACCAGTTGGGAAAGGGACTGTTGCGGGTGCCCAGAGGGGAGATGGTGGTGATCCTGGACTAGGAGATAAAAAGTGGGTGATCTCAGGAGACATTTAGGAGCTGATACTTCCTGCCGATAGACAGGATCTAGAGATTAGTATGGGAAAGAGTAAAGGCTGGGGGAGCAAATGGTGGTGCGATCCACTGAGGTGAAGGACCCAGAAGAGGCACAGACAGGGGAAGGGGAAATAATGGCTAGGTGATGGAGCTGGGTTTTTATGCTTTGGTTTGGGGCAGCTCGGGGATAGGACTGGGTGGGGATGATGACTGTGGGCTCAGAGAACACTAGAGAGGATGCGCTTGCCACGGAGAGTGAGGCGAAAAGGGACGAAGGCAGCCTGAAGAGGCCGGGGACAGCGAAAGGCGGGTAGCGGAGGCAGCACGAGCGGTCAGAGAGGTAACAGGAGAGCTGCAAGGCGCGGGGGTCACCAGGCCAGGGGCGGAGAGTCCCGCAGGGAGCGGCTGGGCAGTGCCCGGGCCACGCACCATAAGGGAGGAATCATTGATGCTCATCTCCGGGCACCTGCGGCTCCGAGTCCGGGTCTGGTGGTGCCTCGCGGAGCGGGATTCCCGAGTCAGAGTCCCGGTCGCGCCTCTCGCGGCCTGCTGTTGGAGGCGCGCGCGTCCTTGGAAACGGAGCAGCCGGCCGCTCTCTAAGGGCGTCAGAGTTAAGGGTGGGCGTGGCCAGGCACCCACGTGACAAGGCGCGGGTAGTCGAGCGCCGAGAGGGTGAGTACGCTGGTGGCGCCGCGGTCCCGGGCACCGGCGCCCGAGCCGACAGTGGCCATGGGCCTGGGCGCCAGCGCCGAGCAGCCCGCGGGAGGCGCCGAGGGCTTCCACCTGCACGGGGTGAGTGGCCCCTGCCGCACCGGTGGCCTTGGCATGGCGTCCCCACCAATGTGCGGGGGACGTCCGATCACCGGCCTGGGGGCGGTAGAGGCGGGGTCTCGGCCTTAGTGCGGCCGCCCGGGGGAGAGGGATGCCCCTTCCCGGTGGGAGCCGCCGGCGAGAGATGGCGCCACGGCACTCCTGGGCCCCGACCCGTCTGCGGCCGCGGGTCGGCCCGGCGCCAGCCCCAAGTGCCAGCTCTGCAGGAAGCTGGAGCGTTTCCTGGTCGTGTCGGGCCGCCCCGGAATGGCACTTCTCCCGGTTGAAGAGTGAAAGCACCAGGTCCAGTCGGGACGCATTTGTGCACTTGTATGATCACATTTATGATCGCCTGTTGTGCACTGCGCTTGTTACTGGGCCTGGGGAGAGAGCCAGCTAAGCCCAGGGCCCGGCTGTCCCCGCCCTTGGATCCAGGGGGTCGGGGTAACCGAGTGGGCGCCAGCTGCGGGGGAGCCTGCCAGCGCGCATGCTGCCTGTGGTGGGGTCGAAGACCGATGAGAACCAGCCCGGGAAAGTGGGAGCGGGAGAGCCAAGAGAATGCGGCAGAGGGCTCGGGGAGAGAGTTTGCGGGGGATGGTGGGGGGAGGGCTCCCCGGTGGAACATTGCGGAGAAGCGCGGTAAGGCCGCGGCTGATAATGTGCCTTCGGTGTCGCCACAGAGGTCCCGGGGAAAGTGGAGATCGAGTGGGTTCCTAGAGCCTGAAGGTGAGGAGAGGGGCCCGCAGCAAGATGGAGATTTGGGGTGATTTGTACTGCGGAGAAGGAGGGGCTGTAACAGAGCTGAGAGGGGCAGGAGAGTGTTCGTCCCCGGCGCGCCGCGGGGCAGGACTCCCTTCTCCCTTGTGCACGGTGGATGGCAGCAGAGATGGGGGTAGGCAGACAGGCTTGTCAGTTTGGTGCCTGGCTGTTGAGCGGTGTCTGCATTGTGATGGGAGGCTCTGTTAACAACTATGAGGGAGGGGGGCAGCTAAAGAAAAGGTTTCCTAAAAGGAAAGCCAGGATGGCTTCAGGACCCAGAGGTAACAGAATCTGTGCTTGGTGGTGGGCTTTCCCTAGTGGACTTAATGGTGAGGCACCGGACAGAAAAGGTGGACAGTGAAATGCATGCAGCCAGGAAGAGTCTTCCAACAGGTTTGATGGAAGGCAAATTGAGGATATCGACAATGGGGGGTGGGGTGGTGGTGGTGACGTTGGTGACGGTGGTGATGGTGGTGATGGTAAGAGTGAAGATGGGAAGGGCCTGTTGGAGAGGGACAGAATGGAGAGACTGGGGAATTGGAGGTCTTCATTCACAAAACAGTTTTTTTTCCCCCCGTTTCATACGTGTAGTTTTATTTAGTTGATGTACAATATTATATATGTGTACAATATAGTGATTCACAATTTTTAAAGGTTATACTCCATTTATAGTTATTATAAAATATTGGCTGTATTCCCTGCGTTGTACAGTATATCCTTATAGCCAAAACAGTGATTTTGAGCACATATGCTGTGGCAGGTAGAGTTCCAGGCACTGAACGTAAAGCAGTGAGCAGAAAAGATATTGTCCCTTTTCTCATGGAGTTTACATTTGGATGCCAGCAGAGAGGGAAGGGAGACAGACAGGAAATATATGGTAGGTGGTGATCATTGCTAGCAAGAAAAATAAAGCAGAGTGAGGGGATCCAGAGTGATGAGTGGGTGCTCTTGTATACAGGGGTCAGGGAAGGCCTCTGATCAAGTCACATTTGAACAGACACCTTGGAAGGAAGTAAGGACAATACAGATATTTGGGGGAAGAGCGTTCTGGGCAGAGGGAGGCCCTGAGGTGGGACTGTGCTTGCTGGGCTTGAGGAGAAGCAAGGAGGTGGGGTTGGTGTGCTTGGGTGGCGTGGCCCATGTGAGGAGAGTGCTAAAGGTTGAGGCCAGGTTGCTTGGGGCCTTGCGTTTTGTCCTGAGGATTTAGGATTTTATGCTGAGCTGTGGAGCCATTGGGAGGTTTTAAGTGGAGGTGTGACACTGCCTCCTAAACATTTAAAAAAAAAACGAAGAGCAAGTATGCTGCCTTCCCTAAATATTGGCGTTCCCACGGTGTGCTGGGCATGGTGGAGGAGTCACTGTCCTCGGCAGTGGACAGGAGCAGACTCTGGGTCGGATTTCCTGGGGTCAGGCTGTTGCTGAATAACTGAGTGCTTTTCCTCCCCTGTCAGTTGGGGTTAGTGAGACGGTTAAATGACAGGGGAAGCAGGTGGTGCAGTCTTCTGGCACCCAGCCAAGCCTCAGAAGGCGTAAACTGCCATCGTTGTTTATCACTCTAGGTGCCCTGATGGGAGATACAGGGGGCAGGGGGAGTGTTATGAAAGCAGCACTCGTTGTGGGGCTGCGGGATCTGGGGTGATGGGAATGCCCAAGGGAGAGCCAGACAGAGGGGACGCTTGTTGCGGGGCCGGGGGTGCGGTGGGCAGCACCGCAGGTGATTTCCGCTGTGGAGCCATAATGGGTGATGATAAGGCCCAGAGCAAGGGACCTTGACAAGGCCAGACTGAGGACAAGGCCACAGGAGAGGGGAGGTGGAGGCGCTGGGTGGGCTGGGAGAGGGCCGGGCCTGCACACTGGGGGCCCCAGCCTCTGAGCCTCATTAATGATGGAGTTTGGCAGACACAGTGTTGAGGAGGGTAGAGGGCAACCGGCCTCTGGAGTGGGGGCCTTACCCGAGGGAGGTGGAGTGGCCCAGAGCAGGGAGGAGCAGCTCCCTGCCAGCTCTCCCTGGCGAACTGTCCTCTGATTCTCCAAAGACCCCTCGTCCCAGCTTCCCCCTGAAGGGACGGAGGGGCAGGCTCCAAGCAGCTGCTCTCTGGGCCAGGCCAACTAGGGCTGGAGTTGGTTTCTGGGCTTATTCTCACTGGAAGCCATGGCAGCTTCTGGAGGTGGCAAGGTGGGGCTCCGTCGGTTCCACTGCCTGGAGGGAGCCCTCATTCCAGGGGTGAACTGGCCTTGATCCATAGCCTCAACAGTGAGCTCTCCTTCAGTGTGGGGACTCCAAGACTGGAGGGGCTAGTGGGTGGCAGAAGCCATGGGGGCCTTCCCCTCAAGGAAGCATCCGGAACCTGAGGCCACATGAGCCCTGTGCCCTGTGGGCTGCTGGCCTGGCTGGTGCCTGACCAACAGGGCATCAAGTGCTCACAGCCAAAGGCCCGAGGGTGTGGGGCCCATATTCGGTCCAGACCTGGGGATAAAGGCTGCATTGTTTGAGCAAAGCTCTGTGAATGGGGCCTTTGAGATGGATTTCCACCATAGCTGCAAGCCTGGTTGTGGTGTTTTTGGAGACAGCAGGGAGTTCGGGAGTTGAGGGCAGGGCAGGAGCCCCTTGGGCTGGGAATGGCCGCTGGAGGAGCTGTCCTGTGTGGGGAGGTTGGATGGTGAGGGGACTCTGCGCTGCTCACCAGGCTCCCTGGCTCAGGCTCATTCCAGACCCTGGGGTCTGCTCTCCTCAGCCACCCCTCCTCAACAGCTCCTATTGCCTCACCTGTGGAACTGGGCCAGGATCTGTCACCACAGGGTCAGGGGCTCTCTGGGATCTGGCCACAGGCTGCCTTCTGCACTCCGTCTTTCTGGGCATGGCCCTGGCTCCATCCATCCTGGGGCACTCCCTTCCTGTCCACATCTAAACATTTCTGGTAAACCCTTCTGGCTTTCCAGCAGCCCCAGCCCAGGCTTCTGGGGCAGCCATCTGTGTCACCCTGTCTCCGTGTGGCCTACTGCTCTGGGTTCTCCTATGAGGCATCTCTGGAAGCATCTGTGGATCATACTCAGGAAAGAGTCATTTTCCAAAAGAGGAAAACCTGTGCCCAGGAAGGTAGTGAGAGAAGATGGAGTGAACCTTGACCATGCCCATGTGTGGCCTGCCTGGAACGGTTCATGCTGGTGTCTCTGTCCTCGCCGGGACACGGGGAGTGGTGATGGTTTCTAGAATTGACGGCTGGGGGCTTCTGGGAGAGTCCCAGGGTCAGCGCAGTGACCGTGGCCTCTGTGCAGCACAGGTGCAGGAGAACTCCCCCGCCCAGCAGGCAGGCCTGGAGCCCTACTTCGACTTCATCATCACCATCGGGCACTCAAGGCTGGTGAGGCCCCCCTTCTGCCTCTGCTTTGCTTGTGTGTGTCTCCTGCTGTCCCACAGGGGCCCCAGCCCTGCTCCTGCCTCCCTTTTCTGCTGAAGGGAGGCTGAGCCCCATCTCCCCTTCTTCCTGAGCCTGATGGGGGCCCTGCCTGGAGCTCAGCTCCCGGGCTCTCAGGGGTGGGCTGGAGCAGGTGGACTCCTGGCACTGGCTGCAAGGTCTACGGGGTCTGCCCAGAGGGGCCTGAGAAGTGTGAGAGCTCTGGAAGGGGCAGCTCAGAGTGGGCAGTGCTGCAATGCTCTGGACCCCGGGGGCTCTTTGCTTACTTTGTTGTGTTCTCCGGGGGGACTGAAGGAGGAAGGTTTAGCAGGGCTTGGGGGTGCTGGGGGTCACAGTGGCTGCAGGCCCAGCCCAGCCACCAAGGCCCTTGCCCCATCTCAGACCCAGACTTGTCTGGGGGGCCTGGCCGGGTGTGTGTGGGGGGGTCCGGGAGTCAGCCCCGCTGCCCCTGCAGAACAAGGAGAATGACACGCTCAAGGCCCTACTGAAGGCCAATGTGGAGAAGCCGGTGAAGCTGGAGGTGTTCAGCATGAAGACCAATAAGGTTCGCGAGGTGGAGGTGGTGCCCAGCAACATGTGGGGCGGCCAGGGCCTGCTGGGCGCCAGCGTGCGCTTCTGCAGCTTCCGAAGGGCCAGCGAGCATGTGTGGCACGTGCTGGTGAGTGGGCGAGGCGTATGGGATGGGTGTGTGGTGGGGGCCTCCCGGGAGAGGCCAGCAGACAGTGGGTCTATTAGAGGGTCCCAAGGGCAGGGTGTGGTCTCCCCTTTCCAGTGTCCCAGAGAGCGCAACTCCTCTCAGCCCAACAGTGCCCTGTGACTTAGGGCATTTTCTTACCCTCTAGACGTTGGCTGCTTCTTTGGAAAGGTGGGGACGCCATCTGCTGGAAGCTTGGTTGTACTGCCAGAAGGCTGCTGCTGCGGCTGCTTTAGTCTTTATCTAAAAGAGTGTTTTTTTCTGGTGTACTCTAGGGGAGGGGTCCCCAACCCCAGGGCCGCGGACTGGTACTGGTCCCCAGCCTGTTAGGAACCAGGCCTCACAGCAGGAGGTGAGCAGCAGGCGAGCGAGCAAAGCTTCATCTGCTGCTCCCCGTCGCTCGCGTTACCGCCTGAACCGTTAACACCCCCGCCGTCCGTGGAAAAATTGTCTTCCACAAAACTGGTCCTTGGTGCCAGAAGGGTCGGAGACCCGCTGCTCTAGGATATTATGATTTTTCTTGGCAGGTCCCCTGAGAGCACCCTTGGGCACTGGGCTGGTGCCTGGGGTCTGAACCTTAATGAATCTCTGTGACTGAGTTGTCACAGATGTTGCTGTTAGTGTTCGTTCACAGACACACATGCACACGTGACATGCAGTCACTGATGGGGCCCAAGTTCTTGAATGCTCGGTCCTACGGCTTGATGGACAGAGGGTGCCCTGAGCTGGACACTGGCTGATTTGGTTTCTAGCCCCCTCTATTGCTCACTGACTCCTCGTGGGAGCCTTCTCAACCTTTTCAGCCAGCCTCAGTTTGTCCATAAGTGCAATGGGGGTGGTGATACAAATCCCTCTATATTTCCCGGGAGATTGGGGGTTGGGTAGTGGAGCTTTCCAAGGGAGAAGGCAATCCTCGTACCCACTTCTCACCACCCTCTCCTTCAACCTCCCCCCACCCACCACCCCATGGGTCTTCAGTTCTGTGCCTGCAGCCGTAACAGCAATGCAGTTGGGCACTTACTGTGGGCCAAGGTGTGGTTTTCATTCTGTGCATATATTACTTTTTTTAATCTTCTCAGCAACTCTTGAGTGAGCACTACATATCCCACTTTTAATTGTGGGGAAACTGAGGCCGAGGGGTTAAGTGTTTGTCCATAGCGCCCTAGCTAGCCGCTGGTGGAGCCAGGAGTTGGACCTAGGTGGTCAGATGCGGGAGCTCCTGCCTGTGGCACGGTGCTGCCCTCTGCTGGACAGGCTGTGGACCGGGGGAGGCAGGGGAACCAGGGGCTGGGCTGGGAGAGTCTGGACTTGAGGTCCTGGCCTGGGGACAGAGGACAGGTGGAGAGGCAGCTCCTGGAGAGGCAGCTTCCCACCCGCCGCCCCCCAGAAGCAAGGCCGATAGTTGGATAGTTTGTGATTCTTTCCTCAGGATGTGGAACCCTGTTCCCCTGCCTCCCTCGCTGGCTTGCGCCCCTACACCGACTACGTGGTTGGCTCAGACCAGATCCTCCAGGAGGTAAGGAACCACACATAGCCTTCCCCCCGGCCCCCTGGATGGGGTGTGGAGAAGTGGGTACTGTCCATGAGAAGCGTCTTGTCTTGTGAGGCTTCCCATCCCAGGGTGGGAGCAGGGCTCAGGTACCATGTTGTCTGTCGTAGTCCGAGGACTTCTTCTCACTCATTGAATCCCATGAGGGGAAGCCCTTGAAGCTGATGATTTATAACTCCGAGTCCGACTCCTGCCGGGAGGTGACTGTCACTCCCAATGCAGCCTGGGGAGGAGAGGGCAGGTATTTCCTGGGGTTGCAGGGCTGCAGGGTGGGGCCCTGGTGGGGCCGTGGGGGACCCTGGCCATTGGGCATGGACCTGGAGTCCCATGGTGGGGATGGAGGGATGGGCCCTGGGCCCAGGGGTCCTGAGGCTGACAGTTGGTCCATGAGGCCCCCTCATTGCTGGTGTATGGGGGTGGCAGGGATAGGAAGGGCTGTGGGACAAGCCCCGGAGTGAATGTTTCTGGTCTTCGGCAGCCTGGGCTGTGGTATCGGCTATGGGTATCTGCACCGGATCCCAACCCAGACTCCCAGCCACCACAAGAAGCCATCTGGTGTCCCACCACCTGGTGTCCCGCCACCTGGTATCCCGCCACTTGGTGTCCTGCCGCCTGGTGTCCCGCCGCCTGGTGTCCCGCCGCCTGGTGCCCCACCACCTGGACCCACCCCGCAGGACTCTCCTGCCCCTTCTGGCCTGGAGACAGGCTCCAGGCAGGGTGACTACGTGGAGGTACGTGGGGAGCACCTGCCAGCTGTGGTGAGAGGGGAGCTTCATGTGGGCAGAAGGGCCTGCAGCTGGGAAGAGGAGACTGGGGCTGTCCTCACTGGGGGCCTGCCTGCAGAAGCCTTGGGAGGCCCATCTGCTTGTGGGACCCAGTGGGAGAAGATGGGCCCGTCCTGGGACAGCAGAACCTACTTCGGTTCTCCTGCCACTTGGGTCTGGAGGTGAGGGTAGTGTGAGGCACTGGTTGTCATTTTCATTTCATGACTGGGAAACTAAGGCCCAGAGGTGGGCAGAGCCTTGTTCTGTGCCTCCGTGAGTCTGTGGTAAAGTTAGGCCAGGGGCTGGGTGTCTGTCTGGGTCTGCAGCCAGATCGTGGCTGTTGAGAGGTCCCCCAAGTGCCTCTGGGCATTGGGCTGGTGCCTGGGGTCTGCACGGGGGCCCTTGGGGACTGCTCTCCAGGCATGGACTCTTCCTGTGGGTCATGGATGGGGCTCCGTCTGGTGGGCCCTTGGGGCTGCTCAGCAGAGTGGGAAGGGTGCCCCGAGTCCATGTCCGCACTGCACGGGAGGCCAGCCAGGCCCCTCTTGCCTGACTTCACATCTGCTGTAGAGGAAGCGTTAGATGCCCAGGGCTGTTTCCTCCCTTGGGCTGAGTGATGCTCCCGGTGGGTGTGAGCTGGCGGTTAGGTTTGACTACCCTGTCCAATAGGCCCCTCCTGTTCCTTTTTTTCCCTGGCTCCCTGTAGGCCCTGCTGCAGGCACCTGGCTCCTCCAAGGAGGAACAGCTCCCTGGGCCCAAGAGTCCTGGCCATGGCACTCCAGACCTTGGCGACCTTCCCCGTTCCATGGAGATTCCTCTTCAGCCTCCGCCTCCACTGCAGCGAGTCATGGACCCAGGTACCGAGCAGGCTGAGAGGAAGCTGAGGGCCTGCAAGCCCTGTGCTGGAGCAGGTCCCGGGCTCTGGGCTGGACTTCAGCAGACCCACTGAGCCCTCCTATCTGATATCCGCCAAGATAACTGCAGGTGATCCAATCAGTATACGGATGGCAAGACTGCCGTCCAGAGGAGAGAGGGGGCCTGCTCAAGGTCACACAGCACACTAGGCACACAGCAGGGTCTGGGCCCTCTGCCACTGGGCTATTCCCATGATACCCAACCCCAGGCCCCTTTCTTTCCTCAGAAACCAGCAGTGGGGAACCTCTGGGGTTGGCTGGGGGCATTGCCACGGGCTGAGGAGGTTACAGTCTCTGGCCGGGCCAGATGCCCCAGGAACAGGGCGCCGTGAGCCCAGGGCGCTGGCCTTCCAGTGGTCAGGGTTTTGTTCTGGCAGAGAACTGTGCACCTTCCCCTAGGCTTCCTGGACGTGTCCGGCATCTCCCTCATGGACAGCAGCAACACCAGTGCCTGGTCTGGGCTGCCCTCCTCCACAGAGCTGACCTCCACTGCGGTCTCAGCCTCAGGGCCGGAGGACGTCTGCTCCAGCAGGGGTTCTCGTAAGCGTGGTGGTGAGTGGCCGGCCGGCACCTTCGGAGGCCTTCTGGGAAGGACCCCGGGTTGTGGGGAAGGCGGCCCTGAGTCTCTCAGCTGGGTTAGAGGCTGGCCTGCAGGTGGAATGCAGCCGCATCAAGGCATTTGTACGCTAAAGCGCCCATCCCCCATCAACGCTGGGGGTGGGAGTTGAGGGTCAGCGGGGTTACTGCCCCAGGCCACACTGGCCCTGGTCTGTGGGCCTCCTCAGCTCCACCCCGTGTGTTTCAGGTGAGGCCACCTGGTCTGGGTCAGAGTTTGAGGTCTCCTTCCCAGACAGCCCAGGCGCCCAGGCGGACCACCTGCCTCAGCTGACACTTCCTGACAGCCTCACCTCTGCAGCCTCACCAGAAGATGGGCTGTCTGCTGAGCTGCTCGAAGCCCAGGCTGAGGAGGAGTCAGCAAGCACAGAGAGCCCAGATTTTGGGGCACAGGCTGAGGGGGCAGCCAGCCAGGCACAGCTCTCCCCCCCAGAGTAACACCCCAGGCACTAAGAAGGGCCTCTGATGGCATTTCATGAGGCCCAGAAGTGGGAGGCAGCTCAGGCCACACTGCGTGGCCAAGCCCCCTGCATTACGCTTCCTAGGCTGCTGCTGACAGGGGGTGGGGGGTGGCGTGGCTTGTGTCCACTCAGACGCTACTGGTCTCCAAGAGGTGACCTCCCAGCATTCATTCTGCCTGATGGTCCCTGTCCTGCCTTTGGGGAATTGGCCACTTGTTTGAGAATCTCAAGTACTTTTGGGGTAGTAGGGGCTGGGAGTAGCACCCAGGTTAAATAAGTTCTCCAGGAGATAGGGTCGGAGAGCAAAGGATTCTTTGCCGCTCGGGTAGGGTGTGGAACTTCAGTGGCCGCGGGCCTTGGGGAAGGGCATCTTTTGGCCACGTACCCACTGCTTGCTCCTGCTCTGTGGGTGCACAGAAGGTAGCAGAGTCCAGGCACCATGAGGTGTGAAGATGGGGTGAGGGACGAAGGGGTTGGTGTGGAGTGTTTGCCTAATCGCTCTGTAGGGCTTGCAGTGATTCTTTCCACAGAGCTCAGCCAGCTCTATCTGTAATGAAAGGCACCCCAAGCCCTGGGGACCCCTGCCGCTCCAATTACTGTCTCACTCTGTGCTACACAGCACAGTTGGCTCATGCTAACCACATATTCCAGCCATGGTTGGAGGAGAGGCAGTGAACTTGCCCACCTCTTCTGAGGGAGGATGGTTGGAAATTCTAGGCCCTTCAGCACACTCACCTGTGCTTGGACCACGATGCTTCTTCTTTGCCACTGTCTACACCCCACAGACCTGGGGACACACAAGTGTCTCCAGTTGTGACTCCTGTCAGCTCCCAAACTTTTACAACCATCTCTTCTAAATATAGAAGTCATCCAGCCAGCCCCAGTGGTGAGTAAAAGTTACAAATTTAATTTCACCATCCTAAGCAGACTCTTAGAGCCAGTCCTCCCGACTGGAGTTCTTCACACACAGCTCCCACTCCAAGGGGAGATGAGGGGCCTGGACAAGATTGGGTAGGGGCCCTTCTGTTCTTTCCTGTAGTATAGGAGAGGGCTGTTCCCCTCACCTCCAGTGCCTTGGGAGGCTAAGACTAGGTCGAGTCTTTTGCTCTGCCTGGTTCCTGCAGGAAGAGGAGGGCTCCATCCAGGGATGGCCCCTCATCACTTGAAGTCCTCTCCTCTTTGGCTAGAGTCCCTCACCTTCCCTCAGCCCTCGCGGAGTACCGTGAAAGCTGCCTCTAGCCTGGCCTTCTACTCTCGGCCCAGTCGAAAGTCCCACCTTTACCATTTGATTTGGAATGTGTGCACTTACAGGGAATTCAGAGCTCTCTTAGGCTCATAGGACGAGGACTGTATGCTCTGGGGGGCACAGACCAAGTATATGGAGGGAGGGCCCCAAACCAGCAAACACTTCGCTTCTAGCACTGTGACTACATCTAAAAAGCAAGTCTTTGTCAAGTCTACCAGAGCAGCTGATAAGCCCACAGAACAGGGAGGCATTGTGTCCAAAGCCAGTGCTGGAGCCTGGTTCCTGGACTGTCTGGGAGCCCAGTGCAGCAATCCAGGAAGTAGAAAAGAATCACCATGGGCCTGTTCTGAGGCCAGCTTCCCTTCACTGTAGCCTGGCAGTCCGACCCAGAGTCACCCTCACCCAAGGGACCTGGTTCTTCCCTCCCTCACTTTCACACACTCCCCTCCTTAAATTGGGGGATAAAATGGATAGCAATGCTAATTATTTCCACGGTAAACACAAAACCAGAAGTTTCTTCCTTTCTCTGTAATCTGCTATGAAGGAAAATGACAAGTGAAAATAAATGTGTACTTACACTTTGAAATATTGTAACTAAAGCCTTTATTCTATACAACTGTGAAATACAGATTTTTACCCTTTTGGCATTGCAGACTGTCAAGATTTTCTGGAAACTATTACTGGTTTGACTGGAACAACAAAAAAAAACCACAACCATGCTGGGGGTGAGATCTATGACAGGAAGGGAGCACAGCCGCCCCTCGAGGCTCGGCACTCAGGGCAGCATGGCCCAGCGAGGCCCATTCCTTCAGCCCAAGGGCCCCTCGTGCAAACACAACTGAGGGCTGGTAAATGAGTTTTTTTGTTTTGTTTTTGCCATTAATTCACAACTATTGCTAAAAAATGTGCACCAAAAGTGCACTGTTGTATTCAACAGATAGAAAGGATTTTTAAAAACAGCCGGTTGCTCTCTGCATAAGGGAGACAGGCTCACTGGAGATGTGGCGTGTCTTTGCGCACTCTTCAAAGTGTGGCGGCAGTGACCAGCCCACTTTCCAAAGGAGGCTGACGAGCAGTGAGGAAACCCTGCCTCTACGGTTGTGCCGGTTGGAATATCTCAGATAGTGAGGTCTGGACTCAGGCCACCAGCTGCCTCCAGCTGAACCTGTGAAGGCGTAGAAAAGAAAAAACCTTCCCCACCCCCTCCGCAGTCCCTGCTGTTGTGGGGACGGGCCATGCTGGGGAGGCAACTGGACTGGAATAAACTGCCCTCTGAAGGCACTTGTGCTTCTGGCTTCATCCAGGAGGCTTGTCTTACGTAGTTTTATGGGGGTGGACCATTGTTCTATTCCAAATACAAATGACCTTGGGGAGAATCCAAAGTATTTTTTTCTGCCAAAAGTTGAAGTATTTATCCCCAATAAGTTATATTCTGTACAAGATCCAAATGATTCTATGAAAGCTTTAGATTGTTAGAAAGAACAGTGAAAAGAAATCTGGATACAGGTACAACAACAAAAACCTGCATATAAAACTGGAAAAAACAAACATGTATACTTCCAGGATGTGAATATCAAATTAACTCACTATGATACCCTTTTACTCTGACACCATAAATATTAGGTAGCATTTAAATGAAGTTAAAATCTCATCACAGTCTTAAGTTTTGATGGTGTCACGCTGCTCACCCAGAGCAAGAACCTGTGGTGTCACCTGGCTTTGCCCATAAATAAAACGACACAGTGGAGGAAGGAGTAAGAGAGCTGCACCTCCCTGTGGCCGCCAAACAGTCCGGGCACCGTGGGGGTATCACCGCTGGGCACAGGCTGGGCGTACTCTAGGCTGGCAGTCCCAGTGCTGTGATCCAGCACCTGGAATTTCAACAGATCTTCCTGCAAGAACACATCTGAGATGCAATATTAAAAACAAGCCCAACAATAATCATTTATTATGAAATGGGCTGGCTCTCGAATTGTGCAGCAGCAAATTCCTATTAAAAGTAACTGTCTTAAATGGTGAAAACAACTTTTTTTTTTTTTTAAATGACAAACTTGGAAAAAGCCTTCATAGGTACTGCATGAGTGGAATGTACTCTTAGCAAAGCTCAAGAGTGTGGGTTTGAAGTTGAAACACAGTGACAGATGTGGCCCTACCAATGTGTTTCTAACAAGTGCTAACAGATCAAGATAGGGTCCTCTGAAACAAAAGGAGGAAGCAAAGTCTGCGCTGGCCTGTCGTTAGTTCTCTGTACACCTCGCAAGACACAGTCTGATCGGGGCTCTTCTGCTCTGGCACTCTGCCTTCCTGGGGACAGCTTAATCTACACATGGAGACTGGTTTCTATATTACATCTCGATTAGTCACTTCAATTGAAAGAGAATCTCAGTCCATACCAAATCGGCCGTTAGAAGTCTTGTTCCCGTTGGGGCTCAGTGGGCTTCCTAGCACTACTCTTGGGGCCATAGAGGAAGGTCAGTAAATGAATACCCAGGAGCGTTCGCCCACCCTTCACGTGGACTTCTGACGGTAATGGAGGGTGAGGTCACCACCACTCTTCCATATGAAGTGTTTCACTGTTCGAAGGTCCATATTTGGATCCAAAACCTGAATAGCAAAAAATGAATAATAAAAAAGGTATATCTAAGGCTTTTATCGTTAACTCTGGGACTCTCCTTGCCCATGCCTGGTGGCCTGTTCTTGCTGACACAGCTGCTTTGCAAGCAGGCACGGATCTGGGCATAGTAAGATGTGCAGCTTGTGTGGCTAGGCCAGACAGGCCATGTTCAGTCATTCCTCTGAAGAAATACCTTGAGTGTATCTTCATTTACAACATCTCCACCAATGCTCCACCCACCTCCACTTCAAATCTTAAACTAACGTGGCAGATGCTGCCCTGCAAATAAAGACGAGCATGGGGCATCCCTGGTGGCGCAGTGGTTGAGAGTCCGCCTGCCGATGCAGGGGACACGGGTTTGTGCTCCGGTCCGGGAAGATCCCACATGCCGCGGAGCAGCTGGGCCCGTGAGCCATGGCCGCTGGGCCTGCGCGTCCGGAGTCTGTGCTCCGCAACGGGAGAGGCCACAACACTGAGAGGCTCGCGTACCGGAAAAAAAAAAAAAAAAAAAGACGAGCATGGATCTTTCTTGTCAGAAAAAAAAAGCCACCAGCACATCCACATTTGTCTGTGTGTGCATTTAAGTCTCCATGTCCCTTTCCTGAAAACTGCCCCAGGGATAAATGGAAGCTTTAAGGTGGGCTATAGAGCCCTTCAGAAGGGGCCTCACAAATAGGTGGGAGAGACCCAGTGCTCCTAAAAGCAAAAGCCCGCCAAAGGCAACAGACTTGGAAACTACAATCCCACCACATGATGAAATTCTGAGCACCAGCACTGGAAAAAATGGGGCTGTGTCCTCAAGTCCACTTACCTGGTCCTGGCACAAAAGTTCAATTTTCTCCTCTGCCAACACAGCAATATCCTCTTCTTTTTCCTGTTCTCCTGGTTTTTCATTATTAGAAGAGCTAGTGGTTTGAGACTCATTATCCAAGTTGATGATTTTCTCATAGACGTGTTCCATTACTTTCCGGACTTGAAGCATGTCACTAGCAGAGAGTCTATCTCTGTAAAAAGCAAGGGCAGATTGTGACATCTGGAAATCACTGGATATTATCTCTTCCATATTTCTTGGTGTTAACATTTGACAAAGATAAAACATACCACAGAAACATAAACCAATAAATGTTCTTAGTCATTGCCGTAATCCATTTTTAGAATCGCCAATAGATTTTCTATAGTGTCCTCCCCTAAGACAGATTATGTGCAAATAAATGAGATTAAATACATATTCTTAAACCTTCTATATACATAAGGAATAGCCTTCTGGGTTTTATTCCCTTAAAGACTTTCCCAGAGCATGGGCAAACTAAATGCTCATGGAAGGGAAGGCAGCCCCTGGTGCTTACCAGGCTCCGATGATATATGTGCTCATTTCTCCCAAGGCTTCCTCCTCCTATAGCCAAGCCCTTGAGTTTCAACTGCCTGTCTGATCTCCAGACCTACCAACACAACAGCTAGCTAGGCAGCTCCAGCTGGATGTCCCAAAGGCACCTCAGACTCTACATGTCCAAAACTAGATTCAGCAATTTCCTTACCCCCAAGCCTACTTCTGTATCTCTGACATCAGTTAATAATGGTCAAACCAAGTAGCTAAGGCTCATACTCTGAAAGTCATCCTGAACTTCAGTCATTAAACCTAGTTGAAGTGATATCCAGAACTTGCTTTAAAATAATCGTGTGTGTGTGTGTGTGTGTATGTGTGTGTAGGCAGGTGGGTTCAGTGGGAGGGAGGGCAGGTAGAGGTATAGATGAAACAAAATGTTTAGCCATATGTTGAGAATTATTTAAGCTGTGTGATGGGATAATGGGGGTTCATTCTCCTATTGTCTTTTTTTGCATATGTTTGGAAATCTCTCTAACAAAAGGTTTTAAAGTCCTACTGATTCTACTTGCTGGGATACACATCAGTGAAACCTTGAATGTTCTTTCTGACTCCCCTCCTAGCATCTCCTGGCCACCCCTCCATCCTATGCTGCAGCTACACAGGTCCTTGACAATTTCAATATCTTATGCAGGCTCCTACTTCCACATCCCTGATTGAACCATTTTCTGGACCTGGAATATCTCTCTTTTGAAGTTCTATCCATCCTTACATGTCCAGCTCAAATTCCATGTCCTTCAAGAAAGCTTTCTGGAAAGCTACAGCCAAAAATTCATTTCTTTCCCCTGCACTCATCATTCCGTAAGTATCCATAAAAGCAGTTACTATACGCAGACTGTGTCCTAAACTATGAGAGACAAAATCCATGTTTTACTTATTTTGAACATCTGCAGCCGGCCACAGTAGGTACTTGGTATATGGTTAAATTATATAAACTTTCAATATTATGAAATTAGCCTTAGATCTAGTACTTGCCTCCTGTGCTATAAAAGCAATTATAAGGAATTTTTAAAAATCTCTGGCAATAAATTAGATCAAAGTATCACATGACACTCCATTTACTTACTTTTTTAAGGTTTTTGCTCCTGAAGATGCATGAGGTTGGAGGTAGAAAGGAATTTTGTTGAATTTGGGCATATTTTTCTGAAACATGAAAAGTGAAAAAAGGTAAGATAGTTTCTGTTAGCTGATAAACTAAAATGATGTCAACAGGAAAACCATCCACAAGTTAAGTTATTTTCACAATTAAAAGTGACTGTCTATGAAATTTATAATAAGCTATCAAATTATCTACGTCAGCCTTAGTGAAAAGGTATCAGAAAAGTATAATGTTTCATTTTGTAATAAAAGATACATAAAGACAAATTATATGCAATGTCAGTGGCAATATGAAATTGCAGCATGGATCTTCTCTATTAACAATTCAAGGAATGAAAAGGAAACAAATTTTAATTCTTTAAGCTATACAAACCAAAATCTGAGTTCTACATTAAAATGCCCAAACAAAAAATTAAGTGTCTTGCGAGAAACCCACAACATTCACCTTTGAGCAAAACCATACGCTCTACGCTGGTGAGGCCCATTATCCAACTGAAAAGGCCAATCAAAGTCCTCCCACTTTCTTTTCCTCTGACATCAGAGTAAGGTCTGAGGTTTTAAATGAGTGGAAACTTCAGCCAACCACCTAGATGTCCACCATGAGGTAAACCACATACTTAGATGAAGGATAAAATTAATTGGTCATCTTTTCTCTGGGGATTAATCCTCTCCGAGCCTCCATATCATATCCTGTCTGGATGTCTCCTCTGAGGAATGAGCCACAGGCCTAAAGTCAGCAATGCATCCAGGTGAGTTTAACACTCAAAGGAAGTTGTGGTTTATGGGGAGCTCGGATTTAGAGAAGACCACAGAATATCTATCAGGTGTCAGACCAGTTTTAAGTTCTTGGAGGTATATCTGGGGCAGAAAATGAATTTTCTGCAGGTTCTAGAGATTAAATCTCTTTTCATATATCTTTAGAAATATAGGTCAACAGCACATAAAAGAGTCTAGAAACAGACCCATGTGTGTATAGAAATTTAGTATATGATAAAGATAGCATTTCAAATTAGTAGCAAAAGTTTATTCAATATATTGTGTTGGCACACTGGCTATCCATTTGGAGAAAGTTAGCATTCTACTTCACACCAAACAGAATAAATTCTAATAGACTGAAGATCTAGACACAAACCATTATCATAAACATACTAGAAGAGAATACAAGAAGAGAACATTTTTGCTACTTTGAAGTGGGAAATACCTAAGCAAGACATGAAACTCAGAGCCAAAAAGGATCTGGTCATATAAAAATTAAAACTCTTTGCCTGCCAAAAGACATCATGAACAAAGTAAAATTCAATTGAGAGGCAAGATAATAGTCAAAGGGTTAATATTGAATATGAACAACGCCTACAAGTCAGTAAGAAAGACAAATAACCCAATAGAAAACTGAGTAAAGAATGCAAATAGGCAATCCACAAAAGAAGAAATAAAAATGGCCAACGTGAAAAGATGCTTAACCTCACCACAAATGAAACCAAAACCAAAAAACACATTAAAACAATGAGATAATATCTGCCTATAAAACAAAAATCTGCCTATCTTTCAGCAAAGATTGTAAGTATCCAGCATTGGTGAGGGTGTGCAGTACTGGGCACTCATACACTGTTGGTAAGAGTGTAAACTGGTACAGCCTTTGTGGAGGGCAATTTGGCAACATCTATCGAAATTTAAAATGTGCATACCCTTTGATCCAGCAATTCCACTTCTAGGAATTTATCCTAAAAAGTACACAAAGATAAATGTACAAGGATGTTCACTGAAGCACTGTTTGTAATAGAAAACACTGGGTACAACCTAAATGTCCATTTATAGGGACTGGCTAAATAGATCTTGGTACATTTATACAATGGAATACCTTGCAGTCATTAAAAAGGAATGATCCATATACAGACATGAAAAAATGTCCAAGATATATTTTTAAGAGAGAAGAGAAAAAAAAAACAAAAAAATCAAGTTGCAGAACAGTATATATAGTAGGAGATTTTGTGCAAAATAAAATGATCTATACACACACACATATATACACAAATAATATATGCTTGTGTACGCACAGAAAAAACTACTGAAGGCTATGCATTAAACTATTAATATTTACTACCTCTGGGAAGAAGAATAGGGAGTGAATAAAAGAGAAACAGTGATTGGGAAAGGGATGGGAATTTCACCTTATTCATTTATTATTTTCTTTGATAAGCATATATTATTTATATAATTTAAAGACATAAAGAGATATATAAATAATTATTAATACTTCTTCTGAAACTTTGGAACTGCAGGGAAGCAGAAGAGGATTCCACTTGGTAGTGTAGTTTTAATTAAAGATTACACAGTCTAAAGTAGTTCTTAATTGTCTTCATGATTTGGAAAAAAATAAAAGGGCAAAGTGGGAACGGAGGATACTTACATCCACAGTGATGTCAATTACCCATTGTGGCACTGTCTCATTCAGAAGCATGGACTCAGTCTCACCCCCAGAGTCTCGGCAGAGCAGCCTAAACATAATCCAACAAGTAGTAAGTGACAAAACAAGCACAGATCCCAAAATCATTGTCAATAAACGTTAGAGGGAGGGACTGTTACAGAGTTCATTTAGGATAACCCTCACTTGACAGCTGAGGAAATAAAGTGAAGGCAGGCAGAATGACTCACTCTGCTAAGAGGGAGAGCAAGCCCTAAAACTCAGGCCCCCAGATTTTGAGGCCAGACATATACTACAGCTGCCTGATTCCCTGGGTGAGGATAGGAACCTGGGTATAGGCAAAGCACTTGAGAAAGGTCGTCTGCCAGTGCTATAGAGTGTGGCACTCCACACACAATGGGGGTCAGGTTTATTTTTGGTAACCACACTCTCAGGAAACCATCATAAAGGAAGAAAATTCTGCCCTCAAGGGCAAGACAAACATTTTTCTTACTTCTGGCCCTACAGAAGACTCTAGTAGGCTTTCCCCCATGACTCTCCCTGGGCCTTGGCTGGCAACTTGGAGATGAAGCCAGTCTAGCTCTTGCGTGCAGGGCCTCATGAAGGACTGCCTCACTCCTCAGGTCGGGCCACTGTTGGGCACAACAGTTCCCAAGAGCAGCCCAGTCCATCTCCCCTGGCCAAGCCCGAGGGAAGTTATCTACTCTGATGCTGTCCTGTGGGCAGACACTTCCGGTGATGGTTTCCTGCAGAAACCACTAAGAAGCTGCCTCAAGGCAAGCTATCAACCTCATTTGAACACTAGAGGCTCAGCTCACAATTAGAATGGGGTCTAATAGCACCAGACACTTAACTATGTCATGGAGATGAAGAAGCTTCCAAACCCCTGACACCTCTAGAAGTTAAACATGTGCTTGAATGAATACTTCTTGGCAAACAGGATGCCTTCTTAGCCCTTCTTACCCATACCTGAACAAGGTGCGACCTCCAGCTTCACCAAAGATCACAGGAGTGTGTGGGGGCACCTGGAAATAGCCATTTCCCTTCTGTACTCGGTTCTCCTGCTCCCCATTTACTAGGAAAAGGTACAGATGGTGTCAGGATCCAGAGTTAGTGCTAAAAACACAGACTCTAAACATTTCATTTCCACAGAGCCCAACCATTGCAAGATTTTTTAAGTCAAAATCCTGTACGTCAGTCAGAGACAAAAATAAAGGTAAAAAAACAAAGTTAAATTCTTGAAAATAAGAAATATGGCAACTTGGGATGTACCTCATGAGAAATGACTACATTTTAGAGGATTTTAACAGAAGAGATTAATGTCTGAGATTTGAGACAAAAACATAACCGTCTATTTCAGCCACAGGTAAGTACAGGACAGCCTCTTTATAAACGATGATCTGCTCTTTTTTTGCTGCAGGGACGGAATGGGGCCGGTAAAATGCCGAGCTCAGAAAAATTTCTGTCAGAAAAAACTTTATGGTTAACGGTAGTCACAACTAATGGCAGAGGTATCAGTGAAAAACAAAACCTCAAAGAGGTAATAATCTCATTTTTACTGCTCTCTGCAGACTTCATTTCACTCTGCTTTCTTTGTAATCTTTTGAACGGAGTGCCGTCGACCCCCACTCAAGTGCCAGCTTGTGCATAAACACTTCCCTGACGAATCTGGAAGCAGGCTTGCCCTCTGCAACCTTACAGCACTCTCAGAACCTCTCTCACAGAACCTACTCTCTGATCTCATAATGCTGATGTAAGCAGCCCTTTGCCCAACCAGAATGCCAGTCCCTGAAGGGTAGGGTCCATGCCCATTTATCTTTATTACCCCCACCTGCAACACAATACAGGCCTCAGAATACTTGAACTGCTCCCCAAGTATAATCTAAGCAGCTCTTGAGTATCCACTGAGCATGGTGCAGGTGTAGCAGAAGATTACCAGACACATAGAGTGTGCAGTGTCCTGAGCTCTGGCTGGGTCCTGCCCTGCCTTTACTATGCCAGTTTGATTTTAAGGATGATTTGGGGTTTCCTGTGACTTTTTCTTTATACCCCCAACCAAAGCCTGGATCCAAGAGGTGCTGATTGTGCCACTGTTTTGTTTTTTTGATCTTTTTCTTTGAATTTTGTTTTATTTTATTTTTATACAGCAGGTTCTTATTAGTCATCTATTTTATACATATTAGCGAATATACGTCAATCCCAATCCCCCAATTCATCACACCACCCTACTCTGTGCCACTGTTTTTTGTTTTGTTTTTAAAGATTTTTTTTTGATTTTTTTAAAGTCTTTATTGAATTTGTTACAGTATTGCTTCTGCTTTATGTTTTGGTTTTTTGGCTGCGAGGCATGTGGGATATTAGGTCCCCGACCAGGGATTGAACCCGCAACCCCTGCATTGGAAGGCAAAGTCTTAACCACTGGACCACCAGGGAAGTCCCTGTACCACTGTTTTTTCATTACTTAATATGTATTATTGCTACTTGGGCCTCTGAGGGCACCCTGTCATGTTACAGATGGAGAAAAACAAGCCAAGAACAGGAAATGACATGCCCATAACTACATGGCTGATAAATGGCAGAGCCCATACCAGAACCTAGCTTGCTCAACCCTCTGTGAAGAGAAATTTCCACTGAATTTCTCTGGCTCACAGCCCACTGTACAATTCTAAAGGGGAATAAAGTGGGCCAGGTGACAAAAGAAATGACATCACGGGTGGGGTCAGTGCCCTCTCTATGACAGGGACATCAGGAGACTGGCTTTCAGAGAAAGAGGTATGTCATCCTTGCAAAACAGATTTAAACTCCAAAAATCATTCTGGATGAATCAGTCAGCCAGAACAAAGTCTCTGGCAGGAGGTCCTCATCACTGGTGACCACCGTAAGTGGGCAATCTTCAGAGAATCTTCAGCAGATAAGTCCTCAGTGGGTGGGACTTAAGGTTACATATGAGTTGTGAAATTTTAAGATTTCTTTTCCCCTTTCTTTAATGAAACTGAGCCAAATTCTCCTCTGCTTCCCAGAGAAAGTTACTGCCACTGCCTGTGGCACACAAAGCTTTTCAGTGCCCTCAATGACATTAATTCTTTACACATACTCATTCACTTAACCTGGCACTGCTGAGTTGGGATTTGAATTTTTGAGCCAAGATCAGGTAGATCATCAGACTAGGTAATATCTACATTTCAAGCCAATGTGAAGTTAGACTACACAAGGACAAACCTGGCTTTTTGATGTTAATTAGCGAGCACTGGAGGTAAATCTAGCCGGTCCATGGATACCCTAAGAAATATCTTTGGAATAACCCTGCTAAGCTGCCTACGTTTAAGGACAAAGGTCATTTGAATACACAGGGTTTATTCTATATATCTTGTGTATAGAATCTCACTGATTAAAAGCTCTCTTGGAATCAGTTAAGACTGGATGGATGTTCTCTAGGATGTGGAAGGGAGGGCAGTAAATTGGGCACATCACATATATTTATTATGTCACACTTTAGCAAATGCTTAAAATAATTTTTTTAAGAAAACATTCTCAGGATAACAAACAATCTAAGTATCCTTAACTTCTGAGTAAATTTTAAATCAATTATCCTGATATAAAAACACGAACCATGGTTTACTTCATTTTCTTCTTCATCTATTGGATTCACATGCGTCCTAGGCCAATATTCTAGGAGGGCCTGGAGTAAAAGTCCTCCTAAGTTCACTGCAAAAGAGTTAATATAAAAAAGAAATGGAAAAGAGAATCATTAGCTTTAACCTAAAAATAGAGGGAAAGAAGTAAAAATTAAAAATTTCCACAAACTCTGATGTTACATTCTTAACCCAATGCCAAGGATGTTTAAAAGCAAGATTTAGAGATATCACGAAGTCTATTAAAATTTTATCTTAGAATGTTTAAAGCTGTGATAATATGGAGCAAACACATATTCTATTTGGTTGTTCAGATATAGCCATTCTTTAAAAATGAACAAACAAAAACAGCAACTGTAGTCTTTAAAGGGCTATTTCCATACAAAGCCAATACACTATATTTATATATATCAGGTATTTCTACATGCTACATTCATAATCAACAAAATGTAATAGACTCTTATGAAGATGAGTCTCTTCTCAACATACACAAGAATTAACTCAATATGGATTAAAGACTTGATGTAAGACCTGAAACCATAAAACTCCTAGAAGAAAACACAGGCAGTACGCTCGCTGACAATGGTCTTGGCAATGATTTTTTTGGATCTGACACCAAAAGCAAGGGCAATGAAGGCAAAAATAAACAAGTGGGACTACATCAAACTAAAAAGCTTCTGCAGAGCAAAGGAAATCATCAACAAAATGAAAAGGCAACCTAGTGAATGGGAGAAAATATTTGCAAATCATGTATCTGAAAGGGGTTAATATCCAAAATATATAAAAAATTCGTACAACTCAATAGCAAAAAAACTGAACAATCTGATTAAAAAATGGGTAGAAGATCTGAATAGACATTTTTCCAAAGAAGACACAGACAGTCAACAGGTACATGAAAAGATGCTCAACATCATTAATCACCAGGGAAATGCAAATCAAAACCACAATGACATATCACCTCACACCTGTCAGAGTGGCTATTATCAAAAAGACCACAAATAACAAATGTTTGAGAGTACGTGGAGAAACAGGAATCCTTGTGCACTACTGATGGGAATGTAAATTGGTGAAGCCACTGTGGACAACAGTACGGCAGTTCCTCAAAAATAAAACTACTATATCTAGTAATTCCACTTCTGACTATTTATCCAAAGAAAAGGAAACCACTAATTCAAAAAGATATATGCACCCCCATGTTCACTGCAGCACTATTTGCAATAGCCAAGATATTAGAAACAACCTCATTGTCCACTGATGGATGAATGGGTAAAGAAAATGTGATACACACACACACACACACACACACACACACACACACACACACACACAGAGAAATATTATTCAGTCATAAAAAAGAATGAAGTCTTGCCATTTGCGACAACAAGGATGAACCGTGAAGGCATTATGGTTAAGTGAAATATGTCAGACACAGAAAGACAAATACCACTTATATGTGGAATCTAAAAACAAAAAAGCCAAAAAACAAAGCTCACAGATACAGAGAACAGATTGATGGTCGCCAGATGTGGGGAGTAATGGAATGGGTAAAATGGGTGAAGGGGGTCAAAAGGTACAATCTTCCAGTTATAAAATAAATAAGTCATGGGGACGTAATATACAGCGTGGCAACTGTAGTTACTAATACTGTATTGCGTATTTGAAAGGTGCTAAGAGAGTAGATCCTAAAAATTCTCATTTAGAAAACAAAATTTTCTGTGTATGGTGATGGATGTTAACTAGACTTATTGTAGTGATTATTTTACAATATATACAACTATTGAATCATTATATTGTACATCTGAAACTAATACATTATATGTCAATTACACTTCAATAATTTTTTTTTAAATCGGGGGGGAAAAACTGTTTCCTACATTCACTTTCCTAACCTAACAGACTTCCCACATGGTTTAAGGGTAGAGAGTGTGCTGCATGTTTAATTGTTAAAGCTAAGCCATAGATTGTGAGAAAAATCAAGATCCCCAAAACATTTAAAATGAATAGTATTTTCCATTTCCATATGAGAGAATATACAAGTTTCTTGAAAAATGATTTTTGAAAAACCCAAATATTGTTTAAAAAAAAAAAGATGAGCACATAAAAAAACAGCACAGATCCACCTTCTCTTTTGGAAGGAGAAAGGGAAAGAAGGACACTTAAACTCACGTTTTGGATCTGACCCGTCGGGGCTGCTAAAGCCAGCATCTTTTGCAGAAACCCAAGCAGCAAAACAGTCACTCTCATCCAAAGTAATTGTCAACATCTGTCAAAAGAAAAAAATTGTTAGTGACATTCCATGTGAATACATTCTCCAGATAAGTCTCTAAACCATTACTTATTTGTACTATTTAACTAAAGTGCTAAGCCACAGATTCAGAACCAAAATGTGTTTCTGCGTGATTCAATGCAACTACAATTTAATATACTGGCATATGAAAAGGCATTTAAACTGCATAAAATTTTTTCCTTTCATACATAAAAACACAGGACTCTATAACTAGTCATACTTAATTTTGAGCTATATTAGAAATTTTCAACTACCCCAAATCGCACAAATATCAATTGCTAACTTACCCCTGTTTTTAAGTCTACTGAGAACCAATTTGGTACATACACCATCTTAAATCTTTTCTTAATTTCATCTTCAAAATCCACTTTGCCCAGATCTTCAACTTTACATGCCTATACATCAAAAATAAAGTATGATAATTATCAACGTTAAGTGGTCAACTGATTTGATTCTGACTTAGCTACTCAAAATTTTACACATTTGCCTAAATATAATGGAGTCTTAAATACATTCCAAAAAGAACATGGTCAAATATTTTTATCTTAAAGCATTTACCTTTAAGTAACTACATCCTATTAAAATTTTAAATTAAAAAACCACAAACTGTTCTTTTTTGGGAAACTGTAACCTAATTTTGCTCATACTGATATAGTATACCACCACACTTATCAGGAAGCAATGTCAAATGAAGCAAAAAAAATCTTCAAGGAACAAATAACAGTTTATAAGCACTTTAGGAGAATTGTGAAACTATCAATACCTTCAGACAACAGCTATAATATAGGCAGCAATTTTAAGTTTCTCTTTCTTGACCATTACAATCCTTTTTATTCATTCCCTAAATATCTATGCTCCCCAAAAGTATGTCCTGAACTTCCCCTCGTGCCATGGAGCATTTCCAATCACAGTTCATCTCAATCCTGAACAATATCACAGAATGTTCCCTCTACCTATTCTTCCTAACAGCAAACTGGCTCTTTCCTGAGGGTCCCATCTCATCAGCTGTCTTCTCAAAGGGTGACTCTGCATCTTCTCCTACATCCCATAATTCTCTAATGGCATACAGAGACCATCATTCCACCATCACTGTGTAAAAACTCCTATTTCTTTGAGCCCGTATCATTTAGCTGCAGTAAACCGTACCCCTTTTCCTCACAGCCATCTAGCAACCTCTGTGCTCACTCTCCCTCATCTCCCTCATTCAATGGCAACTTGAGCCTGGCATAATGTCTTAAAACCCGTCTTGAGATCTTGCTTGCATCCCGGACAATATGAACATCCACATGGACAACACACAGGACAAGATGGCCTCTCAAATCCTTGACAGTATTCCCACTATAAATATACAGTCATTAATGCTACCTGGAACTTGTTTCCAAAGTCAGTCCTCCACAACATCTTTGTCAAATCTCTACTCTCCTCATACCATACTCTCCTCATGACCTTGCTGCCACCACCTCCCTCACTACCCCCAGCACATGACTCTGACCTCTACTTCTCAAAAAAAGAGAAGCCTTGACAGAATCCTCTTAACTTTCTGCTACTGTTCTTCCTGGTGCAAGGAAAAAGGTGTCCCTCCTTTCTGTGCTCTGGATCCCCTCACCTCTTGCTTCTTGGGAACCTTGTACCATCATTTACCTTCTCATGCGTCTACGGGCTTCTCCTCACGAACAGTGAACCACGATCAAATTTCTCCCATCTTAAAAATGCCTAAACACCAAAACAAAACCTTCCCTTGACCTTCTCATGCCTAAATCTTCTCCAGCTACTGCCTTTCCTGCCCATCTCACCAAAGCCAAATTTCATCTAAGACTGTCTCCCCTCAAATTCTGTTTCTTCACCTCCCAAACACTATTCAACCCACTCTATCTGGCTTTTGCCCTTAGATCTCCCTAGAAACTGCTCTCCCCAGACACCATCCTCTTTATTGGCTAGATGCATGTGCACGTTCCATTCCAGCGTCTCACACAAACTCTCAGCAGGCCAATGCAGCTAACCACAAGCTCCTTTCTGAAACGCTTAATTAGTCCTTGAGCTCTTCGTTTTCTTACCCCTTTTTATTACACACCTTTGTGGCTTCCTCTTTTTCTAAAAATTCTTGAAAGGGAGATGACTTGGTTTCTTCTATTTTCAGTATAGATGTATCCCTTAGGAACTCTGACCTTTCTCATGGCTCCAATTATAATCCACAGCTGAAGACGGCTGAACCGATTTCTCCAGCCCAGTTCTTTCATTCGTGCATTAGGTTGTACAGCTCTCTGCCCAGCAAACACCTCTACCCAGATATCTCACATAAATCCAAATCCGTTCTTTCTCACCATGTCCCTTTCGCCCAACAATGCTTTCTCCTCTTACGTTCTCTGTATCACTTCCACTCACCAAACTAATCCCGAAACCTAGGCTAATCTCTGCTCCTTCCTTTTCTTGATACTCCCTTTTATTCAAGCATCACTCTTATCTATAGGCCTAAATCTCTTTCTAATCATTCTGTTTTTTTCCCCTTGTTCCCACCCCACTCTAGAGGAATATCCGATATTTCGCCTGTATTAGTACAACAGCCTCCTAACTATTATGTGTCAGTCACTACAGTAAATACTTCTCAAACACCCCCTTAACATTACCAAGAAATATGGACCATCCAGATTTTAGGAATAAAGACAAAGGTAAGCATATTCTGGAGATCACTTGGCTAGTAGCTGGCAGAGCCAAGGTCAGAATGCAGCTCTAACTCTGAGCATATGGTCCTAAATACTCCTGACTTCCATATTTCTGTATAATGCCATGTCTATTTTGCCTGATCACTTGATCTTAAAACCTCAAGGTCTAGTGTCTGGATATGGGAAGCTGCCAGGGACACAAAAATGCCAATGATGGTGCATGCCAGCTGAGCGCCCCATCTAAGTAGAACTACCTCCCATTCAGACAGCAGGACTCTACTCAGTCTTCAGCTAATTAGACCAAGAGAGGACATCAGACTCATAGGCAGAAAATCAAAGAGGAACTGGCTCGATTTGACTTTGTTAGATATTCTGGAGAACATCAGATGCTGCGCAGCATGAGGTAAAGCCTAGCCACAGGGCAGAGCTAGGGCCACATTAGTGGTGAAGCAGCCAAATTCCTACTGATGAGGTCCTTTAGGGCTACTCTGAATCCTCTCCGTCTTCACAGAACCCCTCTCTGAAACAAACGTGAGTTTCTGGTCCCCTGACAAGCACATCTCTACTGTAGGGAAAAAACCAATCGGAATTTTTGGAGCCTACTGCAATTAAATTTTCCACTCAACTAAGGTCTCTTGTTCTGAAGCCATGCTCACCAAGCAACTGTTCTGTAATGTGATTTCCCACACAGCTGCGCCACAGTGGGGGAATGTGTTAGTCAGGCCAAGGTTTCCATTCAGAGACAGTCCCCTTTTCCGAGAAAGAAATGTGTTTATTCTTTGGATCCAGAAGTTAACTTAAGTGAACCTCTGTTCCTTATAACCAGGAACCTAACCAAAATACCAGATCTTTTCAATTCTTCCTTTAAAATATACCCAACATCTGTCTCTTCTTTTATTTTTGGATCAAATCGTCTTATTGAGGGACTCCAGGGGAGGGTGGAAGGCCTGGAGGACAATGAGATCTGATGTCTTCGGTCTGGCCAGGATCTCTCCAAGGCTTCACAGTGGCCAAAACTCATCCATCTCTTTCTTTAGATCCTCAAGTCACTATGCTTAAGACAACTGACTTCCTGACTTCCAGCTTCTTTCCCATGATACATACTGCTACGGCTCTGAACATAGGGTTTTCCTGCTCTAAAATCATCTATGATTAAGAATCTTTAGGAAGTACCAAAGAAAGGCCAAGCCTGGAGCCTGAAATTCATGACTTTTTGGTAAATGACGTGAATCTCATCTTTCATCCTTACACACCCCTACTACTCTTATACTTACTCTGGTCTCCAGCTATACAAAACTGTTCACCTGGCCCTGAATAAGTATGTTTTGATTACCTTCCTCTTGTGCCTTTGCCATTCACTCCCTCTTCCTAAAATGCCCTCCCATAATCCATCTGCTGGAATCCTTTAAGGCCCTGTTCAAGCGATTTCTCCACTGTGAGGTTCTCCTGATTTCTCCAGTTGTAAGTAATCACCTTTGTCCATAAGCTATCTTGTGCTCTGTTGTCCCTCCTACAAAAAGGGATCATGAAATACACTTTTTCATCATTTGTGACCCTCAGCACAGTTCTGTGCACACAGTATTCATTCATTCCAGAATTTTTTTTTTTTTTTTTTTTGTGGTATGCGTACCTCTTACTGTTGTGGCCTCTCCTGTTGCGGAGCACAGGCTCCAGACGCGCGCGCAGGCTCAGCGGCCATGGCTTACAGGCCTAGCCACTCCGCGGCATGTGGGATCTTCCCAGACCAGAGCATGAACCCGTGTCCCCTGCATCGGCAGGCGGACTCTCAACCACTGCGCTACCAGAGAAGCCCCAGAAATATTTTTTGAACAAATATAACAACAACACTAAGAAGGAACATTTGTCAGGATTCTAAAAGCAAACTTTTCAATCTGTCTATAACTTCTTCAGTGCTATTTATAATGTGGTTGAACAGCTTAATACATCTCAATTATCCAAGGAGTCACTGTAACATGACCCAAAGTAGTAACTGCTGCTCACAGTGATGGCTATAAATCCTAAGAAATGGCCAAACCTATTTTGTGTACTCCAGTGGTTCTCAACCCAGGGTGATTTTGCATCCTTCTTCTTCCTTCCTCCTCCTAAACATTTGGCAATATCTAGAGACATTTTTGGTTGTTATAACTGAAGTGGGGGATAGGGATGAAGGTGGTTACTGGCATCTACTGGGTAGAGGCTAAGGGGTGCTCCTAAACATCCTACAATGCACAGGACAGATCCTACCCCGCCCCCCCCCGCCCCCCCTGACAAAACGTCAACAGTTTCAAGGACGAGGAACTCTGTTGTTTTCATTTTAAGGGAAGGCAGCACAACACAGTTTGTAATACACTAAACAGAGAAAACGGTTCCATTCAAATTCTGGGTACTTAAAAAGATAAACTATGGGGCTTCCCTGGTGGTGCAGTGGTTGAGAGTCCGCCTGCCGATGCAGGGGACACGGGTTCGTGTCCCGGTCCGGGAAGATCCATCCCACATGCCACGGAGCGGCTGGGCCCACGAGCCATGGCCGCTGAGCCTGCGCGTCCGGAGCCTGTGCTCCACAACGGGAGAGGCCACAACAGTGAGAGGCCCGCGTACCACAAAAAAAAAAAAAAAAAGATAAACTATGGCCTTATCTAATATTCACATAAGAATATAAATATCCACCCCAAAATAAGGCTGCAATTAAATCTTTATTTATATGATAATTATCTTGGTTATTTTATACACACACACATATACACACACACAGACTACAATAAAAAATAAAGGGATACATAATCCAATAACCTATATTTAATTACAAAAAGATACTTACCTTTAATACATCCCAATATGCCACATTATTATTGGTATCTTTGGTTAATATATGTCTCTTATCATTAAGAATGTGACACTGAATAATACTAGCACCCCCTAAAGGAAACAAATTCACACAATTAGGAAAACAATCCTACATTTAAATTCACAGTACAGCAATAATGTTAACTGGCATGTATTGTAACAGAATGTAAATCATACTAGCCCCCAGAAAGGAGAAGGTAAATCAGAATACCATATAATTATACCTAAGGCAATTTAAGGCTAACCAAAGAAAAACTGTCTGATTTTAATAACAGATTAAAAGACTCTCCATTCACTTCAAGGGTCTACTAGTGGAAAATTATTAAGAACAAATCCCTTAATAATTTTTTTACCTACTAGGAAAAGTCCACATGATGACAGGAAATCTCTGAATCAGTCCTATCTCTCATTAACTTTTGTTTCCTATCTTCCTTTTCGTGAATGGACATTCCATCCTAAAGGTCACAGCGTGGACATTTAACTATAGATAAACACACCATTCAATACTTTTAATCCCCTTGAAGTCAGAGCTGTCACTCGCAGTTGTAGCATGCAGAATTCAGGGGCCAGATCTGACCATTCTGGCTTGTGCCAAAAGACAACATTAAATCTTATATCTTTTACAAAGTGGTTGCTGGCTTTACCAACACCATGATTATTCTAATGCTGGGCAAAAAGATTAACTCAAGAAAGCTCAATTTTTAAAGTCACTAAAAAGCATTTAAAAAATATTTTTCTTCTATTAAAAACAAACCAATATACTATTAGTCTTTTGTTGACATCAGGATTACATTTAAAGGAAGGTCATCTCCTTTATTTTTGTCAATTTCTTCGTAAGTATAATTAACTTCAGCAAAACGGACAATACCTTCCAATATCCTTACTTACCTTTAATAACCTGGTCGGGTTGTGTACAAAGGGGTGTTATAGGATTTGTACAGTCATTGTCATAATCTCCAGAGGCTCTAAAATTATGAATTCCTTTCAATGTCTAAAGGAACAAAATTCATTATTTAATTATTTTATGCCAATTAGTTTAAAGTGGCAAGAAAAACAACGAACAAAAAAGAAACCACCAACAAAGAACAAATGAGAAAAACCGACAATAACAACATCAACCAAAAAATAGTCACAAAATACAATTACCTACCAATGATTAAAAAAATACAAAACAAAAATTAAGAAGGGAATGTTGTCTTTTTGGAGAGAAGACTAGGCACTCTTCCAGGTAAAGCTATGTTGATCTCAAATTGGCACAATGAAATTTAAACAAGTTATATAACATTTTTTTTTACAAGTACAGAGAAAGACCACTTGATCTACATATAAACAGGAATAAACGCAAACACTTTCTCTTTTGTTATCCACAAACAGTCTGGTAAGCAAGAAAACTTAAATCTTCTCTAATTAAGACTTAAGAATTAATAGTACTTTTTTGATTTCTCTCTGCTTATCCTTTATTTCTATACCTGTTCTTCATGCTATAAAGAAAAAGGAAATGAATTTGAAAAAACAACTTCCTGCTTTCTCTACGTGTAGAAAAACAGAATCCTAGAGTTTCCCTGCTGTGTTGGTACTTGGGCTGCCTCTTTTCAAATACAGCTTCATGAGATCAGAAGCTGTACTACTTTAAAGCTGTACTTTACTGGTTTTTATCAGGGAACAGTGCTTATTCTAAGCACATCAAATGTGTATCTTGGCTCCTGACAAAGAAGTCAGAAGCTGCATTTTGACTATGACCTTAATTTTTGTACAATCCTTAGGATCACACCTGCATTCATAGGGGCTTTCAGATTTTTGTCACTGTCCAAAAGCATGCTGAGAGTCAGGCTCATACTGAGCATTTGCTACTGGTACCTGGGAGGTCCGTGGTAACAAACCACATGTTTATAAACCTTTGCCAGATATACAGTGGCTCACTTACCCATTTATTTACTGTAGACTTCGTTGTTGCAACCCAGATTGCAGGAGGAGGATCAGCTGATCTGTCAAGCTCCATCTGAAATAAAGCACAAAAATATTGCTTTGTGGAATGTTGACTCTTCTGAACTGCCAGGACCAGCTATACACTATTAAATATCAACTCCTTCATTCAACATCTGTGTGCTGACGATACCACAGCGTGTGTTAAAAGCTAGGGATGCACAGAAGAATGAGTCTCTTTGCTATAGGAATTCGTAGCCCTATAAAAGTGTAATAGGGGTGACTACTTACCAAAAACAGTGGCTTAAAGTTTTAAGTGTGGATAATTTAAGGGTTCTAGATGGGTACAGTCAAAAGGATGACTTACTATAACTTCTTAGTTTTGTCACTCCTGTGTTTTGTCTTCATGTTCTTAGTAACAAGGAAATATGTTTTTTTCTTGGAAAATGTTTGTAGCAAAAACCAAAACAACCATTCTAACAACACAGCAAAAGGAAAAAGTACCCACATAATGTACCCCCCCACACATTTGCTTAAGGAACACAACTGTACTTTGTGAACAGTTTACTGTGTCCTCCTATATTTTTAAAATACCATACATATAAAAATACACATATACCCATGTATAAATTATGCAAATGGAATGACTCTACATTTGCCCACTATTCTTCCTGCACCAGGAAGTTGCAGGTTTTTAGACATGGGGACAGGGCTGAACCACTAGCAAGTAGGAATCCTCTTCATTTCAAAGTGATGCTCCTTACAACATGGTTATGCCTGTGCTAAACACTTCTAGTCTTTTTCTCCACAGCCAAGAGATCCTGGCAGCTGCGGGACTCACAGTGCAGTTTCTCCTCCATACGTGACTCTCCCCATCAGTGTGCTTCCTGCACACATGCTGTGCCTGTATTTTAGCCTCCACTCTCTTGCTTCTCTAAAGGATTATTGCTTTTGTCCATTAGGCTGTGCCATCTGTTTTAAAGAACTGTAACTGGCCAGTATTATGTGAGCTCTTAGACCACAGGCATCCTCTCAAGTATCTCATTTGACCTCTATTCCCTTTTTCAGTCCTTCCTCCTATACTGTGGTTTCAGATGTCACTTAGTTTCGTAGATGATGAGTATTTACAATTGTTCCCTGCTTTTCTTGTTGTTTTCAGATGATTTCTGAGAAGGGGTGGGGGGGAGTGCTGCCTTTATGCCTCCATTTTAAACCTGGAAATCTCCTCACCGTTGTCTTAATGTGCAATTCTGTGAACATCGGTGAGACTGAACATCTTGTCAATGATGACTGGCCATTTTCTAGGCTTCACTTTTAGCAGGTGTCAATATGGATGGCTTCTCAAGTACCCTTTTACCCACCACCCAGGACTATTTTGAGTCAGTGATGGTTTGGAATATGAACCAGCTTCCCCTCTTCTTCAGGAGAACTCTTCTACATCCTCCTCTTGAGGCAGTGGACAAATTTCTGCTTTGCTGTCCACTCTCAGATACCTGAACCCCTCATATTCCTCCTCTAAGGACAGGTTAGGAAAGCCAGGAGAGCTCAGGAGCACTTTGGGGCCAGCTCACTAGGATTCGCCAGTGCGAGAGCCATCCATCCCTGATGTACCCATGAAATCGCCATTTCTTCTATGGATGACTAACAAGTATCTTTTTACAACCTCACAGTTGATTTGTGTTTTAATATTGATTTTGCTGTATTTGGCTAGCACATGTAACAATCTTAATCATAAAACTAAAACATATGACATACCTTGAGAACTGGTGCTTTTTCTTCACAGATTAGCACCCGAATGTCAGGGTTTCTTAGGTCTGTACAATAAATCTTCCGGTCCCTTCCTCCAGAGTACACATGTGTGAAGGTGTCATTGACCTGTAGAGCCCAAACACCTTCATCATGCACTCGGTACGTTGCTATACATCTCTGCTGGCCAAGGGACCAAAGGCGAATTGTCCCATCAGAACTGCCAGAAAGGCACTGAGAACAAAGAAAGCTAAGGTTAGAAACCTGCCAAAAAGTTCCTGCTTTCTTGTGCTTTGCACTTGTCTTCGCTCCTGACTCCACAATGTCAAACACACACCTCTAACAACCTGTATTCCTGACTCTGATAAAGACTTCTGACAAGCATACACCATAGCCTGAAACGACCAAAGGCAACAGTATGGGCTCAAGCAGGGGAACCCTCTGAGCAAAACTTCCTCTGTCCTGTGTACCTGGCCACTTGTTGCATCACCATCCCTTGGGAACATGTTAAAAATGTAAATTCCCCGTTCCCATTCCAGACCTAATGAGGCAGAAACTCTGGTGGGGCTCAGCAATCTGTTTCGACAGGCTCTCCAGATCATTCTGGTATGCCAAGTTTTTTTTTTGTTTTTTTTTTGCGGTATGCAGGCCTCTCACCGTTGTGGCCTCTCCCGTTGTGGAGCACAGGCTCCGGACGCGCAGGCTCAGCGGCCATGGCTCACGGGCCCAGCCGCTCCACAGAATGTGGGATCCTCCCGGAGCGGGGCACGAACCCGTGTCCCCTGCATCGGCAGGCGGACTCTCAACCACTGCGCCACCAGGCGGACTCTCAACCACTGCGCCACCAGGGAAGTCCTGGTATGCCAAGTTTGACAAGCATTGCACTAGGCAAGGAAGCCTTCTGCAGCCCTGGGTCACACCTCTGTTTTGTCCCCCACCTCACAGCTCTGGATTCCTGATGGCCTGCCAGGTCTCCTGGATTCTACTGACAGGAGCCAAAAGCAAAATCCAGGCTTGCCACTCACTCTGTGAGCTTGGATACTTCCTATATGAGCTTCAAGTTCAATATCCATTAATACAAAATGTAGACCCTCAGCATTCAGAGTTAACATTGGCAATTCTGACAATTTCTAAAGGCTCAGGAGTGTCAACTACATAGAAGTTGCAGGTACACAAATCAGGGCTGAGCACACAGAGAGTGTGACAGAAACAGGCAGAATCAGCCACCCCACATTCACATTCAGCATGCCTGGCGTTCTCTACTAGTTACTGTGGTGACCTGAGGAAAGGGATAAAAACTTATTTCTTTGGGGAAAAAAATCACCCTGAGGGGAAAGGAACTGCTGGTGCTGGTGTATGAAATTAAGCAGGCAAAGACCTTCAAAGAAGAGAAGATAGTTGTGGGCTTGGAGACCTGGACAGTGTTTGAACAGATGAGGCCTTCAGGAATATTAAGGATTTACTGGCCTGCTCTGACTTGAAGGGGCCTTCAGACGTGTTTAATTACACAAACACCATACTAACAGACTCCCCCATAAGCTGTCAGGAGCATCAGTGCTTTAGTCACCAATTCCAACTAGTTCACAAGAGAACCAAGAGACTAACCAATAAAGAAACTGTCAGGAGTAAGGTGGCAAGCAGACCTTCATCACGTGTGTAGGAGCACTGTGGCAGTCTGATGGGGAGAAGGCAGGGAGGAGCTCTCCACTCGAGGAAGAGATGCTACTCTGTGGTGGCAAAGCTGTTAGTAAAGCTTTGATCACTCAGATTCTAGACCATATATCTTCAGGGAATAAGGTCTGACAACTTTAGGAAAAGGAAGGCAAAGATGATGGGTTGAAAGTCCTCACAGGCTGGGTGACTTACAGAAGTAAAGAGATAAGTTCCAAACCCAGAATGCACAGGTGAAAGTGCATGAGGAAACACAGGGTATATTAGAGTTCTATATCAACCCTGATATAGAATACAAAATAATATTTGATTATTTGTATAATAATCTATAATAATAATCTTTGATTATTTGTATAATAATCAAAGAATATTTGTATTCAGGCGGACTCTCAACCACTGCGCCACCAGGGAAGCCCATGACAGGCGGCTTTTAAAGTAGTACTACATCACCTTCTCTGCTTTCAGTAAGTGGAACTGACTACAGGTGAAGTGCATGTGTAAGTAAATGTGCTACCTAAATCGTCTTAAGTAAAAGCACATTCATAATTGTCTATATAGGAAACAAGGCATGGAGTGTAATAGACAGGAGGAGATTTAAGAAAGTCTGACAGGCCCACAGCCCATTTCTGGAAACCATCTTGTCTACAGCCTCTAGTTAAGCACAGTCCCATGGAGACCATATGATCTAGTTCAATCCTGGACAAAGCTAACAGAACTAGGCATGCACAACCATCAAGTGTAGCCTAGCAGCTACTGCAACAGTGAGGAGCTAACTGTACTGGGCTTTTTTGGGCCACGCCTCATGGCTTGTGGGATCTTAGTTCCCTGGGCCCCGGCAGTAAAAGCATGGAGTCCTAACCACTGGGATGCCAGAGAATTCCCCTGTACTGGGCTTTTTAGACTCACATGAAAATGCTGCTATGAAGAAACTCAAGAGCTCTAGAAAATGCCATGGCTTACAGAAGAATATACTTATTATTTCTACTCTTCTCACCAATTACAGTAACTAAATATTATGACTCCCACTTTGCAGATAAGCAAACTAGGGACCAGTAGATTCCTCTCCTCAAGGCCACACAATACTTTAATATCAAGATCCTTCATCTCCAAAGACCTCCATGGGAATATTCAAGCTTCTCTGCCTGGTTCTGAAAAAATAATTTCTTTCCTTTGGCTAGTTTTCCAAACCTTCCTTTCACCTCTGGAGACAAAGGCTTCTCTAATTCATGTATGAGGCAACTTCCATGACATAATTTCCACAGGAGTAACAGACCAATGGTGTTTCTCATCTCATCACATTCATACTCTCCTTCTTCTAAACCAATCACAATCAATTCCAATGACCCCTGCCCTATGCAAAAAATGGCAGCAGTACATGGTAGAGGTATGTCATAACATAAAATGGTGCTCAGTTTTTGTTTTTTATTATCTACACTGATGAAAGATCATTTTTCTACTGCTACAGGACAGAATTGTGATATATAATTCACAAATTATGTGGCCAACAGAGTATTAATACATGTTCAAACATTACCAAAATGTTTTTCTTTGAAATGTTCACTCTAAGTACTATGTTAGATAACTAAATCTACAGACCGTATCTACATAGTCAACTGACAAGATTTGCTTGGAAAACAGACCCACTGTGAGGAAATTCTGCATTTACTACACTGCCAGAAAGCATTCAATACCAAAGCTTCCTTCTGCTTTACACAAGGGAACATTTTAAATTATTTCAGCTATACATATCATAACTGCATATACTCACCTGCATTAAAATTATTCTTAGGAAATCCTTCGTTTGGTCTTTATTTAAAAGTTAGGCAAACAGAGAGATTTTGAAATGTGGATTATTATATGTGCAACTGAGGATTTTAAGGATTTAAAAATTAGACCACAGTTTCTAATATGTGTGGCTTTTGGTTCAAGCCAACTATGCAACAATATACAAAGTGGGGGAGCTTCTGCTGTATGAAATTTTGACAAGGTCAGTAGGTAAATGTTCATGTGAACTGCATACCTGTGTGCCATCTCTGTTCAACAGCAATGCTTTAACATTATCCGTGTGCCCTTTAAGCTTCATTAGTTTTGCACATGTTCTTGGATCCCATACTCTTAAAACCTGCGAATTTTAACAAAGTATCATACAAATGATCAAAGTTACATAACGGATGACTTTTATAAATCAAATGACAACTATTAAATTCTGAGAGGGAAGTACTACTTCTGCCAATAGACAGTGTCCAAGGCTCCCAACTTTTTTAAGTAGGAGGAAGTCTTTTTAATGTCAAAAAAAGCACAGGCTTCCCCCACTCCACCCTCTGCCTCTGTTACCACACACGACAGTAATTATACAGTTATACTCTTATTTGTTCAAATAAAACCTTATTTTAGTAGCCACCAGGCAAAACCGCTGTCTATATATTCTGTAATTACCCAGATCAAATTATTTTGGTTTCTTTACTTTCTAGTGTTAAAATATACCCTTTAAGTTTCCCCTTACCTTCTCAGTGGACCCTGATACAATGATTGTTCCCAGTTGATTCATTGCCAGGCTATAAATGGAATCTTTGTTCCCACTTAAAGAAGAAGCTAGTAAGGATAAATGGAGCTATATGTTAAAATCATCAGCTGTTTAATAACTAGTTAGCACAAATTGCAAGTTTAATTATTCGATTTAGAAAATCTTATCTTTATGAGTACTCTAAGGAAAAGAAATCTCTATAATGGAAATAATTCTAAATCATAATATTGTTAACAAAATTTACATCTCTTCTGGATTTGAGCATACGCAAGTGCTCAATAAATATTTGCTAAATTGAATTGCACTGTCATTTAAGAAACTATATGCATAAGTAATGTATTTTCAAAGATGCACATGAAAATGAAATGAAAACTATGGCTACACTCATTATTTACAAGAAAACACAAATCAAAACAAAAATACAATGTTCACCTACCAAATAGATAAAAAACAAGGCAATACTTAATTCTCAAAAAATACAGTTAAAATGGCACCCTCATACATTACTTGTGGAATGATAATTTGGTACAACTCTTCTAGAAGGAAATTAGACAATGTGTAGCAAGAATCATATTCATGCCCTTTGATTCAGAACTCAATACCACTGAAGTATGTATATAAAATTGTCTATACAGTATGATTCCAACTGTACAACAAAGAATAAATTTAAACAAACACACTGAGATGCTGTGAGTAAAGGAGTAAATACATGTAAAGTATTTAGAAAGGTAACTGCTTGTATTAAATGCTCAATAAATGTTAGCTATTATTATTACCTCCATAATTATAAAAAACTTATTTGATATCCTCTCTAAACAATTATAAGCAAGACATATCTGTTGCAGAATCTATAACCACCTAGCCTCGTCTCTGACCTTGGGACAATCCTGCTTTTTTTGCTTCATTCCTTCTTGTTAGTGTCTCTTTCAGGCAGGCCTTACATCTAGAGAGAGCTAAATGATGTATTATGACAGCCCCCAGCGGGGACCAGCTGCTGAATCCCTGAGATTGTGTACAGGTGAAAAATCACGGAAAACAAGGGAAGAACAGTGTTTAGACTTTCACATATTTCCTGAGAAAAAGGGCAAAATAATATTTAAGAATTTATAAACACCGGTCTCCCAACCTACTCTTCTTGGCACACGCTAGATTATATTAGAACTGTTAGTTATATCAACATGAGTATTCCACAGTCATGACAAATTGGACCTGTTATGTAGGAATCTAGATAGTTCAGGCCCATATCCTGAACACAGACCTTCTAGGCCAGGCTTAGCCGTAAATGTGCTCTCAAGAATCCGTACTGACACCTGGCCTAGAGAACTATTATTGGTTGGGCCAAGTGTGAGCTGAGTTTCAAGTCTAGACCTGTCTGGATCTGACTGGGTAATTGAGATCTCTTAGTTGATGAGGCATCCATGCTACTAACCTGCTGTGAATCTCTCTGAATTGCCTCTAGATGTTAGGTTAGCCTTCCTGAACTCTTCTGTTCAGGAAGAGTTGGCTGGATTCTTTAGGGCTACTCTGAAAGGGTCCCACAATATTGGCACTAAAACCCTTTCTTTCCTTTGGGTATTTTCCAAGTTGGCCATTAACTCAAAGGCTCTTAGTATATAGTAACACTTTTAAAAGTCAAAAACTGCCTACTTTTTGCCAGGTAATCACCACCTCCATCAATAATATCTGCCTAGAGTGTGGCTTTGGGCCAGGCACAGCTGGGATATACAAAGTAATAAGACAGGCACTTCTGCCCCGTGGAAGCTTACACTTCAGCTAGGGAGCTAACACATGCACATGTACAAAAATAACCAGGTTACACCTGGAGAAGTTACCATTTTTAGATTGCAGTGAGAAACTAGTTCCTTGTTGTTTAATCATACTCTTGGGGGCTAGAACGCTGTAGGTAGAACCACTCTCTTAATGCAAACTTATCAAACTTGTTTTATAAACCATTCTTTCTTTATGTCAATTTGGATCACTTTCAAAGAAATTTTTTTCAAACACCTTACTTGTTACAGTGTTATTTGAGGCAGTCAATGCTGTTAGAGTATTCACATCCCAAAGGAATATTTGTCGGTCCAACCCAGCCGATGCTACCAGTTCTTTATCCTTGGCATATGCTAAGGCTTTTACATAATCCTGCAACAAAATACACATACTCTGATCTACTCTGTAGATCAATAAGCAAATGACCCACATGAAGTACTGAGATCTCAGTATTACACTAAAGACATTGAAAATTGTGTTAGTTGTTTTACCTTATGAGTCCTTAATGTTGACATGCAAAATCCCTTATGTGCATTCCATACTTTTACTGTTGTATCAGAGGAAGCAGATATTACTAGAAGAGGCAAAGAATTAAACCCCTTAGTAATGCGACTTAACATCATTTTAAAGAATTAACGTAAAACAATGTAACATTGTCTCAAACTTTCACACATACATACAAAATGTTCATACATAAATATTTGAATATTTATGTGTATTGAATATTTATAATATTCCTAACATTAATTCAAACATCTTAATATTCATAAACACATACACATCTGAAAGTTCTTTCTAGAACCTATTGTATTTTGTCTCAAATATTTTTTTAGATAGGCAAGACAGACTTTTTTTAATGTTTCAGTTGAAGGCACAACTAATTTGATTATGCAAAGTTTCTCTAACACAGATTGCAAAACCAAGAAATGGATCTTACCATAATGAAAACAAAAAGAGGTATTAATAAGGTTAAAAGAAGAATACATGTTGTATGAGTCTATTTATATACAATGACAATGCAGGCAAACTAATCAATAGTGCTTGTAAGACATGAGAGCAGTTACCTTGGGACAAGGGGTAGTGACTGAAAGGGTGGCATAAGGGGGCTTCTGGTAATCTGTTTCTTGATATGGATGTTCACCTTGTAAAATTTTAATGAGCTGTACTCTCAAGGTGTGTGTGCTTTTCTGTATGTATGTTATACTTCAATAAAAAGGCTTACATAAAAAAAAGTTATCAAATTGAATTAAAATCTTCCAGCAGCCCCAAAATTCAAAGAAATACTTACATGTTTTCCCATTACAACAGAGTACAATGTCATTTACCCAATCGGTATGGTGTTCCATAGATGCTATATATGGATCTTGCTGAAATTAAAAGAAAAATCATAAAAATGTCTTTAGTCTACATTAGAGGATAAAATATATCACAAATTATAGATATGTTTATATTCTTCAATTAATGTGACACACTGCTCTAAGGTCTTAAAATTGACAACTGAATTCAGAGTAGAATTTCATCAAACAATTGATGCTTCCATATGACAGATATAAACAGAAGTTTTGTTTCAGGACAGTTTTATTACTGATGAAAGTCTAGGTTTCCAGGAAAAATGCTTAATTTTTATGCCCTGAGTTAGTGAAGGCAACAAGATCTGGGCTAGGCACTGTGTGTGACACGAGTGCAATAGGAAGGGGTTCACTAGAAAGGACAGGACATGAACAAATCTGCAAGCTGGGGGGATCTGACTCAGTAGTGGTGAAGGCTCAAAGCTGACAGCAGGGACAGAAAGGAAGCTGATGAGAGTGGTGAGAAGCGTAGCCAGACTGCAGAGGGGGATGCACGCTTCTGCTCTTAGCTGCCTACTGCTGTTTTTACCTGTGAACTAAACATTTTGTCACAGTATCTACAGTCCTTCAGAGAAGAAATGGAAGCCAAGGGCTAAAGGATCATCATTTCAATTCAGTAACTCAAGATTTTTCTATTCCTCTCACTTGGTTTAATCACCAGAAGAGGACTTTTAAAGAAGAGTATTTGGTTATATCCTACACCTAAGACAGGCAAGTTCAAGATGATTCATGGGCAAAAAGAACAGCTCTCTACAAGCCTAGTTGAGAAATGATGCTATTCAATCTTGTCATAAAAATGAGGACCAGAAAGAGATGTCTGAGGGCAGGATAGGCAGCTTTCTAATTCTTCCAGGCTAGTTCTTGTGTTTTCCTTAATTTGTTTGAAATACTGTAAATTTCCAGGAAAGTGACATTCCAATTCAAATATAAGTTCCAAAAAGCATTTCAGAGCCATAGTTTTCTTACTTTCCATGTTTTTAACATTGGGCCACCACTGTTTCCACTGGTTAAAGAATTCAAAGCCTGCTGGACCAAAGTCCATTTAAAGAAACTATCCAGGAACTGTGCAAAGTAGTGGTTCCTTTTCAGATGGAGCATCAGACTTGTAGAGCTTGCTAAAAGACACAGACTTTTAAAATGACAAGGTCTAACATCAGGGTTTCAGGGTTAGATTGGGTTCTAACTCTCTGTCATGAACTAGCTACTTAACCATGGGTTAGAGTCTCTGAGTCCGTTTTCCCACCTATGAAAATGGATCTTAATATCTGCCTTGAAGGATTATTAAAACCATATTGGATACGAAAGTGCTAAGTGTCTGGTACATAGCTAGGAGTTCAAGAAATGCTCCTTCTTCTTCCCTGAATCTTTCTTTCTATGTCATTCATAATACAGGCATTCAAACAAAATACAAAAAGAGCTCCTTTCCATTTGACTGGGGATTTATCTTCACATATCATTAAGTCCTGCTCCTGTTTTCATAGTTTTACACCAACTTTATACTATATAATAAGGCCCTATGGGTTTTGTGGGCACCCTAATCACTTTTAAATGAAGATATCAAATACTTGTTCAAGGTTAATTATAAATGTAAAAGCATATTCAATCTTTTTTTAGTAACACTGAAAAGGGATGCAAGAAAGCTTTTTGGGAACATATTTAAAACAGAAAAATAAATTGTTGCAAAGAAGCTCCCTACCAGACAAATCTCTTTGTTCCTTTGCAGCAAAGGGCTCTTATCACAAACCTAGTTTATAGAGTCCCTGCCTTAGCTAAAACACTTCTGAAACTCCCCTGGGGTGTTTTTCTCAGCAGCTTACTGAATTCTGGTTGCAGCGTCTTTATTTATAGAGTGTACCAAATAACTCAGTGCTCAAAGAGATTAAATCTGAAACTGTGAAAGGCACCATATTAGACAGACCAAAACTTACTGAATATAGATTTAAAATATAAACTCAATCCCTGACTTACCTTGTGCTGATTGACACTCCATATTCTTATGATGGAGTCTCGACCTGCCGTGAAAAGTCTGTTTAGTGCTGGGTCCAGCTGCAGGGCATTGACCCCATTTCGGTTGTACTTCTCCACTTCATCTCGAATAACATAGGAAACCTGACAAATATGTCAAGATTGGCTGTTTATGAAGCTACAAACATGTGATAATAAAATGTAGCCTTCTAGTGGCCAATCTGAAATTCAAAATCCCATGTTTTCTAATATAAAACTTATTTCCGAATCCAATAAAAACTTAATTTTACTCTATAGAGACTGAAGGGCTGAGGAGAGAAGAGTGACATTAATAATAGCCTAGACCAAGATAAGCAAGTTTGAGGCTAAACCACTGCAAATATCTCCTAACTGGACTTTCTCCCCTACCCTTGTTTGTCTTTAATCCATTTTCCACAAAGCAGCTGGATGAATCTTTAACACATGAATAGAAATATCTTTAAAAAATGTAAATAGGAATATCGCTCCCTGTTCAAAAACCCCTCTGGCTGCTTACTCCACTAGACTCAGGATTGGATCTGGACTCCTCAAGTGCCTCTCCTGCCCCTCATCCTTGCTCACTGCTCCCACTCCTTGCACACACTGTGCCTCCAGACGGGCACATGTGCTGGTCCCCTCTGTCTAGAAGCTCTTCGTCCCACTCTGTCTGGCTAAGCTCTTCCTCCCACTCTGTCTGGCTAACTCCTACTGCAGTCTTTAGATTTCTGTTGAAATGATGCTTCCTCAAAGACCTTCTCTGACCTGCTAAGCAAAATGAGGTTTTGCTCTCCAATAACACACTAAACTTTTCTTTCAGAGAACTTTTCCCTACTCTATTATGGTTGATAACCTCTGTCTGCTCCATGAGAAAACTCAAGAGAATCAACCAAAAGCAATTACAATTAAGAAAAACTCAACAAGCTGGCTGGCAGCCAAAAGCAAAACTTTTCTATTCTAATGAAATAACCAGTTAAGATATAATGGGGGAAAGGGGACCCTATTTACAATAGCAACAAAAATAAATATCTAGAAATTCATTTTGCAAAGAAGATACATAATCAACAGGACAAGGTACATAAAAGAAAACTTGAATAAAGGAGACATACCATATTAGTACAGGAAGTACTACAGGAAGTAGTAAAGGAAGGTAGTACAGGAAGATCCAAAATAAACAATTTTTTCCTAACTTTGTGATTTTAACCCAACTGTGGTCAGAGTCTCACTGGATTTCTTTCTAGAAGTTGACAAAATATATACCAATAGTACAATGCTTTGAGGGGACTACCCAGTCACTTTTTTAAATGAAAGGATATTCTTTAAATATCTTAAAAGGTATTATAAAGCTACCAGAATTACAAAGGAGGACCACAATATGAATATATAAAAGGATCAATGAAATAAAACAAAATTCAGAAACATATTTTCCCATTATACATTTTTTATTTTGATATGAACAGATTTTGAAACAATGAGGGCATGATAAATTATTTAATAAATTATCTAGGAACATCTAGTGGTTCTACTGCAAAAAATAATATCCTCTCTCCAAATCTTAAACCAAAATGAATTTTCATATGGACTAAAGATTGAAATTTAATAACCTAATCATGAAAATACTTGCAAGTATTTACATAGTCTCTACATAGAGAAGGCTCTGCTAACGTGACAAGAAAGACCACAATCTTTGAAAAAGAAAAGGGCAACGCTGATCTGACCAAACACAAGCCAAAACTTTCTATACATACACAAATGTTCACAGCAGCATTATTCACGATAGCCAAAAAATGGAAACAACTCAAATGTCCATCAACTGAAAAATCCAGACAGTAGATTAATGGTTTCCAGGGGCTTGGGGAAGAGGAGAATGGGGAATGACTACTATGGTGTACAGGATTTCTTTTTGGGGGTGATGTTCTGGAATTAGGTGGTCAATGCACTTTGCAAATATATTAAGAATCACTGAGTTGTATACTTTAAAAAGGTAAATTTATGTGAATTTTATCTCATTAAAGCTGTTATTTAAAACAAAGCAAACTTCTGAATGTCAAAAAAATAACATGAGCAAGGTTACAAGGCAAACACCTAACTGGGGAAAAAATGAATACAAAAGACAAGAGTTTACTCTTGACAACATACAAAGATTCCTTAGATAACAACAGAAAAAGTCAACCTCTCCAACAGAAGGAGAAACAGAGATCACGAAGAGGAAATTTTTTTTAAAGAAAAGAAAATGGCCAACAAACACATAAATAATAAAAGATGTGAAAAGGGCCAGGGTTGTATACACAAAGACAAGGATGTTGTTTTAACCCGGCCTTTCGGTGCAAGTAACTGTAACTGAAATCTACTCAAACAAGCTTAAATATTTTTAAAAATGGAGAATTTAAGATGAGAATTTAACAAGGATATCTAACAGAGCTCAAGGGCAGGAAATTCAATCATGACTCATAAGAGACATTTTAAAAATAAAATCATGGCACTTCTCTACCTAAGCTTTTCACTGCATTTAAAGTCAAGTCCAAGTTCCTCATATGCTTTGGTTCTACCCTGCAAACTCACACTCACCTCAAACTAACTTCCCCTATGCTCTTTGACGACAGTCACACTAAACTCCTTCCTGTTCCTCAAACACATCAAGTTCTTTCCCATCCTAGGGCCTTCAGATTTACTTTTCCCTGTGCCAAGAAGATTCCTCACCTCTCCAATCCCCACAAGAATACTATTCTCCCAGCTTTCATCTTGGCTGACTCACCCTCACCCTCACACTCCAGGTCTTAGCAGAAAAGTAATCTCCTCTAAAAGGCCTTCCCTGATCTCCTTCCCCTATCACCTCCCCTACTCCATTTCTTCTACAGTTCTTACCACGCTGCATATTTATCTTTTTTGCTATATCTTCTCCATTAGAATAAAAGCTGCAAGAGGGCAAGGAACTTGTCTGCCTTGTTCCTCCTACCACAGTATCCTTAATATAGTATCTGGCATACAAAAGACATCTCATAAACATTTTTTGCATGAATCAGATACTGAAAAACCATCAGGAAACAAGCTGGCTTCAATGTTAGTTTCAGTCTCTCTTAATGCCTCTTCCTCTGGGGCTTCAAGGCTCCTTATCAGCTTTTCTCAGTACATTTCCTATTTAACGAAGATGCGGTAGCATATATGAATCTTGATTTTCAAATTTCTGGGAGATGATCTGATTGGCCCAGTGGGAAAGGGTCAGAGAATAACAACATGATTGTCAGTCCTCATTCTAGGTGGCAAGGAATTCTCAGCAAAAAAAGTTTGGACCAACCTCTTTAAGGGCATCTATTACAGATGTGAGATTAAAAACAGCCAATAGGGCTTCCCTGGTGGCACAGTGGTTCAGAGTCCGCCTGCCGATGCAGGGGACACGGGTTCGTGCCCCGGTCCGGGAAGATCCCACATGCCGCAGAGCGGTTGGGCCCGTGAGCCATGGCTGCTGAGCCTGCATGTCTGGAGCCTGTGCTCCGCAACAGGAGAGGCCACAACAGTGAGAGGCCCGCGTACCGCAAAAAAAAAAAAAAAAAAAACCAACCAACACCACCCCCCCCAAAAAAAAACAGCAAAAAACTAGAAGTATCCAACCTAGTTGGGTAAATTTTGGCACACACATCTATAAAAGAGAATACTATTTAATCATTAAAAATGTTGGTGTAACTCTAGACTGATTAATATGGGAAGAAACCCAGGGTATATTTAAGTGAAGTATGCATGGTCTAACACAGTAGTGTATAATAATCATTACTGTAAAAATGTTGCATAATATTAAATATACATATATTTAAAAATAAACACACAAGTTTAGAAGGATATACATGTATAAAACTACCAGTAGTTATTCCTGAGTGATGGAATTATGGTGACTGTCACTCACTCATGCCTTTTTAATACAGTATGAATGTTTTATAATAGGCATATATTACTTAGTTTTTTGAATTTATAATTTAATTCTTATCCAACTAATTCTTGCCTGTATTCAGAAAATCAAATAGTACTGAAAGACAATAATGAAAAACCATCTCCCTACTGTCTGGTTAAGACTCCCCATACCCAGTCTTAATCCTTAGAGGTAATTAATTTCAACTCTTGGTTGTTTCTATTAGATAGCTACTGCATTTCTCGAAATATTGTGCTTATCCTTATCCATTTTAGACATCGCCTATTTACTCAAGCTATGGTAGGTTAGGATGTAGCTCTGAAACTTGCCTCAGTAATTCTTCCCTCTACTCTTCTGATATCGATAGATCTATCACTGTTTTTGGTTGATTAAATAATCTGTGCTACACTGTTGGACTGTAATTGCTATCTACTGACTAGCCAAGTACTATATTATGAATACATTTCCTTCCTCAGAGAGCTCTTCATTTTCCCTAGAGTTCCTTCTTTCCTTCAATGGCTCCCGCTACTTTAACTTCGATTTTCTTGAATTACTGCAGCATATTAGATAGTCCAGCAAGAACCCACCTCCAACCCCCACTTTCCCACAAGGCTTCCCCCTCAGAATCTCCCACATTCTCACTCTAATCTGGGCTGGCTGCCCTCTCGGTCTGCTGGCACAGTTGTCACCTTCGGTGCTTCCCTTTACTGCTTTTTTGGGTTAGAGCCATTGTTTCCTGAATTCCAATGTCTCTTTTCCTTGCTCACTTCCCAGGACGGCAGAAGTACATCCCCAGGACCTTAAGAAACTAACATAGAAGAAGGTACATGGGAGGTGACTTAGCCCTTGCATGTCTGAAAAGGTCATTACCTTGACACTTGATTTGGCAGGATAAAGAAGTCCATGTAGAAAAAAACTCAGCTTTTGAAAGCACTACTCTAATTTCCTCTAGCATCCAGTGCTGCCACTGAATTCAATGCCAATTCTGTTTCACTCAACTTTAAGGTGATCCCATTTTCATTCTCTCCCGCACCACCACCTATACAGCCCAAGATTTTAGGATCTTCTCTTTTTACTTGGTGGGGTATTTTTTTGGGGGGGTTCTTTATCATGATAATTTTTGGTCATTTTATCATTAATTTTGCTGTGTACTTTGAAAGCCCTTTCAATCTAGAAACTTTCAGCTCTGGGAAATCTTACATCAATTCATTAATAACCATCTCTGTTT